CTCCTTCCTGGAACTGATCTTATTTTGCACCAATGTGGACTGATTTTCTCGGACCGCTGTAAAGGTGTTGTACCAGATTTTTTAACCCTGTTTTGTTGATGTCTTTATTCTCACCTCATAATTGATAGCTGGGTCTAGAATTCTAAGTTGAACGTTTTTTCTTTGAAAGCATTTTCACCATACTCTAGCCTGTGCTGTTGCTGCTAAGAGGGCTGCTTGCATACTGATTGTTATTGTTCCTGTGTATGTCACCCGTGTCTTCCCTCTCTAGAAGCTTTTAGGATGTTTTCTGTATTTCTCATACTCTAAAGTTTCATTGTGATGTCCCTTAATGGATCTCTTTGTAAAATTCATTTTACAGGACATGTTATATAGACTTTTAATCTGTGTCCTTAGCTATGGAGAATTTCCTTTGGTAACTTCTTCCCCTTTAGTTTCTTTATTCTCTCTGTAATTTCTGTCAGATATTATTCTTCCTGGACTGATATTCTCAGTTAGGATTCTTTGCTTTTTTTTTTTGGTCTTTTGGCTCTGAGTTTTTTTTCAACTTTTTCAATTAAATTTTTTTTCAGCTATATTCTAATTTTCAAAGAATTTCTTCCTGTTCTTTGCTCCTCTCATACAGTATCTTATTCTTTATTTATGAATACAACATCCCATATCTCTCAGATTCAAAAGGAGAATTCTCACTTGCCATTTGGAGGCATAAGCTCAAGTCACAGCCAGTGCATCATGTGTTCAGATTTAAGGAAGCTGATAGCTCACATTCCTCACTCCTTCAAGTTTGATTAGAATGATAAACTGGAGTCAGACAGATGGAAATAAAATTAACAGCTTTATTGTCAACAGAGCCAGAGTAGAGAACATATTGTAGCCTGGACCTGCAGCCACAGTCAAGCTTGCTGCCATCTGCCCCAAATCTAGACCTTGAGATCCATCTGCAAGGCAAATCCTTAAATCCACGTAGCCTCCTGAAAGAAACTGCTGCCCTCACTCATTGAGCGCCAAGAGTAGGGAAGAGAGTGAAGTCACACACATATCTGGTTTTTAACAGATGTATTGCACTCATTTAAAAAATGGGAATCAACTGATGTTGAATTCTTGCCACTCACCAACCAGAAATATACATTCTCTTTATTAATAGAAATAACCTCATGGAAATGTGAGGATAAGGTTTCCTCCTTCATTGTCTGACCATTACCATTTGTTTTAGTTTAAAAAAACCATTTCTTCTATTTCCTGCATGATCTGTTTTCTCTGTTATTTTGCCCATTTAATTTGGATTCTTCCTTTAATGATGAGGGCTTTCTTCATATATCTGGTGATGCCTACCTGTCCATTCAGGTTTTAGAATAAGGTACTAAAAAGTTTATTGAAGCTCTCAGTGCATAGGTGGATTTCATCTGATGGGCTCCACTCTGGGGCAGTGGTCAGCAAACTTTTTCTGTAAGGGGCCAGAAAATACGTATATTTTAGGCTCTACAAGTAACACAGTCTATGTAGTAACCATGCAGCTCTGCCACTCAAGCACAGAAGCAGCGTAGAGAATACGTCAATGGATGGGAAGGTTGTGTTTCAGTAAAACTTTATTCACAAGAACAGAGAGCAGGGCCAGACTTGCTGACCTCTGCTCTAGGGTGATCAGATGGGAAGCCAGACTCCTGCCTGGGGCACACCTGCTGGGAGTTCTTTGAACAAGGGTTGCCTAGATGAGGAGTTGTGACTGCTGTAAGTTACACTTACAACCATGATTGTCTCGCCATGTCCCTTTTTGTGCTTGTCAGCTGAGTCCTAAGTTCACTGTTCATAACTATCCTCTTTTGCACAAATTATGTTATGGCTTCCTCTAGTCTCTTACACTTACTGCTACTTCTCTCATCCAGTAATATCTCCCCTCCAATTCTCTTCATGTTGCTTTATACATTTAAAAATTCCTTTATTATCCTTCCACTTGGGTCTTAAGAGAGAGAAGGAATAAAAATAATTTATCAATACACTATCTAGAAACCGTTTTAAAATTCTTAATACTGAGGTTATTTAATTGGCTTGTTTTCACATTTAATGGCCTTGAATATATTTTAAGTACTTCTTTCTAAATTAGTATCGTTTTTTAAAACCTATATAAAAATCCCCCCTTCGGCTAGGCAACTCCTGCCACAGAAGTTGGCCCGAGGCCCACAAATACAGGAACAGCCTGGGCCATTCATTCCCAACTTACAAACCAACCTTACCTAACAAGGATTTTTTCCTCTCAGGTGTCCCCGAGATTCAATATTTTATGAAAATGAAAGCATTAGTTTCCATCAATCAGGGTCTCCTTAATGGCGTAGGCCCACAGTCCAGATGTTGAACACACATGAATGGTCAGAATATAAGCAATGCTTAAAGGAAAGAGGAGTTCTGGAGGGCTACTAATGTGACTTCTGCACAATTATCAAGTGCATTTTCTTTTTTCTCTTACTTCCTCAGCAAGGTCCAAGGTTTGATTTCTTACAGAAAAGCAAAGTAGGTCACAATGCATAGTACATAATAATTTGAATTGTTAAGTGGAAAATGGTACAAGCTATTCATTAATTCATCAAACAAACATTTATTGAGTATATACTACAGGCTAGAAACACTGGGTGCTCAAGTGGGAGAGTAAGGAAGGCTGAAGTCCTTTTAACCCAGGGCCATGGACATAACATCTTGGCAGAAGTTTTGCGTTTGAGCTTCTTTGCTGATAGATTCCAAACTCAGCCAGAATAGTCAGACACTCAGATGTGGCTTTTGCTTAGTGATACGCTATAGTAAATGCTGCATAACATATTTTCTAATAAAAATGTGAGCAAAATTCAGTTTTGAGAAATTGGGGAACCCTTTTTGAAATTGGAGGTAATCTTGAGCACGGTAAATTCTTAAAGTCTAGATATGAAAACTGCTTCTTTTAATCCATGTATGGAGGGCATGAAGTCTAGACCCTTCCTTATAAGTAGAAAGGTCTGAAACATACTCCTTGGGATGTTTCCTCTGTGTTCAGACACTAAGCAAAATCATCATATTGCAGTTTTTTGAAGACTCAGAACATGTTCAAGCTGGGGCTAGAGACTGCCTAGGCTCATCAGTGCTCTGCTGATATTCACTGCCCTCCTTCATTCCTCATTCTCAGGTGTGTTGTATGGAGGAAAAGTTCACTGAAATTAAGAGTTCCACTTCCAGCTATGACAGAGTAACTGGTACCTGACTAGCCTGCCTGCCTTGACCGTAAAATAGGACAAAAGCTATGTGAGACAACTGCTTTTAGACACTGGACAACATGCAGCACAAGACAGTGATCCCCAAGAGAAGGTAAGCTCACAAGGTGACTCATGAATGCCTAGCTCTCTCTTATTATCCTGACTCTAGCGTAATGAGCTAGAGTCCAGGCAGGTCACAGTGGTCCCACTGAGCTGAGGAAGCAGAGATCTGAGTTCAGGGTAGTAACAGTGGCTGGAATCTGCAGGGTAGGGCAGCAGAGAAAAGGAAGCTGTGCACAGAGGATCCCTAAAAGTCTGTGCGTGGGTTCACTGTGTTTACTGAACAAGAGGTGAGCTGACTGTATTCAGTGCAAGAGTCCATGAGGCTTACCAGAAAGCAGCTCCTACGAGGTTGAGACAATAAGAGCTGCTAGAGAGTAAGCAGTGCTGGGGGGTGCTGGAGGCCCAGCCCAGAGAGAGTGGAGAGATCTTGCTAACACCTCATTAACACCCCAGGCATCCAGTTTAGACACCAGAAAGGTCCATCTTAGAAGTAAAAACTTTGCAGGGCTAGAGAAATATCCTTCAAAAATGAGGGTGAAATAAAGATACAGTTCGGTCTATGAAACCTGAGAGTATTAATTGCCAGAAGATCTGCACTATAAGAAATGCTAATGATCTTCAGGCTGAAGGGAAATACTAGATAGATAGAAATTTGGATCTACAGGAAGAAATGAAACAGCATTGGAAACTGTCTTTCCTTAAAAGCACAGGAGTGGGCAGGTAAAAGGAATTATACTCTTGTAAAACCAGTTTGTGAAGTGGTGAGAGTGGTACATGGACTCTAAAAGTCTGAGAAGGTTCATATTTTTGCCCCTAAAGCAGCAGTTCTTAAACTTCTTGTTCTCTTTATACTCATAAGAATTATTGAGGACCCCAAAGAGCTTTTGTTTATGTGGGTATACCTGTCAATATTCATCATGTTAGAAACGGAGAAAAATGTTTAAATATTATTTTAAATTACAATGGCCCATTCAACGTTAACATATAACACATTTTTATAAAAATAACTATTTTTTAAAAATTTATTGAGAAGAGTAGCATTTCTTTTTATAGTTTTACAAATCTCTTTAATTTTTGGCTTAACAGAAGACAGGTGAAGTCTCATACCTGCTTCTGTATTCAGCCTGTTGCAACATGTTGTTTGGTTGAAGTGTATGAAAAAAGCAGGGGTGTAGTTGGAGGAGGAGGAATACTCAACAGCTTTCTCAGATAATCGTAGTCTTTGATACTACAGCAAAAAACGGACAAGTGGGGGAAGGTTTTGAGTTTCTTTTCATAAAAATTATCCTCCAAAATTATGACACCTTGGGTGCAGTACTAGCTCTCTGCACCATAGTTCGTATAAAGTTAGTTAATATGAGCCCCCTGGAGTCAAAAGTCATATTCCCTTCCTTTCCCACCCAAATCAGCCATCCCCATTTCTTCTGCCAAGGCTTTTCAGGCTACAGGGCAGAGGACAGAAGATCTGGCCTACGTGAAACTTGGGTTATGCAGTAGTTCAGGACTGGTGGAAGGCGGTTGGCTCCTTTTTACTCCTAAGCCAAGCCCTGCAGAAGTGAATTTTAGGATGTGTTTGAAAATGGAGCTCATTATTGAGTGTCTCAGGTGAGATTGTGATTTATTCTCCTCCATGAAAGGAGAAGAAACTTGTTTTTTCCTATCAAGTTTACCCATATAAGGTTGTTTCTCAAAACTCAGGTGGTAGTAAAGAAGGATGCAACATAGATAGAAGATTTTTATTGAAAGTAGTTTAAGTACTTTTCATCACTTAAAAAATTATGCCTAAAGATAATTCAAATGCAAAAAACATATAATACATCTATAGTTAAACAACCCTTTCCCCATGAAGGCAAAATTATTGAGAAATGTTTATTTTTCCCTCTTGAAATAGCTAATCCAGGTAATAATATGGCTGCAGGTGATAAACTCACATCGCTTCCTTCATTGCTTCTCTTCCTGAAACTCACAAATCTTTCAGAACCACATCAGTGAGATGCTGGCCTTTGCTTGGAAACAGAATGATATTCAGGTCTTACAGGTCCAGGGCCCAGTAGACAGACGGGCTCTTGTCCTCCACACTGGCCACCATGTCTTCAATGGCATTCCAGTCAAGCTTGCTGAGGATGCTGCCAGTGCTCTCAGACATGCTGTCCATGCCACTCACCTCAAAAGGAGGCTTTGGCTCCTCTTTCGTTGGTGACAAGTCCTATCAAATTGAGAAAGACAGTAAGTTGTGGGCTTAGCCTCAGAAAAAAGTAAATGGAACTTGAACTAAGCTTCCCAAAGATTCTAGAGTTGCTCGTCTACCAAATGGTGAAGGAAATATGAAGGGAACCCAGGCTGTCGTTGCCCAGGACATCTGGATTGGCAATGGGCTGGACATCATCTGACACAACTAGATGCTGGCACCAGATCTGAAGACAGAATGGATTTTTATAACGGTAGTACAATTACCTTTTCTTACATTTTGGTTATTTTTTTGTTAAAATACAAAGTCAAGGAAAATTCTGAAAGATAAATGCTGGAAGTACTAAACCAAAAGTGTAGACGTTTTGAATTACTACTTCAAAATGACCTAACAATTTTTCAGTATCTCTACATCCCACAAAAAATAAACCAAAAAAAAACCCTGAAGAACACAAAGGAATCACTAGGCACCCTGCAATCTGGAACAATGCTTACTTGGAGAAGAGAACTGTGACTCTCACGAAGAACCTGACGGATGTCTGCAGGCAATATCCAGGGGCTCACCACGGTCTCCTCTCTCTCATACTCTATACACACCTGCTTGGTTTGCGGTGCAAGCCCGGCACGACTTTTTGTATGCTGCAGACTACAACATGGAGCACGAGAGCCTTTCAAGGGAAAAGAACAAAGCATACGTTAGGACTGATTCATTTATAAGTTTGTTCATTGTGACTTTTTTCATCAAATCCAAGGCAATAACATTTTACCTAATGTTGGAATCACAAGGTCTGGATATGCTTCACTTTAGAGTTCTAGCGATTCTGGTCCTGTCAGTGTGAGAGAAGGAAACTGATTTGGGGCCACCTCTTTTGACGTCAAAGGTAATGGTAACCTCTAGGACAAGCGAGTCCAGGGAGAAGAAGTCACAGATAGAACAGAACTGTGGAGAAGTTCCAACCTCAAAGTTGGGTGAACTTGAGGAGCTGCGCCTTTCTTGCCTCTTCTGGAAAGTCTTGTGGAAGCTTCCTAGGCGTGATGTTTTAGGTATCTTCACTCAGGCTTCATGCCTACAAGCTGCCTTTGGTCACAGGCATCAAGGTAAATGCAATGACAACACATTACGGCCCTCTTCCTCCTTACTGAATATCAGGGTTTGTTGAAAAGAAAGTTTCATCCCAGCTAGTGCCCAGAGGCAGCTTAGCAAATTCCTCAACCAATAATGCTTCTCTGCACAAGGCCCTAGACGAGCGTGCCCACCTAAAGCACTTAATGTTCCAAAACCGATGTTATAGTACGTTGTGCCCCTCACCAGGGTGACCTGAAGAAACACCCAAGACATAAGGTATGGTGGGAAGTAAACACAGGTTGCGACAAGCAGTTGTGTGGCTCCCTGAAGAGAGGAAGAGGAGGTAACAGAGTGGTGAAGTCCGGGCACCGGGTCCTTGACAGCTCTACCAACCTCACGTCCTTAAAGCCGAGGATGCCACCCAGAAATAAATACGCCCCCAGAACAGCAATAGCACACCTTTTGACAGCTACTATGGCTAAGCGCTTTATCTACATTCAGTCCTTTGAACTTACCGGAGTGCCCCGGGGCCTGGGCCTTGGTCCTCTTACACATCTACACTCTCCCCAGCTGAGCTCATCTAGGCAATAGCTGGAAATATCATCTACATGCGGACAGTTCTCAAACCTGTACCTCTAGCCTCACAGAGCAAAGTGCCTTCTTGACATCTTTACTTGGATGTGCAATAAACATCTCACCCTTAACATGTCCAAAACCAAACCATTAATTTCTACCCCTAAACCCATTCCTTCAATACTGTTCCCCATCCCAGGAAATGCTCAGGTTAAAATCCAATTTTCTTTTATCTTTCTCTTTCTTACACATCCTATAAGCAATCCATCAGCAAGTCTTAATTTGGTCTACCTTCAAAATATATTCCAAATCTAATAACTTTCCCCATTTCTATTGTTATAACTCTAGTCCAAGCAGTATCTCTGTGTTTGTCTGCCGCCTTCTGTTTTTTCTCCCACATGTTCTAAAATATAAATTATAAATTATCTCGCTGCTGAATTCCCTCCGATGGAGTCCCACTGGATCCAGAGTAAAATCCGAGCTCTTTGCCTTAGCCTGTATCGTCTCTCACCGCTCTCTCCAACCATCTCTGGCCACTTTCCCATACTGATCGTTTCTGTCATACCAAGTTGGTGTCTGTCTGGGCTTTCAACTTGCTCTTCTCTCTGCCTGGAACTGTTCTGCCTTATCTTTGCATGACAACCCCTTTTTCATCACTCAGGATCTTGACTCCATTACACTTTCTCAAAGAGACCTTCTTTAAGAAGGTCTCCCGTATCTTATTTTTGTGCTATTGTCTGTGTTGTTCATGACGAACAGTGCCTGGTATGTAGGAGGAGCTTAACGGATGGTTGCTAAATGAATATTCTTCCTGAAAATCGTATGGGGGAAGTGTTATTATCTCCATTTTGCAAATGAGGAAAGGGAGGCTTAGAAAGGGTAGATAATCTGCCCAAGATGATGGAGATGGTCTATGCCCAGAACCTGAGCTAATACATCCACTTTCTCTTTTCGGGGGTGAAAGAAGAATAGTACTCAGAGGCTCCTTTAGGATAATTTTCATATGTGTAAATGAGAAATGGGCCTATTTATCTGGATCCCCAAGGCAGCAGCTTTCCAATAGCTTGCCTCCTGGATTAGTGCCAAAGCGGGGCCAGAGGGTGGTGGTACAAGGCGGCTGAGGGATTTTTCTTTTGACTGGCCCCAAGGGTCTGAAAAGAAACAAGGCTGACATCATTCTGTAGTACCTGTGGTTGCCACTTTAGCATCAAACGTGAGAGTGGTGCTCTGGTTGAAAAAGGTTTGGCTTTCTTTTCCTGCTATTTAAAGACATCACTGAGTATTTTGGGATGAGACTGAAAGTTCCATGTTAAAATAATTATTTCAGTGAACATTACTAAAGAACAAATTTTGAAAAACTCTATGAAAGCAAAATTATCTATGAATGGACAATAGGAATGCACATGTGAACAAATACTGTGCTAAAAAAGAAAACAGCCAGTAAAACACAGAAAAAGTTGAGACTAAAGGATTAAAAAAAGAGAAACCAGGGGTCAGCTCTGTGGCATAGTGGTTAGGTTTGGCATGTTCCTCTTCGGCAGCCCAAGTTCAGATCCTGGGCATGGACCTACACCACTCGTCAGCCATGCTGTGGCAGTGACCCACATGTAAAATGGAGGAACACTGGCATAGATGTTAGCCCAGGGCCAATCTTCCTCAGCGAAAAAAAGAGGAAGATTGGCAACAGATCTTAGCTCAGGGCTAATCTTCCTCAGCAAAAACAAAACAAAACAAAACAAAAAACACAGAGAGAGAGAAAGAAACCAACAGGTGGTTAAGCAGTATTATAACCACAAGGGTAGGCTGTCTCTCCAAAGTAAATGGAACCAAATGGAGGCAGGATGCTGAAGTTGTTCCTTCAAGTATTCAGTATATAAGAGATTAGCAAAGGCTGTAATTACCAATGAATCCCACCCCCATCTCTGCTAAATTAATCTGCTATCTAGACTTTGATACTCGTTTGTCAAATGAACACAATTATTGCCATCTAGAAAGTGACAAACTCATCACCAAGTCTGCTGAAATTAGGGTTAACAACTCTGCATTTGGGGATAAGCCTTTACCTATGGGGTATCTACGAACCTCGAGAGGCTATCACTGGCTTTTTCTCACATATCTTTATCCAGGAATGGCTTTGTGATTTCCTTCTCTTCAGATCAGACTGCATTCTCTAGGATTTATGTGGGACAGACAATGTTGAGATAAAAATACAACATGAAAGAAATTCTGTGAAACGGAGAATGTGCAAAGCTTTTCAAGGTAGGTGTGTGTTCTTGCCCTGGTGCAGGCAGGGAAAGCTTTCGCAGGAGACAGGTAAATGATATATCAAGAAGAAACCCCACAGTGGAAACTAGGCCGGCAAGTGCAGCAGCCTCCCTTGAAGATGCACTCTTTCTCTGTAGGCTGCTGAACGATGCCACTCAGTTTCTTTATAACATATTGCCAGACAATGTCTTAAGAGTCTAGTCTGAGGAATCTGAAACTACAAACAGTAAAAGCGAATCCATTACCTCCATCACCTCCAAAAGAAAACCCTGCTCCTCCTCTTATCCTACCTGTGTCAGTTATTGGGCTGCAACCTAGACAAGCACCAAGCTAGAAACTTGGAGTCACACTCAACTTCTTCCTCTCAGAGGCAGGGCTACCACCAGCCAATGGAAGAAATACCTCTATTTGCCTTTCTCTGGGCAAGGCCTCATGCTAGATCATAACCCACTTCAAGAACACAAAACCCTGGGTCTCTAGAGTTTTCATACACAATACAATACAAATGTACATATAGGGGCTGGCCCAGTGGCGCGGCGGTTAAGTTCGCATGTTCTGCTTCTGGGTGGCCCGGGGTTCGCCAGTTCGGATCCCGGGTGCAGACATGGCACTGCTTGCCATGCCATGCTGTGGTAGGCATCCCCATGTATAAAGTAGAGGAAGATGGGCACAGACGTTAGTTCAGGGCCAGGCTTCCTCAGCAAAAAGAGGAGGATTGGCAGTAGTTAGCTCAGGGCTAAAAAAACCCCACAAAAACAAACAAAAAAAACAAATGTACATATAATTTCAATTATTTTTAGGGGCAACATTGTATTTGGGGGCATTTTATCTGTTAAACATTGCTAGACATTTGCTTAGAAAAGAATAAAAAGCTAAACTAGAAAACATTTTACAAAGGATTAAAATGAGAGACTTTGAAAGAAAACAAGGCTGGATTATAAAATTAAAAGCTCAGGATGTGATGCTTCTAGGACTCAAATTCATCCTAATAACTAGAGGCTTGGGTTTTAATGCATACAGTGGGGAAAAGTTTGGAAAAAGAACCAAGTGGAATTTCTAGAAAACATAGCCATCAACATTACAACTTGATAGATAGATTAAATAGCAGATCAGACACAGCTGAAGAGAGATGTGGTGGACTGAAAGATGAATCTGCAAAGAAAGGAGATCACAGCAGAGAGAGGGGCATAATGGCAGGATTAGACTAATTCCTATTTCTCATCATATTTGTAGTACATATAAATAGAGTTCTCACCATTATCTCTACCAAATTAGTTCTTTTCTGTAAATTGGGATAATGCCACAGAACTCACTGGATTAACGTGAGGATTAAGTCAGATCATGCATACAGGTATTAATACAATGTGGCATCGATTAAGTTCTCTATAACTGTTAGCTATTGTTTTTATTGTTCTAAGGGGATCTGAGCAGGTCATTCAACTTCTCTGCCTCAGTTTCCTCGGCTGTAATATGGGGATAATAGTCGCCCTAACTATCTACCAGCGTTGTTATAGAGAGCTAATAGGAGAATGAATGTGAAAGTACTTTTTAAATTGTGAAGAGTAACATGGGCTGAGGGAGGGCTGGGGGAGACATTGGGTATTAAGATCATTAGGTATAACTCCCCCCTCTCTAGCTGATCAGAGCAGAAATTCGAAAGAGTCCAAAGATGGGGGCAAAATCAGGCCTAAAATGCCCAAACTGATAGGTCTGTGTGCTCCGTGACTGCGTGATCACAGCACCTTCCTGAGCACTTGTTTTTATGTTAAGTACTGTGCTCAGTTCATTGATACATTCTCACTATTATAATCCATATTTTGCAGGTGAGAAAATTGAAGCTTACACAAATGGGTTAGGAATTGGCCCGAGGCTAGAGTTAGTGGTGAACTGGGATTAGAAACAAGCTAACTCCACAGCCCCTTCTCTGAACCACTGCCCACACAGCTACACTCCTCATTCTGAAACCTGCAGCTGAAACTTCTAAGACTGATTTATGATTTTTAAAAATTCAGTAGTGCAACTAGACTTCTAGTGGTGAACACACTGCAGTCTATACAGAAGTTGAAATATAATGATGGACACCTGAAATTTATATAATGTCATAATCCAATATGACCACAAAAAAAAGAAAAGAAAAATTAGTATTAAGTCCAAGAACTTTCTACTCTTTATTTATCCCTTACCTTTTTGGAAGGTAACTGGAGACTGCACAGCCTTTCTTACTGCCATTTTGGCTCCACCAGATTTTTTCTGAATGGTAAAAGTGGCAGTTCCTACAAAGACAGACAAACTTCTTTAACCCTCCATAAAAAAGCATAATTTTTCATATATCATAAGTTCCTTGAGGACTCAAACCTTCTGATTAGTAGGGGCTCAATAAATGATAGTTGATTTGAACCAAGAAAGCAAAACAAGAGTGCAGGAGAAGGAGGGAAAACTCTGCTTAGAGATTTGGTATCCTTATGGCACAACCATGGTCCTTTTCAAATGGCAAATGTGCCTTGACAACGTCTCTGGGAACTGGAATACAGGCACATAAGCCTATTAGCAGTAAACACCTAGACAAAATGCCAAGTTACACTTTACCAAGAGTATGATTAACTAAGGTTTCTTAAATTCCAGGATTAACAGCAACAATTTACTGTTTAAGTTATGCAAAATGTTTTACTTATAATCCTCAACTCTATGAATGAGAGAGGTTTTCAATAACATATTTGAGGGCACAAAGTAAGCAGGAGAGCTGGGATATGAACCTAGACCTGGATGAGTCCAAGAGACAGACCTTTTATTATGCCTATGACACCTCCCATACAATCGTATAGCCTTTATATTGTTTTTGATAGAGTCCTTTTTTTTTTGCTTGTTTTGTGTTTAGTTCTAAGTATAACAGTTTGCAAGGAGGGCTGAGGAAATTAGAAACTGCATCCTGGTTTACAAGATAGACAGCAACATATAGTCCAACTCACAAGTATCTTCAGAAAACTCTTCTCTCACAAATGAAGTGCAGTGAATTTTCAGATTTCGCCTGGATGCTCACTGGCTCATCTCTGCCATGACTGAGCCTGCCCCACGTGGGCTCGGTCACCTATTACCGACTAGGGAAGGGCCTGGGATCAGTCAGGCTTCAGTTTCTCTCCCACTGCCCCGCAATATTGGGGGACTACTGAATGTAGCCAGGGGAGTGGGTGCGTTCTGGATGTGGCAGAGGCACAGCTGGGTGCCATCGAGATGGAGAGGTCAGCGTGCTCACAAGTCCCCAGAGTTGCCTCTCTCATCTTTGCCTTAAAGGTCTGGGGAAGCTAGGTGACAGGTTAGCTAGGATAATAGCTAGGCATATGGCGCTGCTCTCTGACATAGGATAAATACTACAATAGCCCCTCATTAATATTCTTGAACAATAATTAGTTTATAAATAGCTATTTTTAGGCAAGAAAGCTAAATAGCCATTTTTTTCATTTATCCAGTTATTTCATTTGTACAATGTGAGGGGTAACACAAAATGAAGAAGAGTGTTGCTACCCTCAGAAAAATCCAGTCTAGCACGGGACACAGGTTTATAAGTAACTACAACAGAACACCTGCCACACTAGCGCCTCAAGAGGGACATAAACATGTGACTGAGGGTTCAGAGGACAAAAAAAGAACTATTTTTAGCTACTGCTGCTACCGTTTATCTCTAATATTCACAACCATCATGCAAGTTCAGAATCAGCCCCAACTCAAAAATGAAAATGTGGACGTTAAAATCATTCTATCAGATTGGAAGAAGTAAAGAATTAAGATTAGGGATGTTTTCCGAAACACAGAGGTGAGGCATTCAAGATATAAGGGAGAATTTCAACTACGGAATGGCAGCACAAAAGCACAGCATGCGGCTGGAAAACAAGCTGGCATCAGCGCAGATTACAGGAGGAAAGGAGCCTAAGGAGGCCGAGGGGGAGGACAAGGCCAGAGAGAGGGTCTGGGCCTAACTGCATGGGGTGGGGGTCACGGAGGACGTCTGGGCCCAGGAGCACGACATCAAGCTCAGTCCAGCGGGGGCAAGGGAGGGGACCAAAGGAGGGCCGAGGCCTTGGTCCAGTCAAGTGCAAGGTAACAGTACAGGCCTGACATTGGACAGGTCAAAGGGAAAGACATATTTCCACATAATCCAGGACTTTTCCATCTTATTAAGAAACTATGGTTCAAGCTTAAAATCCTTGAAAATTTTGGATGTTTCTTTAATTCTGGCAAATGTATCAGGTGTAAAATAAAATTAGAAGAAAACATGGTTACTATTTTGAAATTTTAGTTTAAAAAGAGCAGTATTTTCTTATTGTAATTTTTTCAATCAAAAGCCAAGAGGTAACCAAATTATGAAGTTTTATCAAAAAGATTGGAATTTATGGAAATTTCAATTTTCCAACTTGAGGCAGCAAACCAAAGTGAAGGTTCTTAGTGCGTAGGCACTAGACCCAGACTGGGTTTACATCCTGCCTCTGCCACATCCTAGCTGTCTGATCTTAGGCAGCTATTCCAACTTTCTCTGCCTTGGTTTTCTCATCTTGAAAATGGGAACATAAAAGTACCTATGGCACAGGGTTGTAATTCAAGAGCTTAAACAGAACCTGGCACGTTGGTTGCTGTTATACATTAGCATTAGCTGTATACATTTATACTACATGATAACTAGGATTATACATTTTTAATGGCTAATCATTTTACAAATAAGTACGTTTTACTTTAGTAATCAGAATCCAAACATGGCAAAATTAACTAACATAAAGCTAGCAATAAATAACAGATATTATATCTTCAAATGTGGAAAAGGATGTTCAAGGGGTAAAAACATGAAATTATTTCCATCTGAGCCTCTGAGTATTCCTCTTCTGTGATGTGTCCCTCCCAAAATCCATCAGAACTTGATCTGTGAAAGTGCCTACATCTTTAAACAGACCCACAAAAGAAACAGATTCCCAAATAAATCCATCTAATTTCCTGATTGTTCAAATTCTATTACAAAAAGGCCAATAGTTTAAAAATACTCCCAGGGTCGTCTTCTTTCAAAGCAATGGAACAAAATCCCAGTATAGCTAAGTCTTTACCAATTCCATGCATTCTGTTGAAATGAGAATTGCTTTTCACTTAGATTTACAGTTTTTACTAATGAAAACACAACTTTAGAGACAAGAATAGATCCAAATTACACAAGATAAAAAAGGCTTTAGGTCTTACCACGTGGCCAAGGTGAGCCGTGAGGTTGCCCCAAAGGCTTCCCCTTTGGCGTACAACTGGGTTTGGATATATTTCTGACTTTTCCAGGTTGATTTATTGGAAAATTGTGACCATGTCGATTCTCTCTAAAGCAGAAATTACATAATAATTATATTCCTAGAATTTCATATCAGTGATAAGCTATAATATTTCAGAAAGCCCAAATTCTAGCTCAGATGAATACATTCACTTGATGCTGCTTATTCTGTACAGCAGTGATACATTTAGTCTATAAGAACTCTCAACAAATTATTTTCCCTATCTCATGCTTCAAACTTCATTTGTTTTTTTCTAAGAAATGTCTTTGGTGCTCTCACTATCCATGTTAAATTCTCCACGTATTTGGAAGTTACTTGTGTATTTAATACCCTGCGTTGGTCTCTGGTATTTCGAGTAACCCCCAAATGACACACAGACAAGTGATCTGATTACATCCGGGTTTCTGTTTGGCAGCATTTCCTCTAGGCTCTTAAATTATGTGATTACATTTATTTTGTCAAAGGTGGTAATTTTTAACAACACGAGTACTGCCAATTCACGTTCACTTTACGAATCACCAACAAATATTATTTTGTTTTTGTCTGTCATATGTAAGAAACTTCACACTTGGGTACTTTTCTTTAGCATTCTATGTTTAATTAATTCCTGCCTAATGAACTCATATCCAAACATACTGGAGGTCATTATTTTTAGAAGAAATGTATAACAGTATCTACAATTGAATCAGCAATAACTGGGCAGGGTGGGAAGAGACAGCAGAGGAAGAAGTGGGAAGCTGGTGGGGACTGTCTGTTTCTGCAAGAGTGGAGCCAAGTAGAGAGACAGGAAGAGCAGTTAGGGGGCAAATTACAAAAAGAAATGCTAACAAAAACTACAGAAAAGAAGAAAACAGGATTGAATGGATGTCAGCATTGTATTAGGTATACCCAAGTGCTTTGTTACATTTTAATTAGAGACAACGCCATTTTTGTCTTTTTCCTTGGTGATTCTATAAACTTACAAAGACCTCACAATTATATGGGGCCAATTTTTTCTTCACTTTATTGTCATAATTCTGAGCAGGGTGGACACAAATACACTGAACTTGGGTCACAAAACCACTGCCTTTCTTCTTATCATCCCTGATATTATCTTGCCAAATGACATGCCAAACCTCGTCTCACCCTCTTGGAGAAAGAGAGCGTTGCCGTCTGGAAGTGTGAGCAGTTCTGGGTCTGTCAGGCAGCGGTTTCTGCGCAGCTGCTGGTAGCTGTGCTGATTCAGATAACAGTTCACTCATCAGACTGTATGCTTGTGAGATTCGACGACTATAGTGGTCAGAGAGCAGCAATCTTTAGACAAAGAATTAAACAACATTTAACAAAAGAGTCAATTTTGGTTCATATTTCTAGAGGGAACATAGTGTTTGAAGACCACCTAGCATTTGTTTTTTTTCAGTGCTTTTCAAATGCTAATTAAAATTTCGGATTTCTGAAGACCATTAGGCAGTATTATTTAAAGACACCTGTAGTTATGGCCTTTGGGGTATTTTCAAAATGCACATACATAACTGAATTGGGAGAGGGAAGACAACCACAGAAACAAAAGTCATAAAAATTGAACGGATGGGGCCGTCCTGTGGCCGAGTGGTTACGTTTGCATGCTCTGCTTCAGCGGCCCAGGCTTTCGCTGGTTTGCATCCTGAGTGCGGACCTAGCACTGCTTGTCAAGCCATGCTGAGGTGGCATCCCACATAGCAGAAAACTAGAAGGACCTACAGCTGGAATATACAACTATGTGCCAGGGGGCTTTGGGGAGAAGAAGAAGACAGAAAAAAAAAGAAAGATTGGCAACAGATGTTAGCTCAGGTGCCAATCTTTAAAAAAAAAAAATTGAATGGAATGAATAATACTTGAAAGCAAATTCCTAAAAATGCTCGTGGAGTCTAATTATTTTCCTTGCAGTGATCTTCCATAATTTTCTGCTTATCCACATAAAAGGGACTACTGCGAAAACTAGAATTCCTAAGGCATTATCTATGCCCTGGGTGAGCAAGCCAGAGAGAGCGATCAGGGTACACTGTCCCTGGAATGTACAGCCACCAAACTCACCTGTCTTTTTCATGCTTCATCTTTTGTGTCAGCCTGATTTCCCTTGAAGTCATGTAAAACTGCACAAGAAATTATCCAGTTAGTTCATTATTGTTCAGTTCAAATAATTAAACCATTATGATCCATGGAAAACATGAAACTCCACTAATCAATTTTAACAGGGGGTTAAAATAAATTTTGCCATTTTGGAAACAGTGCAAAACACTGTCATATTTGATGATGCTTCCTACCCCAGCACAAAACATGAAAACGTTAAAGTATCATGCAATTAAAATAAAATCCAGTTCAATAAATGGAACGCAAAATATATTTTAGTAGCAAAATTAATATATTTTTTTCAAAAGGAGAGAATCTTATCAGCTACATTTAAAATGGAAAATAGGAGGGCCTGCCCGGTGGCACAGCAGTTAAGTGCACAAGTTCCACTTCAGTAGCCTGGCGTTCGCTAGTTCAGATCCCAGGTGAGGACATGGCACTGCTTGGCAAGCCATGCTGTGGTAGGCGTCCTACACATAAAGTAGAGGAAGATGGGCATGGATGTTAGCTCAGGGCCAGTCTTCCTCAGCAAAAAGAGGATTGGCAGCAGATGTTAGCTCAGGGCTAATCTTCCTCAAAAAAAATTAAAATAAATAAATAAAATGGAAAATAGGAACGTTTTAATGATGAAGACACCTGTACTTTGTACTCAGTCTTGTGATTAATCTCATCAAGAGCTTGGTTCATAGAGCAAAAATGAGTCAGACATTTAAAACCATCATTCTGATGTTCTAAAACATTCACCAGAAACCTGCTGTAGTGAGCTCATTGTGACTTTAAACTCTTCAAAACGTATACACCAGGAGGCAAACCAGCAAATGTTGGCTGCATACATCTTATTCCAGAACACTAAGAGTTACTGTTGAGTTAGTACTGAGGTTAAGTCCTTTCACACATAATTGCATATATAAAAACATGCACGCAGAAGTGGATTCACTTTCTCAAGATCCTATATGGAAGTAGTCAGTAACAAATTAAAGGTCTTACTGATTTCTGATAGAAATTCAAACGAATTTTTCATTACATTAATCCCTCACTAATCCCATATCTTTACCCAGATAGAAGCTAAAAATAAACAACTATCTGTGATCTTGAAGGAGATGTCACAAAGTCTATGAACCAAACAGTGCCAATACCCTCAGAGTTAATTTATTCTAAAAATGCCCAAAATTCTAACCATCTTAGGTATTTGCTTGGCTGACAGGGAGGGTGGTATGAGAACCTACCCCTATGGGCTGCAGGAATGCACACATATACACACACACTTTAAGATTCTGGTCACGTACCTCAGTACCTGAAGGTCATTACCATGTCCCCAGAGCTATCAACAAAATGTTATATTAACATCAACATGCTCTTTCCAGATACAGGTAAGTAAGTTACACACTTTAAATAATAGTTCACCTACTTTTGCACTATTTGGTGCTTAAATGTGACAACCTTATCTGGAAAATTCACTTACAGAATATGTTCCCCTAACGATGCTGGAAAAAATGAAGTGCTATTAAATTTTATTTTATTTCAGATTACAAAGTAAAATATAAACTGTAATCTAAGTGTAATCCAAATGTGATTTTCATAGTAATGTGATAAAGTAACATTGCTTTGTTTCACACTCTGCAGAAAAATACTTCTGACCCCCTAGCCATGGTGATGTCCATAGTCAGGGCTCAGCAAACAAATGTTGACAGATTAAACGGCAGTTGAAATACATACGGAGAGGTACCATTGTTCTGTTGGTACATGACTGGATCATACTTTAAAAAATTTTTTGAGGATAACTTATGGATAGAAAATTGGTTTTTAAAATGGCTCTATTGCAGTTGGTTGTTCAACTGCCATTGACTCTCATAGAAAATTAAGGGAACAACTCCAATCGGTCACCCAATCATTCAACCTCGTCATTTGATTAAAATGCTAGAGCCCTAATTAGCCAGGGAGAGAAAAAAGTGTTTCAGATAGTTCAACAGAACATGGTTTGTAAAATATCCTGCTACATTTTGTTAGGTTATTTCTTAACTTTTCCTGACTTAAGTAAAATGCTGAGTTTTCTGTCAAATAAAAAATGCATCCAAATTATGTTAAATCCTTTTCTTGAGTATTCCCCAGGAAAAAACTACACATATTCTGTGATAATTCCATTACCCTTGATCCGGCAGACTTACTGGATTGCTCCTGGGGCGGAAAGGATCATGCTCTTGGCTTCTCTTTTCTGCTAGCTGATTTAAGTACTCTGCCATTCTTTCTTTTCGTTTTCTTTTCATCCAGGCTTGAATCTCTCTTCTCTCCTTCTCCGTTCTTTGTGGACGTCTACCAGAAGAATGCTGAATCCTAAGAAATTGAACAGGCAGGGCATCACTTGATCTTAAATTTGTTATGGGAGAAAGTCAAATACCGTATGCTCTCACTCATAAATAGAAGATAAAAACAACAGCAAACAATCACATAGAGATGGAGATTGGACTGGTGGTTACCAGAGGGGAAAGGGGGAGGGAGGAGGCAAAAGGGGTGATTGGGTGCCTGTGTGTGGTGATGGATTGTAATTAGTCTTTAAGTGGTGAACATGATGTAATCCTCACAAAAATCAAAATATAATGATGTCCACCTGAAATTTATATAGAGTTATAAACCAATGTTACCTCAATTAAAAAAAAACTATTGAATAAATTTGTTATGGAAAGAAGAAATATCACAACTAAATACTGTTTATTTGGAAAGATTTTGCCCCATCTCAAAAAGTTGTATACACTTACGATATCTAGTCAACTTGCTCCAACCTGTCCCCTGAAATCCACTGAAAACGATCTCAGAAAGGTCACCACTGACCCCTTCAGTCTTCACCCTACTGCTGGACTTCTCTGTAACACTCAATAAAACTGGCTTTTCCTTTCTGCTTTAAACTCTCTCTTACCTGGCTCTTTTTCTACCTCTCAAAACACTATGCAGCCTCCTACCTTGGCTCCTTTCTTGTCCGCTCACCACTTCAATATTAATGTCTTTATAGGTTCTGCTTGGACTGTTGTGTTCCTGGACTATCTGATTCACTTCTAAAACTTATACCACAGAGCTGACTTCTAAACTGCTGCCCTTCTGGATCGAGCCTCCCTTTCATGCCCCTGCCAGACTTCCTGTACGCTGGCCCAAGCTAATGACTGAGCACAGCAGGGATGCTGTGGCTGGCATTTTCCGGCAAGACACCGGACTCCTCTGATGGGTGACTTTGCCTTGACATCTCGCCAGTTACCCAGTTGAAACTTTCTTAAGAAGACTTACACTGCCCTCTGAGATTCTACTTACTCAACCCTCTCCTCTTCTCTCTCTGTGTCACAGGGAGGGGTCAGACCTGCATTGTGGTCTGACGCCTCTCTCCACTTCCATTTTTTTCTGCCTATTCCCCTTACAGGCATTTCTCCTGATAAGTCTCTGGTACATCTAATCTCATCTTGGTTTTTGCTTCTGGTTTTTGCTTCTCAGAGGATCCGAACTAACACAAGCAGTGAGGCCGGTCCAAGAAAACAGGCAGTGTGAGACAGGGATTTGGGGCAGACTCATCACCCAGTGTGCAAAGAGGACACAATCCTAAATGGCAGATGGGTCATGGATACAAACGATGTGGTTTACACTGAACACCTGCTTTCCTCCTAGGAGCCTGGACTCTTGGTATGTGCCAGGCAGAGGGTGCCTACCTGATCAGCTCCAACAAAAACCCTGGGCACTGATCTCTACAAGCTTCCCTGGTAGACAACATTCCACATGTGTTGTCACGACCTCTTGCTGGAGGAATTAAGCATGTCCTGTGTGACTCCACTGGGAAAGGATTCTTGGAAGCTTGTGCCTGGTTTCCCCTGGAATTTACCCCATGTACCTCTTCCCTTTGCTGATTTTGCTTTGCATCCTTTTGCTGTAATAAATTACAGTGAAAATGACTCTATGAGTTCGGTGAGTCCCCCTAGTGAATCACTGAACCTGGGGTGATCCTGGGGGCCCCTAATTCAGGGTCAGATCCACACTGGCGTTGCAGTCTGACAGTTGTCCCCAGCTCCTCTGGCTCCTCCCCTTTTTCCCTTCACAGCTGTTTCTCCAAATAAATCTCTTGCTCATCTAAATCTCATTTTGGCATCTGCTTCTGGGAGGATCTGAAACTAATGTACCAATGAATATTACCAACTGAATGTTCTCCTGGAAACTTATAACATATCTAAAACTACATTCTCTGTCTTGCTAAAGAAATCACCATCAACTCACTCTTCCAAGTAGAAAATCTTTCTCACTTCCTCCCGACAGCCTCCAGGTATACTCATGCTTGTGAGCCCACACTCTCCATCCTGAGCCATCTCATCTTTAGGATACTGAAGACAGACCTCTGATGGGCTCCCAGTGCTAATTTAAAGCCCTTTGCTGACTCCGCTGCTGCTTTCAGAGACAGTTAATTCCAGATGCCTCTGGTCCCCAACCACAGCCAGCACACCCAGCCTGACCCTCTCTCTCTTTCCAAGGCATAAACTCCAGTCACGTGTAACTCCCTACCCTCACTGACCATCACTCCCTTGCATGTTATATTCTTGCTGCCTAGAATACCCTTTCTTCTAGTTATAACCCACATGAGTTTCTATTGCTCCTTTGAAATACAGCTCAAATACCTTAACCGGTGAAGCTGCATCTTTCATTGACTCTGTTCCCCCGAGCTCCCTTAGCACACTGATATAATTTGGTTTTATAGGTCTATCTCCATTCAAGAATAGAAAGCATATTTTATTGTTATTCCAGTTCTTGACATTTAATACATTATTGATGAAATATTCATAACATGATCATTAACTTTAAAAAAGGAATGAAAATTCCTACATCTGTGATTGAAGGTAACTAAATGTGTTTTACCAGGAAGTTAGGCTTACATGGTCTTGATATGAGGTCATAATAGAGCAGACGATCCCACTAATTAAATAGAAATTGGAGGTCTTTTGTACACTATTTCCTGGTAACAGCCTTTTAAGTTCAATTAGAATACACTGCATTTCCACTGAGGTAGTAAGCGGAATTGCACTAGGAAATACAGAAATGTAGCTACTCTTCATAAGGCTGACAATCTTACATAAACCGGCCAAGAGGTGTATGCGTTTTAAGGAAGCGTTAGCAGGAGAACTAGCCTTTATTCTATCAGGAACCGGTTCTAGGCCCAGGAAAGGTTGCAAGGAGAAACATTTTAACCTAATGTTCCAAGGAAAGGCTATTTAGAATGTATTCTAAGGGTTAATATTTAGGGTGAAGTACTTTGAACTAAATCATTAATTACTTCTAAGACAAAATAGGATAAAATTTATGTTGTAGTTAAAGTGATGAGACCTTAGGAAAACTCACAGGATACAGATGTGCTGTATTAGTTAAATAAACCAGTCTCTATGCTGTTGGGGGGAGGGGCAGAATGACACACAAACATCACAAAATGTATTTATGAAGAAAACATCTATTCTAAGCTTTGAATTTGTTTCATAAAAATATGGCCAATTTTGAATATTCTTGAACCATAAACATTTTAAATTACCTGGAGATATTCCTAGTTTGTTGTTCTGTTAAGCCGAGCTCATCACTGGACACTCCATCTTTTGTAATAAGGTCATCAATAATGTCTGCAATATCAGTCAATCCAGTCATCTGGAATGGACCTACTGAAACACTTCATTTGCAAATGCAATTTGAGAAATATACGTCAGTATCTACAACTTAATTACATCAACCAAAAATGAACATGTAAAAACTATGCCCTCCAAGAGCGTAAACGAACAAAAAATGCTTAACATATAACTACTGTTCCTTCTATTTCTTTAATTCCAGTAATCCTGAGTGGAAAAGCCTAGTCATCTATAATTGACGACTTTGTGCGTTCTCTTAAAAAAGCAAACAGAAGGCCCAGGAGACAACCTCTACCTGTGCTGCCTGCTGAAATTTAAGACATAGGTAGTAAAAGAAAGTGTAGCAAATGTAGCCTATTGCACTCCAATAACCAATGCTAAAATGGTGAGGGATACAATATAACAATCCTCAGTTTCTTAAAACACCCCATCCCCAATGGGAATTAATTATATTCCTTTAATCCACAAAAAAATATGTAGTGTAGAAGTTCACATACATATGAACAACAAAATTTCCAGAACACATAATTTATATCCAGCTTTAAGTAAAACTGTGAATTAATTCTTAAGATATTTACCTTTCAAATAACTCATCACTGTTATTCACACCTTAAAAGAAGATACATTATTATTAATAAAAATTTCAGGTCAGTTATTTTTTTCTACTTTCGATTATTAACCTGATTTAGAAATTATATAACCAGAAATTGAAATATTTTTAAACCTCCAAATTGGTTTAAAGATATATATGTATAGCATATTTATCCTCCTCTTAAATATGCTATTTGGTAGTGAATATTGTGCACATTTTAAGATTATTACTTTTCTATCCAGAGTACTCTGAATAATAGACTTTAAGAGATATAATTCTTCTTTGTTTAGTACACAGTTTAGAATGCTGGAATGCAATTTTACTAAAAAAACAAAAAACAAAAAAACTTCTGATGATCTAAAAGTAATACATTTGGGAAAATATCCAATCTAAATCCAAGAAAACCTTTATTTGGAAGACCATGACCCAGAAAAATATTTTTTAAACCTTGTCCAATATTAACTACATGTCTTTAAAGCAAAACACTGTATGTTTAATCCTGAAAGAGAACTGAGTTAGTGTAGGAAAGAGTGTTCTGACATCTCTTCTCAAAAATATCTCCTTGTTAGGGGTCCGGCCCAGTGGCACAGCGGTTAAGTTTGCATCTTCCGCTTCGGCAGCCCAGGGTTCGCCAGTTCAGATGCGGACATGGCACCACGTGGCAAGCCATTCTGTGGTAGGCGTCCCACATATAAAGTAGAGGAAGATGGGCATGGATGTTAGCTCAGGGCCAGTCTTCCTCAGCAAAAAGAGGAGGATTGGCAGCAGATGTTAGCTCAGGGTTAATCTTCCACAAAAAATACAAAAAAAAATTTCATTGTTAATATTTTCTTATACTAAGATAAATTCACCCTGCCCCTAAGACTTACACATCCACATGTTTTTTATAGTAAATAATTTTGTCTTCCTAAGTACATGTTGTTTTGCTTAACTTATTAATCCTCAAATCAAGGATTTTATATTATCTTTGTTCTCGGAGTCTGGGCATTCGTGAGTTAACAGTAATTAATCAAATTTACCTATTAAGAAAAGCCTCAACTAGTGAAAGAAAATAATGATCACAGTTTAAGTACAGGTTAATCGGATACAACAGGTCCGACTATTAAGAAATGAAACTGATTCCTTTTCTCAAAGGGTAGAATAGTGTTATATCCAGATAAATACCTTTACAAGTAGTTACACAGGAAGACTATATCCTGACTTCATTTTCAAACCATTTTTGGAACTCTCCCTTTGGGACGGCCTTCACAATTTACTAAACACAATTGATCAGCTTCATTCCTTGATAATCACATTCCTTTTTTTTCATTCCAAACAATGACACTCAGCCTGATCATCTACTTCATTTATCAGAAATGCCTCTGAATAACCTATGGCTGTTACCAAAAATCAATGAATAAATTATTTGCCACTATTAAGAACACTCAGAAGGATGTGCTAAGAAATGGAAGTCAGTTTCACGAGAGGAAATCTAACCTATTTTTGAGCACTAGAAGTAAGCACTAGATGTCTTTCCAAGATGCAAACTGTGGAGAAGAAAACACCCTTAGGGCATCTAAATTCTATACTTTCAAAAAAATAATTTGGTTTCTTCTTTAATCTGCAATCAAACACTGAATACTAGAGAAAAACATTTTAATTTATCCATCTTTTATGTGTTATACCATTTACTAACATTTCCTCTTTTTTTCCTCTTGCATACTAATTTAAGAAGCTATTACAATCTTGAATGAAACACCTCCTTGACCTGGTACTTTGAATTTCTCTTTTCCTACTCCTTTCTTTTCTTCTGCCTTTAAACATTAAACAGCTTGTATTTATCTCCATCTTAAAATGATCCTTGACTTCATTTCCCTTATCTCCTTTTCTACTTCCTTCTACTGTCAGAATTCTTAAGTAGTCTACACCTGTAGCTTCTTGAGCCTGTCTTTGTCCCCACCTGCCCTCTTCTACTCTTGATATTACACTGAAAGTCCCCAAAGTCCGTAAAAAGCTCAGTCTTTATTCTCAACTTTCTGGTGGCTTGTGAAGCTGTTAGCCATGCACGTTTTCTTGGAAATCCCTTCACCTGAGTCTGCTCATCCATTTCCCTCACTGAGGAGGCTCCTCCTGCTCTTTACTGGGTGACATTTCACAGGCTGGCCCTTGGCATTTTCCCTTTTTCCATCTTTCTTGCACAGAACAGACGCACTCTGTCAGTCTTAACTACATAATTAGGTAAAAGGCTCTTACATCTGTTTTTCAAGCCTATCATCAAGCTCCACTTACTTGTCAAAACTGGTCCTAAATATGGCCATTTATACAGCCCAGCATCACCTCAAACCCTACATTTGGTCTTAAGGGACTCTTGACATCAGACCTGGTCATATCCTTGCTCCTACAGTCTGACAACACTGAATAGCCATTCATTTTCTCCTTCTCCTCCTCTTTTATCCACTTAGTCAGTAAATACCACCAGTTGCCTATTGAGAGTGTCTCATTTCTTCTTCTTCTTTTCTTTTCAAAGATTGGCACCTGAGCTAACAACCGTTGCCAATCTTTTGGTTTTTTTTCCTGATTTTTTCTCCCCAAATCACCCCAGTACATAGTTGTGTATTTTAGTTGTGGGTCCTTCTAGTTGTGGCATGTGGGATTCCACCCCAGCGTGGCCTTACGAGCAGTGCCACGTCAGTGCCCAAGATCTAAACTAGCAAAACCCTGGGGCGCTGAAGTGGAGCGCACGAACTTAACCTCTCGGCCACGGGGCTAGCCCACTTTTTTTTTTTTTTTTAAGGAAGATTAGCCCTGAGCTAACATCTGCTGCCAATCCTTCTCTTTTTGCTGAGGAAGACTGGCCCTGAGCTAATATCCATGCCCATCTTCCTCCACTTTATATGTGAGAAGCCTGCTGCAGCTTGGCTTGACAAGCAGTGCATAGGTCTGCACCTGGGATCTGAACTGGTGAACCCCAGGCCACCAAAGCAGAACGTGTGAACTTAACCACTGCGCCACTGGGCTGGCCCCTTGTTTCTTCTTTTCCTTTCCCACAACACTGACCAGGCCCTCATTACTTCGCAGGTCAGATTGATACAACAGCTCACTAACTGACCTATGCCTCCATTCTAGTCTCCTTCAAACCTCCTCATTTTACTTCTCTGCTCAGAATTCTCCAATGATTCCCAAGTACAAAAAGGAGTTTAAACTTCTCATATACAATTAGAACCGTCTACAACCTCTTTAACCTCATTTGTCAATTCTCCCCCATAGGAGGGAAGAAAAAGGCTACTGGTGATCAACAATCTGCAGAAATCAAACAGAGACTCAGCTAGATGCTTTCTATGTAATAGTCAATCTTCACAATTCTGTGAAATGGAAATGATTATCTGCATATGATGATGACTAAAATACAAATGGAATCCAGAAGAACTCGGGGGAAAAAATTACAAGATTTAAAGCCAGCTTCTTAATAGCTTTTATTTTTTTCCTTTTTGTTTTTTCCTCCCGAAAGCGCCCTGGTACATAGTTGTGTATTTTTAGTTGTGGATCCTTCTAGTTGTGGCATGTGGGACGCCACCTCAGCGTGGCTTGATAAGTGGTGCCATGTCTGCGCCCAGGATTTGAATCGGCGAAACCCTGGGCCGCCGAAGCGGAGCATGTGAACTTAACCACTCGGCCACAGGGCCGGCCCCATGCTTTTCTTTTATTTAAATTAAAGCAATGCCATTTAAAAATAGCATTTTTTTACTGCTTATGTTACCTTAATGATGGTAATAAAACACATTGTAAATATTCAGTAAAATCATCACTATTGACCATCAATATCTGAGGGCAAAAGAAATATTTCAAAGCCATTGTCAGTGGTTCAATTGTTGAATTTAGTAGGACCTACTACTCATATGACAAAATGTATTCATAGGACTAAAGAATAACGTTTTAAATTGCCAGCTCCAAATGAAATGGAATGAAAATTGGCACTAAACTGCTGCAAGTCTTGATATCCTCAACTGTAAAATGGGCACAATAATGGGCCTGCCTCACACATCAGGCTTAGACCAGGGTTGATGCAGGTAAAACTGCAATGTCTGCATGGCAGAGGCTCAAAAATCACAGCCATTATTTTGTTATCAAATTGAAATTCCAGCTTCTCATAATTGGCAGAGTTTGAATTTCTCAGTTTTTGTAAAAAATCAAATATAGTAATTCCAGTTGCTATATATCTAACATTAATAAGTTACACAGAGATATGATACAAGCTTGCAGTATATCTTATAAAAGTGGCAAGACGATATAGTGCTTCATGTGAATGGCACAATTTTTAACTTCCCTTCCTCTGAAATTTATAAACATTGCAAAATAGCTTCTCAAATCCTTCACAACTATATTCCCAGTAAATACTCTTCAGTCACCGTACCTTGGAAAATAAGAGGGTAAATGAATAAAATGAAGAACAATACCAGGAGACGTCATATTCTGGTCACTGGAAAGGCTGACAGCCGAATCAGCAGAAGGAAACACGCAGGTTTTCTGACTAGAATGAGTTTCTGTTACTGAAAATTCAGCTTCTGAAGTCTCTTCTCTGTCACTTTGATCTTCCTTATTCACATGGGTCAGGAAATGCACTAATTCAGAGTAGATATTACAATTAAAAGAAAACAGAGAAAAAAAATCACATGGAAAGGATGTAACACTTAGCTAACACTTCCACGTAGCCACAGATATACTAGAAGTTTGCAACATATTATTCTGACAGCTTTCTACAATATAACGAAACTATTTAATACAACATTTAAAATTTGAACTTCCCCATAGTGAAAAACTATTAAATTTATCAACTTCAGAAAATATGGTAGACTGAACTAAAGTTGACAGGCCCATGCCCTATTATAAAAACACAGAAGAAATACTAAATTAAAAAAAAAAAAAAGATAATACACAACCAAGCCCTGTCAATAAAGAAATATCCTGGTGCCAGAAAAGAAAAAGGAATTCAAAGCTGGGCAATAACTGGGCGATGATGCTGGGACAGTCCACAGAGGAACAGAAGAGGTGGTTTCTGCAGACTGCAGTGAGGGGAACTGAGCTACCCTCATGCGGCCTAGAGCGCTGAGGGAGAGGTCTGTCCATAACACGGGGATAAAAAAAACCCCGTCCTGGAAAAGCAGCAAAAGAGTTTTCCATCTGCCTGGAGAGTGAATGGGAGCAAAATAAAAGTCAACTCTGAGAAATCAAACCCCTGTCTTGCCACAAGCAGGTGTGGGATCTGAATTTATACTATTTACGTAGTACAGTAACTCCAAGCCAAGAAATGTATATAAAAACTTGTCCTCCAATTTTTTTCTACTTCAGTGACAGCAAGAAGCAAATACAAAACCACTCCAAAGATAAACACACACAGCCCAGCAGAACTCCCACTAAAGGTATGCTCATGATAAAAAAATTACAAATCACACAAAGAGACAAGCAACCATAAAGACAGTCAGTATGCGGATTCAACAACTGAGAATAGGCACACACGAAATGAAACAATCTGAAAGGGCACAAAATGTTACTAAAATCATCAAACAGATAAAAGAAGGCACAGAAACCACAATAAAAGAACAGGACAGTTCATCCAAAGAGCAGACAGACTTGAAAAATAAATAAACAGATCTTCTAGACATTAAGAACGTAGTCACCAAAATTAAAATCCTACAGCAAAGAAGACATAGCAGAAGAGAGAATCATTAAACTAAGAGAGATCTGAGGAAATCCCCCTCAGTACATCAGCGAGACATTAAGGGGTGGAAATTAAGAAGTGGTGAAGAGATACGGAAGACAGACAGGGAACATAGACCTCCAAAATGTGTTTCAGAAAAGGGAAAAGAAAGAATGCAGAGGAAGTAATATTCCAAAAGAAAATGGATGAAAAATTCCCAGTGTTAAACCTGCAAATTAAAGAATCATTCCTACTCCCATATAGAAAAAATAAAAAGAAATATACACCTAGACAGACACACTGTATCAAAAATGCAAAATAAACCAAAAATAAAGAGAAAACTTTAAAAGCACTCAGAGACAGAAGAACAGCAATTAGACAGACAGCACACACGTAGTATAAACTCAGCAGTTAGAGACGTCAGTAGATGATGGAATCATATCTTTAAAATGCTGAGGGAAAATAAGCATCAACCTAGAATTCTGTACTCAGCTATAAGCCATCACTCATGAATGTAGTAAAATTAAAGCTATTTTCAAAGACTGGGAGAATTTACACTGACAGATTCTAGATGAAAGAACTAATAAAGGGAAGAAGGAAACAACCCTCGAGAAGTGGATGCAAGAAGCAATGGTGGGCAACAGAGTAGAGAAGAGAAAATCCCAGAGTGCATCTCAGGCAGCAAGGTAAGTATTATTTCATGAAACTTGGGTTTTGGTTTTAAATATTTATTGTTTACATATTTAAATTAAAAATAAAAGAAGCAATTGAGGGCAAAGAAACTGGCAAACGTGCTAATAAATCCAAATAAGTATTGACTTAAAAGGGAGACTAAACAGGAGAGCTAAAAACAAAGGTAGAACTAAAATATTAGAAAACAATATCAAAGAAGATGGGAGGGAGTAGATTAGTGTTAAAAGCTCTAATGTCGGGGCTGGCCCGGTGGCGCAGCAGTTAGGTTTGCAAGTTCCACTTCTCAGCAGCCCAGGGCTCGCCAGTTCGGATCCCGGGTGCTGACATGGCACCGCTTGGCAAGCCATGCTGTGGTAGGCGTCCCACATATAAAGTAGAGGAAGATGGGCACGGATGTTAGCTCAGGGCCAGTCTTCCTCAGCAAAAAGAGGAGGATTGGCAGTAGTTAGCTCAGGGCTAATCTTCCTCAAAAAAAAAAAAAAAGCTCTAACATCTTAATATTGTTGGAGAGGTAAATATATTTGCCTTAGGTTTTAACTCAACTATGAATGTTGAAAATTCAAGAACAATCACTAAGAGATTAAAAATAGAATGTATAGGGGGCTAGCCCCATGGCTGAGTGGTTAAAGTTCCATGCACTCTGCTTCAGTGGCCTGGGTTCTCAGGTTCAGATCCCAGGCATGGATCTACATCACTCACCAGCTATGCTGTGGCAGTTTCCCACATACAAAGCAGAGGAAGACTGGCACAGATGTCAGCTCAGGGCCAATCCTCCTCAGCACAAAAGAGGAAGACTGGCAACGGATGTTAGCACAGGGTGAATATTCCTCAGGAAGAAAAGAAATGGAATATACAATTTCTGAAACAATAGAGGGGGAAAGAGAGAATATAGAAAACTCAATCCAAAAGAAGGAAAGAAAGAATGACAAAAACTAAAGAAAAAAATGCATAGAAAATTGGAAGCACAAAATAAGATTATAGATTAAGCACAAATATATCAGTTATCACAATAAATGGAAACTGATTATACTTGATGATTAAAACACAAACTGTATAATTATTTAAAAGAATGAAGTCTAGTTATATGCTGGACACAACATAACTACTCAGCTTGAAAGGAAAAGGATGTCTAATTCACAGGAAGTCCAGGGGACAGAGGAATATGTTAAATGACATCACAGAGACTCAACTAGCAAAATCCAGACTCTGAAAAACACTTCAGGACAAACATCTAGGTTTCTTCAACAAATAAATTGAAAGGAGGAAAAAAGAGAGAGAAAGGAAGAACCCAAAATTCAGAGAGACTCATAAGCCATCAACCAACTCCATGTGTAGACCTTACTTGGGTTCCAACTAGAACAAATAAACTATTTTTTAAATGAGACAACTGGCAACATTTGAAAATTGATTAGTTATATGAAAATATTAAGATTTTTTTCAAAAGAGTGACAATATTATTTTGCCTATGTTTAACAAAAAGAGACCTTATCGCTTAGAAATACATATAAAATATTTATGGATAAAATAATGGGCTGTCTGGGATTTGCATCAAAATAATCCAGGAGAAGGTAGGAAGACTTGGTTGGATGTAAACATAAAACAGGACGGGCCACGAGTGGATAACTGTTACAGTTGGTTGTCGGGGACATGAAACTTAATTATACTACTCTGTCTTCTATTGAAATATGTTTGAAATTTTCATAATAAATTTATAAAAAATAAAGTGTCAAAAAATATATGCCAGGCAAAAGAAAGCAGGAATGGAAATACTAATATTGGACAAAATTGGCTTTGAGTCTAAAAGCATTATTGGGGATAAAGAGGGTCATTACTTAATGATAAAAGGGACAAAATTCAACAAAAAATATAACAATTATGAACTATATTCATTTTATAATATAGCCTAAACTATACAAAGCAACATTGAATAGAATTACAAGGAAAAATAAACAATTCCACAATCATTGTGGGGAATGTTTAATGCAGCCTTCTGAGAAATAAATAGATCAAGCAAACTGAAAAGTCAGAAAGACTACAGAAAATCTGGACAATACAATTTAGAAGCTTGACTAAATATATATATCTATATATAGATAGATGGATATATCTATGTATCTCCTACATAAACTGATAGAAAATGCTTGTTCTTTTCAAATAAACAGAACATTTATAAAAACCAACTATATATACTAGGTCACACAGGAAATTTTAACAAATATCTAAGAATTGATATTATAGTATACTCACCTAATCACAATACAACAAAAATGGATACAAATTACAAAAATATAGCCCAAACCTCCTAAGATTTGGAAGCTAAAAACCCTTTTTATGCACTAAAGAAGAAATCTTATTACAAACAAACAGTTTATCTGAACACCACCAAAAGATGGTACGTATCAACACTCTTGTCTGGGTCCTTGCAGGAACATATTCAGCCTCAAATGCATATATTAGTGTAAAAAAAAGAATAAAGTTAGGAAAAAAACAAGTTAAGACCCCAAAAGCAGAGGAAATAATAACGCTAAGAGTAAAAATTTATGAAAAAGAAAATTAAGAAGCAGCAGAATCAACAAACCAAAGCCTGGTTTTTCAAAAATTAAATTGCTGACAGGACTGAATGAGAGAGGGAATATAGATATAAACAACAACTATAGATATGGTAGAACACTTCTTAAATAACTACCCTAATTTCATTCACATTATCACAAAAATAATCCTAATCTCAAAACGGGGCTGACGGCTTCAGCTAACATATGAACACTATTCCTAGTGGTGGCTCCCAAAAGTCAATGCTGCTTCTTTCAAAGCGAGGTTTCAGTCCCACCCCTCAACCCCTACAAACCTTCTTCGGAAATGCTGATGGTTTTTGAAGCCAGTTTTTTTTCAGATTCAGGACCAGAAGACAATTCAATGTGATCCAAAGGTCCAACCTGTAGAAAAACACACACAACAAAAAAACTGTTATAAACTGTTATAGTTTGATAATTGCAAAATACTGTAAACAATTTTACACAGTTTAAAATATTTGCATTAATGCAACAAATGAAAGAAATGAGATTAAATCTAATATGAGATAAAAGATGGGGATTGATGAAGAGGAGGAAATTTTTACTTATTTGTAGCTTAACTGATTTAACATTTCAAGAGGCTCAGGAAAATAGCATCATGTAATTTTAGAATGGGGAGGAATGTTAACTATCATCTAGACAAAACCTTTCATTTTAAAAATGAGGGAACAAGGCCCAGAGAAATTCAGTGACTTTCTTAGCGCGAGAACATGGACTTGAAGCCAGGTCTTCTGGGCCCCTAGTTACTGCTTGTCCACAGTATCCCTCTGCCTCTTCCAGACCTATGAGCTGTTTTCTTAACTAAAATGGGAAAATCAAAATCTTGTGTATTTATACGCACATTATAATAGGAGGAGAATATTTTAAACGTCTTCCTAAATGATGACTCTAAAATCTGTCTGATCAACCCGGACTAGCTCCTGAGATCCAGGAGCATATATCCAACTGCCTACTAATCTCACAGCACCTCAAATGTAACATGTCCCTGATAGACACCACTGGGCCTCCCTCCCCCCAACACACACACACTCCCTCTCCCTTAGTTTGGAAAACGGCTCCATCATTCATCCAGGCTGGAAATCTGGACATCATTGTAAATCTGTCTTTTTCACCTTCCCACAGCTGACAAACCTCTGAATCCTGCTACATCCTTCCCTCCATGCCCAATTCTAAAGTTCAGGTTATTATCACTCCTTGGCTTGGTACTCAGTGGATTCCAAACACCAATCAGTAGACCTGGTATAGAGCTAGCTGCATAGGAATCATTTAGGAAGCTTGCTAACAATACAGATTCCTGGGCTCCACCCCAGACCTACCTAAAATCAGAATCTCAGGGATACAGGGCCCATGAGTTTGCATTTCTGACAAGTTCCCAAGATGATTCTAATGAGGGGCTAGTTTGGAACCACTGTGACCCAACTGATCTCCTTGCTCCCAGTCTTACCCTCTCCATTCTACCTTCCACACCATTGCCAGATTGTCTGATCATATCATTTCACTGCTTAAAATTCTTCCATGGTATTGGAAGAATAAACATAGTTAAAATGTCCATACTACCCAAAGCAATCTACAGATTCAATGCAATATCTATCAGAATCCCAATGACATTCTTCATGAAGATAGAGCAAAGAATACTAAAATTTATATGGGGCAATCAAAGACTCAGAATTGCTAAGGCAATCCTGAGAAAAAAGAACAAAGCTGGAGGCATCACAATCCCTGACTTCAAAATGTAGTACAAAGCCATATTGATCAAAACAGCATGGTACTGGTACAAAAACAGATGCACAGATCAATGGAACAGAATTGAAAGCCCAGAAATAAAACCACACATCTATGGACAGCTAATCTTTGACAAAGGAGCTAAGAGCCTACAATGGAGGAAAGAAAGTCTCTTCAACAAATGGTGCTGGGAAAACTGGACAGCCACATGTAAAAGAATGAAAATCAATCATTCTTTTTCACCATTTACTAAAATAAACTCAAAATGGATCAAAGACCTAAAGATTAGGCCTGAAACAATAAGTCTTGTAGAAGAGAATATTGGCAGTACACTCTTTGACATCAGCTTCGAAAGAATCTTTTCGGACACCATAACCCCTCACATGAGGGAAACAATAGAAAGAATAAACAAATGGGACTTCATCAGACTAAAGAGCTTCTTCAAGGCAAGGGAAAACAGGATTGAAACAAAAAAACAGCCCACTAATTGGGAAAAAATATTCACAAGTTATTTATCCGACGAAGGGTTAATCGCCATAATATACAAAGAACTCACACAACTCAACAATAAAAAATCAAACAACCCGATCAAAAAATGGGCAGGGGACATGAACAGACATTTCTCCAAAGAAGATATACGAATGGCCAATAGACACATGAAAAGATGCTCATCATCACTAATCATTAGGGAAATGCAAATCAAAACTACACTAAGATATCACCTTACACCTGTTAGAATGGCAAAAATATCCCAAACCAAGAGTGACAAATGTTGGAGAGGCTGTGGAGAAAAGGGAACCCTCATACACTGTTGGTAGGAATGCAAACTGGTGCAGCCACTATGGAAAACAGTATGGAGATTCCTCAAAAAGTTAAGAATAGAAATACCTTATGACCCAGCCATCCCACTACTGGGTATCTATCCTAAGAACCTGAAATCAGCAATTCCAAAAGTTCCATGCACCCCTATGTTCATCACAGCATTATTCACAAGAGCCAAGTCATGGAACCAACCTAAGTGCCCAGCAACTGATGATTGGATAAAGACGATGTGGTATACATATACAATGGAATACTACTTGGCCGTAAAAAAGGACAAAGTCGTCCCATTCACAACAACATGGATAGACCTTGAGGGTATTATGTTGAGTGAAATAAGCCAGACAGAGAAAGACGAACTTTGTATGACTCCACTCATAGGTGGTAGTTAACATATGGACAAAGAGAACTGAGCAGTGGTTGCCACGGGAAAGGGGGGGGTGGGGGGAGGGCACTAGGGGTGAAGTGGTGTACCTACAACAAGACTAATAATGATGTACAACTGTAATTTCACAAGGTTGTTAACTATCATAACCTTAATAAAAAAAAATATTCAGCTATCCTTTTGGGAATACCACCCTCCCCCAAAACAAAAAAAATATTTTCGTAGTGGCTTTTTTAGATGCAGGAAGTACTCTTGCAGTATAAAAGTAACACGTGATAACCAAAACTGGAAAGCAAATAGTATTACAGTTTTAAGTACTATGTAACTTGAAATAAAATATATCAATGTGCTGTTAAAATCTAAAGGCTTGATAGAAATGGCTCTAAAATTCATGTTTATAATTAGCATAATGATGTTAATATAGGACTTTTCCCTATCATCTGGAATTGTTTTAATTTTAAGGTACAAGAAAAGAATTGTCTACTTTTATTTGATTCTACTTGAATGTTTTTTTCTTCTATGTATAAATTAAAATATTTTCTCAGTCTCATCTTAAGAGTATCAAGCACTAAAAAAACAAAACAAAACAAAACAAAAAACCAGCATGGTACTGGTACAAAAACAGGCACACAGATCAATGGAACAGAACTGAAAGCCCAGAAATAAAACCACACATCTACGGACAGCTAATCTTCAACAAGGGTGCCAAGAACATACAATGGAGAAAAGATAGTCTCTTCAATAATTTGTGTTGGGAAAACTGGACAGCCACATGCAAAAGAATGAAGGTAGACCACTATCTCACACCATACACAAAAATAAACTCAAAATGGATCAAAGACTTGAAGATACATCCTGAAACTATAAAACTCCTGGAAGATAATATTGGTAGTACACTCTTTGACATTGAAATAAACAGGATCTTTTCAAATACCGTGTCCTCTCAGACAAGGGAAACAATAGAAAAAATAAACAAGTGGGAATTCATCAGACTAAAGAGCTTCTGCAACGCAAAAGAAACTAGGATCAAAACAAAGAGACAACCCACCAATTGGGAGAAAATATTTGCAAATCATATATCTGACAAGGGGTTAATCTCCATAATATATAAGGAACTCATATAAATGAACAATAAGAAAGCAAACAATCCAAATCAAAAAGTGGGCAGAGGAGATGAACAGACATTTTTCCAAAGAAGATATACAGATGGCTGATAAACACATGAAAAGACGTTCAACATCACTAATCATCAGGGAAATACAAATCAAAACTACACTAAGATACCACCTTACACCTGTTAAAATGCCTATAATCACTAAGATTAAAAGTAACAAATGTTGGGGAGGGTGTGGAGAGAAGGGAACCCTCACACATTGCTGGTGGGAATGCAAACTGGTGCAACCACTATGGAAAACAGTATGGAGATTCCTCAAAAAACTAAAAATAGAAATACCATATGACCCAGCTATCCCACTACTGGCTATCTACCCAAACAATTTGAAATCAACAATCCAAAGTAACATACGCACCCCTATGTTCATTGCAGCACTATTCACAATAGCCAAGACATGGAAGCAACCCAAGTGCCCATTGACCGATGATTAGCTAAAGAAGATATGGTGTATACATATACAATGGAATACTACTCAGCCAGAAAAAAAGACAAATTCATCCCATTTGCAATAACATGGAAGGACCTAGAGGGAATTATGCTTAGCGAAATAAGCCAATCTGAGAAAGACAAACACCAGATGATTTCACTCATATGTAGAATATAAACAAGTACTGAGACAAAGAAAACAGTTCAGCAGTTACCAGGGGAAGGGAGGTGGGGGGGGGACAGGGGGTGAAGGGGAGCACTTATGTGGTGACAGTCGAGAAATAATGTACAACTGAAATGTCACATTGATGTAAGCTATTATGAACTCAATAAAAAAAAAAATTCTTCCATAGTTCCCCACTGCCTACTTATAAGATAAAATCCTAATCACCTGGCATTGCAAACTATTCTTTCCATCCTTCCTTATCTGCCCCTACCTACCTCTACTGCCACATGTCTTAAAGCCCAGTCCCACCAAGCCCTACTTCCAGCTAATGTTGACACAGTTCCCCAAACACTCTAGGCCATTTGACTCCTTCTGCTTTTGTTTATAATGTTTCATCAGCTCTTCCTTATCTAACCGATGAACATCAATTCATTAGCAGCTCAAGAGTCCCCTTTACAAAGCCTTCTCTCATGCCACAGCTTCACTTACCTGTCCAGTCACAGCAAGCCAGGTGTACCTGTGTGTGCTCACCACACCCTATTCATATGTATTTATTGGGGTACATATAAGTCTATCTTCTTTTATTAGATTCTAAACTCCCTGTCAGGGACTATCCCTTATCCATCTTTCTATTCCCAGAACTTAGCACAAGGCCTAGAATGCAGTAGCTCAATAAACGTTTGTTGAAAGAATGAATCACTCATGGACTCTGGCGAGAGTGAACAACCCTAGATTCAGGTTTAAGTAACATATCTGGCTTTACATTTGCTTAATATACTAGATCAGAAGGCAATTTCAAAAGAGATTCTTTGGAATAAGGAGTTCCAAGGACAACTTCGACATTCAACATTCATTTGGAAGTGATAGATCTAAGTCTGAGTTAAACAAAAATGAAAATAACCAAATAAACATCATCGTATCATTACTTAATAGTATTTTTTGTTACAGTAAACATTTTTTCAGTTTAGTCTCATGTATATTTAATCTTAACTTTTTAATATATGTTAAATGTTTGGATTAAATACTGTAAACCTAATAAAGACATCTTTTAAAATGTCAACATGCTAGCAACCTGGAATATTTGTTAGGTAAGTCAATGATGGAATTCCTTTCCTGCAGACTAATTTGCATTTCCCAATATTAGCCTTTAACACCTGCAAAATACTTTTACTATTTGTTCTTTAATCTTTTTTTTTTAAGATTTTATTTTTTCCTTTTTCTCCCCAAAGCCCCATAATACATAGTTGTATATTCTTCGTTGTGGGTCCTTCTAGTTGTGGCATGTGGGACGCTGCCTCAGCGTGGTTTGATGAGCGGTGCCATGTCCGCGCCCAGGATTCGAACCAATGAAACACTGGGCCGCCTGCAGCGGAGCGCGGGAATTTAAGCACTCAGCTACGGGGCCAGCCCCCTGTTCTTTAATCTTTATTATATAAATTTTACTTCCTAAAAAAAAAAGGACATGATGTTTGTACAAAATAATTACTTTTTGAGACTTTGCTTACTATTTTATCTACCTACCATGATATACCATTACACACAAACATTAATCTCTTGATTATGAATCTTTTTAAAGATACAGAAAATTTCTAAGGACTACTTGCCTCACTGTATAAATATTTAAAAGAAACTGAGGATTCCAAATATAGGGACAAAAATATTTGTAAAGTTATAAACATTTTCCCAAAGAAAATGATACTCAATTACAGCAGGGTTTGTTTAAAACATTCTGGCTTTGTAAATCATTATTTATTTTCCTGGTAGGAAGCACAGGTTCACTTCCTGAAACCTTAAGGCAGTGGTTCTCAACTGCGGCAGTTTTGCCCCCGGGGATACGTGTCCACGTCTGGAGACATTTTTGACCATCTCAGCTGCAGTGCGCTACTGACAGCCAGTGGGTCACGACCACGGATGCTACCAAACTCCCTACAACGCAGACAGCCTCCCGCAACAAAAAGATATCTGGCCTAAATGTCAGTCATGCTGAGGTTAAGAAACCCTAGCTTAAAAAAAACATATTTCCCTTATTTTTAAAAATCACGTGACTCACGGTATATCACACTACAAATCTACTAACTCGGTTACAAACAGAAAAACTAAAATAAAGACAGTCTACCTTATCGCAGTGTCGGTCTAGCACTTCGTGTCTGGGGAAATCCTGCTCTATATTTTCAGCAATGCTCTGTATTGCTAACAGCTGTTCATCAATTTTCTGAAGCTTAGAGGTGAGATGCTCTAGCCGGCAAGCTGCAGAGCTCGGCGCAGGACGAGCGACGGAGACATCGTGCAGCACTTCCCACAGCAGATAATCTTCTCCAGCATCCGACTTTGAGCTCTGTTCTTTGAATTGAAAATCTGGCTTCGGCACAACTAAATATTAATAATGGCAACATCAGAATTGACTAAAAGAAAGAAGTAGATGCTGATGATCTAATTTTTAAGACCTCATTTTAAGTTAACATTACATGCCCTTCCAAACCAGTTTTAATTTAATGCACTTAGAAATTCCATTTCATCTTGACTTCTGAGATTTGTCTTGTTGAGAGAAGAATACATAACAATGTTGCTATTACCATAAATCTCCATACAGAAGACAGTTTGAATGTTACTTTTATCCTCTACTACAAAAATATAGTTCATCGAAAAGCAACTTTAATATTTTTATGACTTTTTAAAACTCTACTTGAAAACCAACAACATCACACAGTAAAAGCTAGGCCCAGTATTGGCCATTACTGACTCTACGTGGGATCTCAGGCAAACATGAAACCGCCCAAGACCAGTACCAAGGCCAACGACTCTCCCCACTCCGAAACTCAGTTGATTCTTGGCCCAAATTTGAAACACCTCGTTTTTTAAATGCATTCTTCCTCTGGCTTCTGGGTCTCCTCCTCCCCGTATTGCTCTTCCTTCTTCATCTTTTTTCCGGTCTTCTCTTCTGCCACCCACTCCTTCTTCCCATCAGTATTTCCTGGGGTGCCAGTCTCAGCACACTCCTCGCTCTACTCACTCTCTCTGAGTGATGTCACTGATGCACAGGTGACTTGAATTCATACTGGACTTTCTGAAAGCCAGCCCCTTAAGTCCATCTGTGTCCTGGACATCTCATGCAGGTTATCCCCAAAGCGTATCAAACCAAACTCATAGTTTCTGCCCCTCCAACTTGCTCCCTCTTCCTTATTATGCAGCTCAGTGAACAGCACTATTATTCACTCAGTTTCCAAAACCAGAGGCCTAACAGTCACCCAAGGTCCCTCTCTTTCCTTCAGATCCAAAGTGACATCAAATATTGATGACGTACCTACCAAACATCTCCATTCCTACCACCACAGTTTAGCTGCAGCTTTCACAACAGATGGACCCCAAATAGTATCCATATCTCTAACTTATTTCACCCTATCTAGTCCATCTTCCACTCAGGCCCTAGAGAGATCTTTGAAAATACAAATCTGATATTGCTCCTTTTCCACCTGAAATCCTTCAGCAGTGCTCTAACGTCATCTTAAAAGTTCAAATGCTTCAGTATGACAGATAACTTTATTCACACTCTTTCCTCCGTCTACCTCTCCAGCTCATCTCTTGCTATTTATTAAACAACAAAAAAAAGACCATTCCATTGACTCCAAGCTTAATGAACTTTTTTCTTAAACTCAGACAGCTCCATCAAACCTCCGAGTCATTGCACAATCCATTCTCATAGTCTGTATGCTCTTACTCTTGCTGAATCCTACTTTCCTTTAAGACTCCATTTAGGTGTCTCCCCCCTAAACAGCCCCAATCTTCCCCGCAGATGGACCCGATGCTGTATTTCCCGAGAATCTCATCCATACCACTGTGACAGCACTTCCTTCCTTCCCCTCACAGGTGGAACCACAGGCAGAGAGCCTGGAATTACGCTCCTGTTTAGCCCCAATACCTGGTACCTACCTTAGTATTTACTGAATGAAGAGTGAGTCAAATGAGGATCATGGTTGCCTGTCCTACTGAACTCATAGAGGTTTTATGAAGATCAAATTATGCAACACAATACTCTGAAAAATGTGAATTACTAAAGAAATGTAAGAAGTGCTTATTATATTTCAGTCCCAGTCTAAGGGGAACCTTCCAACAAGAAGATAGTGGTAAATTCCACTGCTGGCAAGGGCAGTTATATAATCTTTCCCTACCTGTTCTGGAGCTACCTTTTTTAGCTTGACTCTCACAGTCCTTGACCACCTACCCTTCCTGTTTCTCAAACTGAAGTGTCTCCCTTAATCACTCTCAGGGGAGAATTTGGTGCACAAATTTCAAGTAGAAAATGCAGCAAAAGAGATGGACATGCTCAAAATCCAGAATGCCCTACATACATAATGAAACTACCTTTGCTTTCTCTAGAGAACCTGCTCCACTCACAGTGACTAACAGAAAAAACCACCTATGGGGCCAGCCCGGTGGCACAGCAGTTAAGTTCACACGTTCAGCTTCTCGGCTGCCAGGGCTTCACCGGTTTGGATCCCAGGTGTGGACACGGCACCACTTGGCAAAAGCCATGCTGCGGTAGGTATCCTACATATAAAGCAGAGGAAGATGGGCCTGGATGTTAGCTCAGGGCCAGTCTTCCTCAGCAAAAAGAGGAGGATTGGCAGTCGTTAGCTCTCAGGGCTAATCTTCCTCAAAAAAAAAAACCACAAAACCACCTACTGAGTTCCATTGACCCTGAAATAGTCTCCCTCCGCCCAGCAAAGCTCTGCTTGCCGTTACTGGTGGCACTCCTATTGGGAGATAGTTTCTAAAATAGGAAGCTACTGTCATTCAAAATAGTGAGCAAGTCTCCACTAAAACAGAAATTTGTTTGTTTTGCTTTTGTTTTTTGTCAAATACCTAGGGACCTTGTCCCTCCCTTCTCTCAGCCTTTTCCTATAATGCAAATCCCACTTAACTCTACTCTGTAACTATATTCTGAGTTTTTAAAGTATGTTATGTAAATACCGTGATGGAATTTTAATTCCAAAATATAAAACTCTTCCTTTTAAATTGACATTTTTAAGTTCTTCTCTTTAATAAGAGTAGAAGGGTCCACTGACATATTTTCATGACCAGGCAGTCTCCCCAGTGAAGAATCCTCCAAAAAGCTGATTATAGACTTGATCTCACTGACAGAGGAAGTTAACCTGCAGCCATGATCATTTGAAATGCTGGCCTAAGACATTCAGGGGTCACAGGGAGATGGGTCTGGTACCAGTCTGTCAGAATTTCAGAAGTTGATTGCTGTGAAAATGAAGGGAAACTAACAGGGTACTTAAGTAGCCACAGGCATTTGGCTAGATGTAACCCTCATGACAACCCTGTGAGGTTTTGTCAAACAGAGATACAAGTGAGAATTAGATAAAGTTAATTTACTTGCAAAAAGTCTCCAAGCTATTATGTAACAGAGCTGGGATTGAAATCGAGTCTATTCTGTTTGAGTTTAAGAGCCATGCTCTTTTCACTTCTCCACACACCTGCCCAGCCTGAAAGACTGCTAGCTTCATACATCCTCCCTCCACCACCCATGCACCTAGCAGCCCAATGACAGGGGAGAGAGAGCGACCAAAGGCTTCAAAATCTGAAATGCTGGCAGTTACTCGTCTATGCAGCTGTAACACGCATGCGTGCCCCAACACATCCTAAGGTGAGGTCTCCTGCCACCCATCCCTTCCTTGCTCCTCATGTCTCCTGAGTGCCCACTGTTGATACACAATGAATAGGCAGTGCTGGATTCTGCTCCCAAGCATCTGACAACCACTAGGCTGGGTCCACTCCTTCCAACAGCTGTGGAACCCAGAAGAAACATTGGGTTTCTGGTGCAGGAAGTCTAAGTGTATGTGAGATTAATCTAATCATTCACCGGAAGTGAGACCTAGGTTTTGAAGAAACAGCCTTCTAAATCTTGCAAATATTTTACAATAATGCAGCCTGATTTATGACTATAAAACTGAATATTTTACTAATAAAGGACCGTTAGCTACCACCCCTGTGTATTTTCTATGAGCTATTCTAGAATTTCCCACATTTTTAAATATAAGAATTCCTTTTAATACCAGAACATTTATGAAATCCCACAGGATATTTATTTTTAGCCTCATTAATTGGAGAAAAGATATATGCACAAATACATCTGCAGTCTCCTTGCAAAATAGTCATGGGTCCCAACTTCGGAACCATGACTTTATTTTATTTATCTAGCTACCCCCACTCTCCTTAGCAAGGGAGAAGCCTTTTTCTGGTGTCTTTTGCAATATCGAAGTTTTAGTGCTTACTTCTAACATGACAGTAATTCAGAAGGAGGAGAGTCATGCTATATGTACACTGGGGCATTCACCTTTGTCCTGCTGTATGTCTGGTGGTGTAAGTGAGGGGACACCAGGCTCCTTCACTTCCGCAATGGCTGCTCTCCAGCTTCTTCCATCCAGACAGGATGGAGACACTTCTGCAGGTTTAAAAAATAAATCCACAGTGGAATTGGCAAATTCTATCAAGAACATGAAAGGTATATAAAGATTGATTCTAAACTTCTAAACAAGGTACTTAGAAGATTAATAGAACATTTCTAAATGGGAACACAAACATCCAAAAGTACAGTGGGTTTGCAGAAGGAGAGCTAAAAGACATAAGTAGGGTAACAATGCTGTATGAAAGAATTTTTCAAAATGTTTTAAATTTACTTAAAAAGTAAGAAAAAATTATTACCTTGAGGCTTGAACTTGTGCAGGGGAACAGCGTTAGTAACAGAAGCTGCCATATAATGTAACTGTGCAGAAGACAGGACTTCTGGATGATCACCTTGCTGTTTGATATTATCATCGGAACGCTCTTCTCTGACAGGTAACTCCTGTAGATCATCTGCTTCAATGTCAATCACATTTATGTAAGTGTATCCAACCTGAGCAAAAACACGTAAAATCACAGAAGATTACATTCTTTTTACTCTATATGGCCACTCTACCCAGCCCTCTCCCAAAAAAGGCAAAAAGAGCTTACATGAGCCTAACTTAGGGAAAGCTGCAGGAAGTATGTGTTATTGTCTTAGTTTACAACAGTTGGGGGCACAGTACTTAAATCTTACATTACTTTTTTACCTTTCCAACAATGCTACATAGATGAAGTTTTTAGCCTCATTTCATCTATACAACTGAATAATGTAGATGACCAGAATAAATTTTAGCATGAAGGTATCATTAAAACTTCCGCATAAAATGCAAACCAAATTTAGTACCCTATCAGATGCTGAGGGTGACAAAGGTTTCTTTGATATTTCAGTGGAAAGTTTGAGATTTAGATATACATCTGGAGCCAACAGCTGAGGAACATTCAAAGGTTCTTGTTCTGAAAATTACGAAAAGAAAAATTAGGAATATAAAAAAAATCTGTAAATAGCTCTGAGTCGTTAACTGTGTAAGAAGAAGTTAGCAACCAATAACATAAAATGCATTTGTTGAAAATCTAAGTAGAAGTTTCACAGGTATAAATAAATTAAAGCAAATTCCATTCTATTCTACAGGCAGTTTACTCCAGGGTAATTCATAATCAAATGCAGACTGACTATTGCTTTCCTTATATGAACAATTCACAAGAACAATAAAGTATCTAAATCTCGTCAAGAAAATGCTATAACTTCCTATTTCCATTTCAGATATATTATTAAGTCGAGTTTGTTTATTTAGAATTTCAATAAAACCAGACTTTAGGAAATTAACCCATAACTAATTTTTTTACTTTCAACACTCTTTCTTGTTATTCATTTGTTTATATTAACAGCTTTATTGAGATAGAATCCACATCCTTTAAAAGGGTGTATTTCAATGGTTTTTAATATATTCACAGAGCCCACAGCTAAATTTTACCACTTAAAATGTTTAACATCTAAATTTCACAAAAGTCATTAGCTTCTTAGGCAAAGAAGCCTGTTAGGGCAGGTCAGCAGACAGTCTAACTTTGTGCCTTTCACTCTAGGACTCTAATCTTATATCCTAGCAATTATTTTTAATAGAACATTACTTTCAAATTCCACATGCAAAATATAACTCGTTGTCATATTGAATAAGGAAACTTGCATCAAGCCTTGAATTTAAAACCATGTGTCAACCAAAAAACTAGAAAAAAGGAAAATGAAAATACTTAAATTATCATTCTCTATTAAATCAATTGATTGGTTTAACTGCTTTTTTATGGGAGGGTGTCTGCATCACACAGACAACAATCTTTAACTAGTCATGTTATTATCAGAAAAAAAAGAAAGAAATCACACCTGATGTGGACGAAATGTCTTGTTGATTTTTATGACATTCAGGAACAACTTCTTGAGAAGCAGCTTCTTTATCTAGTAGTCAATTAGAAGATTTGAGGCAAAAAGAGAAAACAGAAAAAGCAAAAGGATTTCACAAACAGAAAAAATTAAGTATACGAATGCAGATTTTTAGATATTGTGTATAAAAGGTGGTAGTGGTAGAAAAGCAGATTGACTGCTTAAGAATTTAATTTTTAAAAATTAATATGATGGATTCAGATCTTATTACTATTTATATCCTGGGCCTGATTACCCAGATAACAGATTCCTAGCAAATGACTGCCAACTTTGGAAGAAGATCCAGAAGCAAAGCACCGCCAAGGGGTTTCTCAAAGATACATTGAAGAATGTTTCTCAAATGCACACTTGTCATCTGCATCAAAAAACATCTTATACATGCCCAACCTCATCCAAAAAGAAACAAACCTTAAAATAACAGTGAGATGCCTTCTTTTGATCAATCACATTGGTAAAGATTTTTAAAAATTAGCTAAATCATAGTGATGACAAAAAAAGGCTCTTATGCAAGAAAATACTTTGAAGTGTTGAAGCATTATTTATAGGAGAAAAATACTGGAAACCAGCCAGTGCATTCAATAAGGAATATGTTAAATATTTTATGGCACAGCTGGAAGAAGGAAAACACTTACAATGTATTTTTTGATGACACACGGAAATGTTTGGCATAAGCAGAAATCAAAGTGAAAAGAAAAGGATACAAAATACAGGTAACTCCTATTACCCACATCTAATCCATTCCTGATAATACACTGAATAGTCAGGTACCAGGAGACTTTACTGCATTATTTTAAATGTGGAAAAAAGGGTGTCCCAGCCCATCCAATTTTTGCGAATTTCATTAAACAACTCTTTTTCTTCTTCTTCTTCTCCTCTTCCCCAAAGCTCCCCAGTAAATAGTTGTGTATTCTAGTTGTAGGTCCTTCCGGTTGTGCTATATGGCACACTGCCCAGCATGGCCTGATGAGCGGTGCCACGTCTGCACCCAAGATCTAAACCAGCAAAGCCCTGGGCCGCCGCCAAAGCAGAGAGCGCGAACCCAACCACTCGACCATGGGGCTGGCCCCTAAACAACTCTTAAACACCTAAATAACAATCCATCAAGGATTGCCAAATAAGATAAAGCATTTCAAACATCACTTTTTATTAACATTCAGTTGAGCCATTAGTTTGTGTGCAATATGCAATAACACTGAACACATCAGATACAAATTATTGTCAACACTGCAGCAAACATGTACTACAATGCAAACAAATAACAAAATATGTTAAAGATACACTCTAATTGGAGAGTGTTCCCAGTACCTGGGAAAAAACAAACACTAGGACCCATGAAGGGTTAAACTCTCAGGGACGACAACAATAATATCTGGACAATGAGAGTTCAGATAGTGAGGGAGGACACCTGTACTATACGTCACATCTAACTTTGTAAAATGTACAAAAGACACAGAAAAAACATCATCAAGATGTTGCTTCTAAGTGGTGTAATTATAGTTAATTTCATCTTCTTGGTAGCTTGCTATATTACCCAAATATTCTACAATGATGATATATTATTTTGAAACCATACCAACAAATACCATTTTACAACATATAAAATTAGAGGTTTAAAAAGGTACTTGCAAAGTTCCACACACAATTAAGAGAAACTGTTCTCCAAATATCATATAAAGAATTACTATAACACAAAGGGCAGAGAGCACTTACATTAATGAGGAAGTTTGTCAGGCAAAATTCCAAACAACTCCTCCAACATTTATTTCCTCTGTTCTTGGACACAGTTACATATACCCTTTCCACACTAAACCCAATCTAATCCTCTTCCTAACTCAACTCTGCTAGCCACAGTTGTAAGCCTCTCAATCTTAGGCAAGAAGTTCCAGTGAAGGCAATTAATGGCATAGAGAATCCAAATTCAAAACATTATTTCTACTGATTTAGGATGTAGTCCATGGCATTTCTGAACAAAAATCCCTAGTACGTTGTTTTGTGGGGTTTTTTTGCTGAGGAAGATTCACCCTGAACTAACATCTGTTGCCAATCTTCCTCTTTTGCTTGAGAAATATTTGCCTTGAGCTAACATCTGCGCTCATCTTCTATTTTGTATGTGGGCCCCCACAGCATGGTCCCCGAAACTGGTAGGTCTGAGCCCAAGAAGCGAACCTGGGCTGCCAAAGCAGAGTGTGACAAACTTAACCACTAGGCCACGGTGCCAGCCCCCCCCCCATTATGTTTTAATTAAGTTACAAATTCAATTTAAAACTTAATTTTGTTTAAAATTTCTAAAGTATATACCAAGGTTGGGGACAAGAACCTAGGATAAGTAACTAATATCACAATTTAAAATTCCCTTTAAATCACTGTTTTGAAGGAAAAAATCTAGATACATTAAGTATTTCAAAATATATTAATTTTTTAAATTAAAGTAAAACAGCATTTTACCTGAGTCTGTATTTGTACTTGCATCCTGACATTCTCTAGCTTTCTTTCTTACAGAGGCCATGAAATGCAATCCGGCTGAAGTATTAACATCCTCTTGTAGCATTTCTTAAATATAACAACAAAACATTGGAAGCAATCATTGAGAAGCCAGCACATTACCAGGAGCCCAGAAGCCGAGTACCTAACTCAAGGGAGGTGAGGTATTGGGTGTCAAGAAGTTATCAAAACGTACTTTCTGAATGAGCTGGTGTCTAAGTTGACACTCAAAGGCAGCTGGGCGGCATCAAAACCACAATTGGGGAGGATTCTGTATGCCCAGCCTAGAAACCCAGATATTCTTCTGGCTGATGAAGATCCAGTAGAAATTGTTAAGCAGGAAAGGGATATGATCAGACTGATGTTATAGAAAAATGACCCCAGCCAGTGTGTGGGAAATAGATTTGAGCAGATAAAACTGAAGTAAGGCAATCAGATAGATGAGGCTGCAGCAGCAGTTCCAGTAAGTACCTAGTAATGGTGAGGGATGGAGAAGAGGATAAATTCAAGAGTTAGAAAGGAGGCAAAAGAGGCAAGAACTGGTCATTGACTGGAAGAGAAGGGGAGGAGGAAGGCAGAATTTAGAACAACCTATGTTTTGGGGCTAAGTTGGTAGTGACACAAACGGAGATAGAGAATACAGGAGAACAAACCAGTTCATGGGAGAGGAATAATGAATTCAGACTGCACATGCTGTACTTGACGTCATTTCCACCCAAGTGGAAAAGCTCAGCAGACAGTAGAATCAAAGTTCAAAGTCTATTATGGGAGTTTGGGTTTAGATGTAGATTTTCCCGGAAGATCACCCAGGGAGACTAATCAGAAGACAGAATCAATTATGGCGCACTGTAGTGTAATAAAAAATATATGTTTGGTCTTTGTCCTCCGTTCCAGACAGAGTTCCTTAAACCCTTGGGATTTCCTGAGTGATAGGAGTAACTTTCATTATTCATAATGAGCCCCTTTTGATGATATCTGAGTCTATGCCAATGAGGTGACTCTTGGCAGACCCCTAGATGGTTTCAGAACAGGTGCTGGTCACCAGAGGAACCACCCACATGATCAGAGGGTTAGGACTATCAGCCCCATCCCACCTGTGGGAAGGGGAGAGCGGTTGGAGATGGAATTCAATCACCAACACCCAATGATGTAATCAATCATGCCTACATAATGAAACTTCAATAAAAATCCTGAAACAACAAGGCTAAGGGAGATTCTGGGCTCTGTGACCCTAACCTTATACCTTGCCCTATGCATCTCTTCCATTTGGCTGTTCCTTAGTTGCATCCTTTATAATAAAACTATATTCATAAGTAAAGCGCTTTCCCCAGCTCTGTGAGTTGTTGTAGCAAACTAGAGAACCAGTGGGGTGAGGGGTCATAGGAACTCCTGAATTTGTAGTTGACCAAGCAGAAATACAGGTGTCTGGGGACCCCGTTTACAGCTGCCATCTGAAGCGGGGAGTCTTGTGGGACTGAGCCCTTAATCTGTGGGGTCTATGCTAACTCCAGGTAATTAGTGTTAAAAATAACTTATTTATAGGACACCCAGTTAGTGTCAGAGAATTAGAGAATTACTGTTGTCTGGAATGACACGGTACACATCTAGCGTGTGTATATGTATATATGTATATGTATATGTATTTGCAGATATACTTAAGTAGGGATATTTAGAAAATAAACCCTGGAAGAATATTAACACTGGTTATCTCTAGGCAGAAGGATTACGGGAGATTTTAATATTCTTCTTATTCCTTATCTGTAGTTTGTAAATTTTCTCCAGTGAACATGTATTACCTTTACAAAACAAAAACATAAGCTATTAAGAACGCAAATAAAGTGGTTTTAAGACAAGTGAGTGGGAAAGAAGAATACCAGATGGATTAGGAAGCTGAGAGATGGAAGCTAAGCAGGTCCATTAGGAGGCGACTGCTTGCTGTCGGCACGCAGAAGCCTGATGCAGGGCAGTGGCTTCGAGAAAGGGAGGGAGGACCAGGTCAAGGGCTAAGTGAAGGAATGGGGTGATAGAGGTGAGGGATAAATCAAGTGACTTTGAAGGTAAGAATGATGCTATCACTAACAGGAAGATGCCAATTTAAAATTTGGACATGACAGGGGCTGGCCCGGTGGCACAGCAGTTAAGTTCGCACGTTCCGCTTCTCGGTGGCCCAGGGTTCGCCAGTTCAGATCCCAGGTGCAGACATGGCACCGCTTGGCACGCCATGCTGTGGTAGGCACCCCACGTATAAAGTAGAGGAAGACGGGCATGGATGTTAGCTCAGGGCCCGTCTTCCTCAGTGAAAAGAGGAGGATTGGCAGCAGTTACCTTGGGGCTAATCTTCCTCAAAAAAAAACAAAATAAAATAAAATTTGGACATGTTGAATTTAAGGTGAAGGTAGAAAAGAAAGATGAGAGAGGGCAGATGTATATTTGAGTGTCATCAAAAAAATGTAAGGGGCAGGCCCAGTGGCATAGCGGTTAAGTTCATACTCTCTGCCTTGGCGGCCCGGGGTGCGCCAGTTTGGATCCTGGGTGTGGACCTAGCACTGCTTATCAAGCCACACTGTAGCAGGTGTCCCACATATAAAATAGAGGAAGATGGGCAGAGATGTCAGCTCAGGGCCAGTCTTCCTCAGCAAAAAGAGGAGGATTGGCAGTGGATGTTAGATCAGGGCCAATCTTCCTCAAAAAAAAAAAAATTTAAGAATTGAAGTCATAAGAATGAATGGTCCTAGAGGCAGAAAAGTGTTCACGTGTTTGTGGGTATGTGTATGAAAATTACTGAGGAGAGAGCCTTGGGGAATACACATATTCAGGTGCAAGAAATAAACTGACCAATTCAAGAAAGAAAATAGCTTACTATCTATAAACAAATTCTCTTTTCTGAACTGTTTCTTTTACTTTAACGTGCATGTATATTCTATGATGAATTCAGGCATGTTCTTCCATAATTCCCTTTTAAACTTTATATAACAGTATCTTATTTGAAATTTTAATTAATTGCATTGTTCTACGCAGGGGTCGGCAAACTTTTTCTGTAAAGGGCCAGAGAGTAAATATTTCAGGCTTTGTGGACCATAGGTCCTTTTGTAACAAGTGAACCCTGATGCAGTGTAAAAGCTGGCAGAGACGATAAGTAAATGGTCGTGGCTGTGTTTCAATAACACCTGATTTACAAAAAGAGGCATGGAATGCATCTGGCCTATGGGCCATAGTTTGTCAACCACTGCTCTATTGGATAACACATCAAAACACACACACACACACACACACACACACACACACACAAGCTATCCTGTCAAAGATACATGAAAATAAGTTGGTCTCATTTTTATGTACATATTTCTAGAAAGCTGGTTTTAACTCTGAACTTAGACATTATATTAATCAAGCATATACATACCAAAAGGAATGTCAAAGTCATCCAAAGGTTGGGGACCATGATGTTCTTGTTGCTCCTAAATGGATCCCAAAAAGATCAAGCTGTGATTAACTCAAAGACATTTATTATTTTGAAAAAAATGTTCAAGAGCTATGAAGATTGTTGAATTCTTAGGCATAGGTTCAAATCCTATAATTCTAGAAATATCTATTGATTCCATCAAAGTAACTCTACAAAGTAGTTCCCAAAATTCACAAGTCAAACAATAAAAAAGAGCATCACCAATTTGATGCAAAGTTACTAAGTTATGATACGCAATCCCCTCGTGCAGAGTAGCTTTGATACTCAAATAGCACCCCCATTCTTTCAAAATTGTTCATGGACTCACCATTTTTACTAAGTGTTTCCAGATATGCTCTTGAGGACTTACTGAAAAAGTGTGCCTTTGAAAAATCAATGTAAATAAAACTATATCTCTGTTTATTTAATCTGTTCTTGCAAAAATAGGTAAACAGTCACCAAACTAAGAAGGAATGTTTGAAAACATCTGATTTAAGACATAGTTTATATAAGAAACCCAGGTTTGGTAAGCCCTAGAGGCACCTAAAAGAGATCGGTGAAATTGTAATAGGAGCAACCCAGCTAACAGACCACATGCATTCAAATGTCACAGAAAAAAGCAAAGAGTGATTTCAGATATTAAACAGTAACACAGGCGGATGCTCTAAACTACAGTTTTTGATTAACCATCAAGTTGCTTACCACACTCACTGCTGTGCGGTACCATTCTGCCGAGGGACACAGCAGGGACTTATGTATTTAATGATGTCAAGATTCTCCTAGTCACAATCAGAAGTTTCCAGCAATCAGAAGACTAGATGAGCCACAAAGACATTCTAACTCTGTGTACATGCAGACCAGGGAAGAATGCACAGTAATTTTTCTATACCTTGGATTTCATAACTATTTCTGAATCCTTATCATTAATGATGGAATCCTCTGGTTGGAAAGTCACACTTGGTTTTCTCCTTAGTTTCTCTGATCTTTCTTCCTGCAGCTCTTTTTCAGCTCGTCGTCTTTGCCTGTTAAAAACAATAGCGTAAAATATATTTTTACTATTAAAATAACATCAGTTTTTCATTTGTATCATGCTATATAGGGAAACAGTTATCAAAATTATCTTAAATTATTTTCAACGGCACTTAATTTGCAAGATATTATGCTAGAATACAAGCAAACAGCAAAAAGTCAGAGACACATGAAAGTTATTTCTAGCGTCTCTACTACTGAACTGACTATTCTGTGTTAGTCACTGGAATCTCAGGTCAGGATTATACCTTTTAGGTAATTTTCAAACTCTCTTTTTTTAAGATTCTAAGCTGGCCCCAGAAGCCCTATCAGATACCTCCATTTGCCTATTTGCAGAAGTTAAGCACAGCTAGTCACCTCAGCGAAATCCCAGGAAGAAGGAAAGAGGGCCCAAAAAGTTAAGGGGAAGACTTATTTTGAAGAAGTGATACCTGGAAAAAAAGGAAGGGAAAAACCATTTCTGGAAAGGGAACACTGGTAGCAGATTTTCCGGTCTGATAAATAAGAAATTTTTTAAGTATGTTCTAGACTCGTAATAATCTACCAGTCAGTACATGTACTGAACATTTATCATGAGTAAAACACTATAAATGCTCTTTATCAGAAATCAGCGCCCTGCACATTTTCAGTGCCTTGCACATTTCTTAGTGCCCGGACACAATTCACATTATTTGCTCTCGTGCTTCCTATATAAGAGTCTGGAGGATATAGTAAGATGACTAACAATAAACATCAGCTCAATGTATTGGATAGTACATGGAATATCGCGTGAGATACCAAACATTTGTGCTGCAAAAGATGACTGCTCATCCTGTTACAGAAAAATGTAAAAGAATCCAGCCTATGAATACCAGGAAAGAATTTCTTAATAGAATGGAAAAAAATAATAGTATTTGCCTCCCACAAGATAGAAACTTTCCTCATCACATGATGTGTCCAAGTGTATGACACTTGACAAGGAAATTGAATATGCAGTTGTGTATAGACCGGGAGGTTGAAGCATACAACTTCCACCTTTATAACTATATTACTGTAACTAATAATAAACTTGCAGGTATGTGATATTCTCAAATAAAATTTCACTTAAAACTTGCCTTTTTTTACTGTCCTTTCCTTGCCTCACTTCAGAGGATTCCATTTGGACCTTCAGAAGCTGAAGATGCCCAGGATCGCCTTGTTCAAATAAATTACGTGTTAGTTTCTGTTGGCTTTGTTTAAACGCAATGAGGTTTTCAAGTGGGATAAGCTGTGGTTTTTTGTGCTAGAAGACAGACACAAAGCATAACAATTCAAAATTACAAACCTCAATTATGCAATATGTTAATAACAAATTGAGAAAAACATTAAACTAAGATGTGCAAGAGATAGAACATACCAAAGATAACAAATTGATTTGGACTGGTAAGATGAGCGTCTAGATCTTAAAGAATAAATGATTTAGAGTGCTGAAAATTTCCACTGGATCATCCTATTTAAGAAATTAAGCTAGAAGTCGTCATCTTACTAATTTCTTTTCCATATTAAAAATCTTCCCTCTTATAATTATAAATGAAATTATGTAATGTCTAGCACTTGATTTAAAATTCTCTGGAACAGGGAAGGTACAGAAGGATGGAGACTACAGATGGAACACATTAGCAATATGTTGATAACCACCGACACTGAGTGATGGAAATTTGGGGGTTCATTCTACTATTCTAATAAAATTTCTTTAAATCATTCTCAAAATGTCTGCTTTTCCACTCCTTTAATCCTTTTTTTGTTCATAATATGTTCAGAAGTAAAGAAGGCATGGTAAGAAATACGTTTTCTGAAGAATGACCATTTCTTTTCAAAGCACCATCTTGAAATCTTTTAAGGGCCCCAGAGAATGAATTACTCAATCACCTTTCTACGGTGGTACTAATGACTTATAAAATTAGAGTCTAAACGATTTGAATTTCATAAATCAAACGTCACAATTTTAAAGAGGATGTGGCGGATTTATAAAGATTCAATCTTTGTCTATTTAACAACTTTAACAATTTAAAAATAAAAATATTTATTTTATTATTTTTTTTTTCCCGAGGAAGATTAGCCTTGAGCTAACATCTGCCAATCCTCCTCTTTTCACTGAGGAAGACTGGCCCTGAGCTAACATCCGTGCCCATCTTCCTCTACTTTATATGTAGGACGCCTACCACAGCATGACTTGCCACGTGGTGCCATGTCCGCACCCGGGATCCGAACCAGTGAACCCTGGGCTGCTGAAGTGGAATGTATGGCACTTAACCGCTGTGCCATTGGGCCGGCCCCTATTTTATTTTACTTTAAAGTGGGTCTATTTAACAATTTTAGCCTGTAACAGACTTGAAGGCAATCATATCACAATTGCTAAGACTAAAACAATGCTCTCTCCCTCTCTAGACACACATACACAGAACATGAACAAGAATATCTGATCAATTTATTTTACTTATTTCTTCTCTAAGCAGAAGAAATATCTCTGAAAAAGTCCAGCAAATCCTGGTATTGAAAAGAAAGACCTAAAACTTTTAAAATAGCCAATTATTATTTTAATCCTGATTTTTTTTTTTTGAGGAAGATTGGCCCTGAGCTAACATCTGTGCCAATCTTCCTCTGTTTTGTATATGCGATGCCACCACAGCATGGCTTGATGAGTGGTGTGTAAGTCTGCGCCCAGGATCCAAACCCGTGACCCTGGGCCACTGACCCAAAGTGTGTAAACTTAATGACTACGCCACCAGCTTGGCCCTAAACCTGATTTTTATATGTTTTTTTCAATAAAAGAAGCATTATTAAAAAAAGAAATGTGTAAGAGCTTTTCATTAAACATACAGTACTCATGGCATGAAAAATGTAGGGCTGTGCTTCTGCAGCACCCAGAAAAATCATTACCATGTTTCCTGGAGAGAGACAAGAGTGAAGTAATGATAATCTTGGGTATGTTCTCTCTTCTGCTACAGTTCTGATAGGTACGGAGGGAACTGTAACTGATGCTCTTGACACAGAGGAATATATATAATGAGGTTTAAGTTGCAGGTGCAATAATGGAAGTCCGAAGGAATTCTGAGGAGATATCTCAAGGGGCCTTGGCTTAACATCAAATAGTTTTTCTGGTTTTATAACTGTTGAAAAGTCCTGTCGAGGTGTCAAGTTTTCTTGTCCAACATTCTGATCCGAGTTCACATGCTTCGGGATTTCTGTAGTCACCGTTTCTGCCCATTTCTTCTGCTCAACTGCTTTTTTTATGGCTTCAGTATTATACTGGCTCAAATTCAAATGGGACGTGGAAGCAGTGTGCATTGCTCTCTGTGGCAAAGGAGGTTGGAAGGAATCAGCTAAGCCCCAAGCCTCTCTTGGCTGTGGCAGAGGCCTGAAGGGAACTTGTGCAACTCTTCCTGTAGGGAAGGAAAGGGGCTTAAATTCATGCTTGGGCTCAAATTGAAGCAAAGGAAAACCATCACCAGGTCTTAAAGTTTTTGCAACGGGAATAAGTCTAGGTGTCTTTGGAATTAGAGAAGATGTGGACAAAAGCTGGAGGTGAGTATGTGCAGCAGGGCCTGGAGACAATGAAGTGGTTGGTAAGTTTTGAGACGGTGGAGTGAGTCCTCTATTCTGAGGTTGGCCTTCTAAGTGACAAAAAGGAATACTCTCATGGGGAACATTCTGGAAAAGAAAACATATTACATAAGTTTAGAATATATTACAACCTCCTTATTTTGTAAATAATGCTCAATATGGTTTGGAGAGTGTGGAATATAGTTACTGCTAAAAAAGTTACTTACTCAAATAAAAAAACAAGAATTGAACTACTAGGACAACTTTAATGGTATTTTTAAATGCACTACCTGTAAATTTCCATTACTATTTTGATCAGATTGCAAAATTCCTCTATGGCAGTTTGGGCTGTTCTTGCCAGGCTCTCTGGTGCACTCTCCCATAGACTGTGGTTTAATGAAAAATCTCTCCTTCCGACTTCTACTGGTGTCTTCAACATCACCACTCCCTCCTGCGGGGTTCAGTACTTGGTTTCCCACCAAATGCACAGACTGAGACTGCTGTAAAAGTTGACTGACATCTGGGAGGTTAGCAAAGGATGATCCCACTATCTGCATGAGGCTCATGAAGTTGATCTGTTGCAGCTGGAGTAAAACAAAAATTAAAGAAATATCTTAAAATATAATGAGAAGAATCTAAGGAGTCAACAACAATCAGCTGAGTATTCCACAGTAGTCACAGCTTTCTCTCAGTATCTGTAGCCCCAAGAATGCTAAGCAGGAAGCACAACTGGGAGAGATAAGGAAGAAAGAATAGCTTCCTGTCTTCAAGGAGCTGTTGGCTGCGAATACGAACTCATGACTGAGACCTGGGACTATCTGTAAAGCAGTTTACAGAAATATCCCAGGGACCACAAAGGAGTGATCTGATGGAGTAGAGTGAGGACAATGAAAGAAGAACTCCTAGAATGGGTGTGTTGTACACAGGTTTTCAGGAAAGAAAAAGAACAGAGATGAGCAAACAGGTGAAGAGTACAGAATTCCTGTGGAAGAGCCGACTGGGTGAAAGGCAAAGCGGCTGACAAACTCTGCAGCACATTAGAATCACCTGAGGAGCATTTAAAAATCCCAAAGGCCAGGCCATACCCCATACCGATAAAACCAGACGTCAGGGGATGCGAGCCAGGGTTAACATTTTTTAAGATAACCAAGCGATTTCAATGGGCAGAAAAGCTTGGGAAACACCAGCATACACTGGCTTAGCTACAACAGGACATTTCTAGCAGCTACAATGAGACGATAGGTTACTGCAGTAGTTCTCAAACTTCAGCACGCACCAGAATCACTCAGAAGACTTGTTAAACCACTCTTCGCTGAGTCCCATGCCCAATTTTTTTATTTCAGTAGGTTTGGGATGCGGGCCTGAGAATCTGTCTTTCCAACATGTAAGTGATGCTGATGCTACTGGTCCAGGGACCACAGTTTGAGATCACTGGACTTGTGAGAGTATAGGGGGGAAAGGGGTAAGGCAGAGGCTGGCTGTGGGTTCTTTCAAGCCCAGCAGAAGAATCTGCACTTGATAAAACAAACCAATAGGGAAACACTGCAGGTTAAAAAAATGTATGTTACCTTCAACTGTAAAAGAAATATATGCTTATTACAGAAAAAAACAGAGAAGCATAAAAAAGAAAAGTCATTCATAATCCTACTCCCAAAGATAACTAGTATTGAAATTTTTAGTGTATTTCCTTTCACTCTTTGTATTTTTAAAACAAGATTGATATAGTATACAAATTTGTACTTGAAATTTACTGAAGATTTTAATACGGGAAAATAATAGTATTAAAACAATATCTGAAGAAGAATGTCCTAGAAAATGCATATATAAGATAATGGAAGTATGAGTTCTAAGAATCTAAGGCTGGCTACACCTATAGAAAGAGCAAGTGGCTGTGCTGACATACAGTGTGGGCAAACGAATCAAGAGGGCATGCTAAAACACTATGGGGAGAGAAAGAAGGCAAAGACAGCGCTCTAAGACAGTGATTCTTCACCTTTTGTGTGCATCACAATGATCTGCAGAACTTACTAGATATACAGGCAGTAACCAGCAAAGTCCCTACGTAATATAAAAAAACAGTTTGAGAAATGCTTCTGAAACTTTAAGCTGGTAGAACAGATAGTGCTAGTAAATGGAAAAGGAGAAGAAGGGATCAGGGAGAAAAAGAATAAAGTCAGTTTCAGTAAGTTTCTTGGGACAGTGGGACATGTTGAAAAAGTATTCTCATCAGGGCCCATATTCAAAGAGAAAATTAGTGCCAAGAATCATCAATACAAAAATGGTACATTATATCACATAAAAGGATATAGAAGTGAATGTAGAACAGATGAGTAGAGGATTAGATCTGAGGGACATTAATGCTTAAAGAATAAAATAGAAAAGGGAAATAATTAAAAATTGTTGGCAGACAGAGAAAAGGATAGCCAAGCGAGAAAAAAATGATGGAAGTCAAGGTGAACAGTACTCCAAAATGCAGCTGACATTTCAACCCAAGCCAAAATTTGGTTTGAAAATAAGAAACATGATGTGACAGGCTATTGTAGAATAAACTTTGGATACCTTTGAGCAAGAGTCTGCTGTTCTGGTTTGATTAGCCCCCACCTCACTTTCACGAGCAGCTCTGCATCCCCAAGAGCTCAGTAAAAATAGTCACTGTAAGAAGTAGGCAGCTCAGCCTGGACTCTAGGCCCTAGAGTTAAGAACTTCTGAATAACAAATGAAGAATGCCCTAACCAGAGAAACTCCGCAATTTAATTTTAACTTGTCCATTTCTGGAACTTTTCATATTTTAAAAACTTACATATATATCATGTGTAGATTTACTTATTTATTTGGAGATGTGCTTACCTGAACTAATTTAAACATTTCATCTTGGAGCATCTGCCTAACAGAATCGGAAGAATCTGGTAAGTGAGCCCTGGGTTCGTTTCTCTGGGTCTGCCGAGGTGTCGGCACAGGTGTTTGTGAAGCAACACTGACTCCATTTGATATGGAAGGTGGAACTGATGAAGACTTATCTTTAAATGCAGAGATCTGTGCACTGTGTGGAAGCATATAAATAAAAAACACACTTTAAGTCAAGAGAAACACAAATTAGATGTTCATGATCTGAATATTTTGATCCCACTTTTTTCTTCTATTTTAAAGGCTTTCTGGAAGTTTTCTGGAAATTTAAACCCTAAAGCCTATCTCTGTACGCCTCAGCCACCAGACACGTTTGTCATCAGCACAGTTATCCATCTGAATGCCTTTTTTTATTAAGGGACATGTACCGTCTAGTCAGCCATGTCCCCTCTCTATGGTGTTACAAACCACAACAGTTCACACATCTATTTTATGTGCCTGGCCCCTGTAGGCATCTGAGTTTGAGACCTGTGCAATCATTCTGATTAGCTGTACGGACTACACAATTTGGCTTAGGGATATATTTTTTGACTAAAATTAATGATCCAGAATGGAATTAAGAAAAAGTGGGAAAAGTATGGGTTAAAAAAATGTTTAAATCTGGGGGCCAGCCCAGTGGCATAGTGGCTAAGTTCACACACTCTGCTTCAGAGGCCCAGTGTTTGTAGGTTCAGACCCAGGGCACAGACCTAGACATGGCTCATCATGCATGCTGTGGTGGCGTCCCACATACAAAGAAGAGGAAGACTGGCACAGATATAAGCTCAATGACAATCTTCCTCAAGCAAAAAGAGGAAAATTGGCAGCAGATGTTACCTCAGGGCCAATCATCCTCATCGAAAAAAAAAGGATGTTCAATTCTAATACGGGTACAGCAAATATTGCTGATCATCATTAAATGTGGTGAAAAACAGTATTTTGAACATTTCATTTCCAAACACATCACAGAGTATACATTCATCATAAACACTAACAAAAGTGTTTATCTAGAAATAAAAATTAAAGATCATGGTAAGCTTTTTGTTTTTTTCTCTACACAAAATGATTTTTTTGAGATAATTCCTTAAGCACATTAAGTACTCAATGTTTTCTAAGCAAATCAATCTCATAAACTAAATCAGGGAGCAGGCATTGTCATACTCAAATAAACTGATCAGTCTCTAAAAAAGAAAAGAACATATTAAATTGCTTTTAGATTTTTTTGAGTTTACCCTCCTTCCTTTTCAGCAATAATATCTGCCTTTTATCAAGCATCTAATGTGCTCAGTAACAAAACTTTATTGGGCAAATCCATGGAAGACAGGCACTACAAGTGGCTTGCCTATTTTAAGACAACTTTATTGGTCTTCTTGTCAACAAGTAGCAAGGAGATAGATTCTAATTTTGGAGGATTTTTCTAAAGTAAAGCTGTGCTATATTATCCTCCTATTTCAGCAAGACTTCTAAACACTAAACACTGTTCAACCTCTGGAAAAGAAATTCAAAAGAACTGTACGAATCTGTTCTATGAGAGAATTAAAATCATTTCATACACTATTAAGAATCTGTTAAAAGCTGAAAGTGAACTACATCTTTCAATAATATATCCACTACTACTTTCCAGAAAAGACTAGTTCCTGTATATCTTTAAAACACAACTGTTAGAGGAAAATCTTTCAAAAATAAAGTTAAAGGTGTTGGAAAAGTGTATCCATGTTGCTCTGGTTTCAATGCTTCATGTTGCTTTCATTTTACTCTCAGTTTCTAGTCAAAACATTTAGTAATTATTTTAAAATGGTACAGTAGACATCATTTCATCCTTTTATCTATTTGTAAAATATGATTACATCTAAATGGTTACAGTATGCAAAAACTCTTACCTAGAAATTTCTGAACTTGTGTCTACACAAAATGAATGAGGAGTGGTGTGTTCAGGATTTGAAAAGCCTTCGATCATACTATAATTAAAGATTAATAAGCAATTAGGAAGTGATATTCTTTACATTATCTAAGTTACAGGTGATCTAACGCTCAGCCATCTAAGAATCTACACCTCTTCTACTCCTCTGTAATGCTTAGCTAATAATTACAATCTGTTTACATTAGTCTCCATAGCAATTAGTAACAGATTCAAACAAAAGCAAAGAATATTTCTGGATGGCTTAACATACTACTTGAACACTGCTGCCTGCTGGCAACAGCAATAACAGTATCTAAAATGAGGGGGAGTGAGGTTAGCTGGGACCTCAAATTTCTCCTAAGGAAAAGGCAGACACTTTGCTCAGGAACACTACAGAGCCCACTGTCAATCTGAAACTGTGAAGACTAGTTTTTTATTAACAGAAATATTTATATTACTTGTAAAGACACATGACATTAAGTATATTCTTTTTGCTAATTACCCACAGAAGAACTGGACAAAATTTGAATACTGAGAAACAAAATCTAATATTTCAAAACTTTAAAAATTCTAAAAATTAAGAAGTCATGTCCAGACTGCAACAAATGAAAACTGCCTTCAGTAACCCTTGACGCAGTAATAAACTAGCCAGCAGAGCATGTCTCCACCACAGCCCTACGGGCAGTGTGCTGTAACGATACCACAACAGTGCAAGATTGTACATATATACTATGATTCGTGATGGTTCTTTATTTGATCCAATAAAAGTGGAGTCAGAGTAGAAGTGGTTCCCTAATTAGTAGCTAAATAAACTCTAGTCTATTTATAGCTATATTTTACTTTGATAAAGCTGATAGTGATGGGAGAACAAAAGGCAATGTAGAAATCATTATTTATATCACTATACCAAGATTTAAAGGCATAACATTTACCAAAAGTCACTGTTTACCACAGCTATAAATTGAAGTTACAATTTCACTAGGGACACAATATCACCATAAAATATATATTGTAAATTATGAGAAAAAAATCTCTTCATCAAGTGAATCCCACTTGAGCCTTGAGAGCCTTGAGCCTTTTTCACTGAGGTGAACAAGGCAGCATAATCACTTCCACACTTTTCCCCTTACCCTTTCTGTTCAGTTGATTTTTTCTCCATATATGTCTCCAATGGTCCCTCCCTTGGGCACAGAAGCTCTCCTGTAGAATGCTAGGTGGTAAAATTCATAGTACGCAAAAAGAAAAGAGGTGAAACAAACACAGTATTACTATCTGGGGCATCTTGAGTTTCACATTAGCTACTTGCCCAGAGTAACGACAGTCTAAAAGCAAGTGAGAAACCAAACATTAAAATGTACTCCCAGGCCTGCTTTGACCACATCTTTAGACTGTGCAAATTGCCTTTGGCCCATTACCCTCAGTCACCGAACATTAAAGTAGAAGGACAAAATGATGTCTTTACATCATTTGTATTTGTATTTACAAACACATTGTAAATTACATACACCCATCACCACATGATAAGCACGTTGTGAAAACAACTATAAAATCAAGGAAAATTAATCCTTTTAAAGGAATTGCTTCAATAATTTGAAATATCTGTGTTCCACCTGAAAATCCAGTGTATAGAGTTTTGAGAAAACAAATTATACATAAAAGTGCATATAATATACAAAAACTGTATACTAAAGCTGAATTATACATTTTGAATATAGAACACTTTCATCACACTTGATTAAATTAATTTACTACAGCAGTTTATGAAACAAAAATTTCATTGCCTGAAATTACTAGACATATTACTAATAATAGAATTTCAGTGCAAGAAAAATGCTGAGTGGTATGGGTATACTCTACAATCCACAGGGCACTTTTCAGAGATGATAACCTTGGTTGGATGCATTGAATAAAAACAGAAGTATAATTTAAATACCAGACAAAGTAGAAGTTGAATCACTTTATCCACTATTTATTGACTTACTTCTTCTAAATGCTGTGGTAAAGTCTGCACGTAAATGGCAATACTGGGACTTTTGAGACTTCTCACAGGTTCTTTGGTATCTTCTATAGGGAAACAAAGACAAAGAGAAAACTAACCACTTGAAAAATAATCAATTTACTTTTTAGAAGGTTGAGGAATATTACAAGAAACAAATATAATGGCAGAAACATTTTCTATCATCCTTACAAAAACATTTTTTGAGGAGACTACCTCTCCTCACCAAGTGAATCCCATTGAGCCTGAGAGGCCTCATGTCAGTGTGTATAACTCCTTGCAAAGCTCTGAGCATTTCTGTTTTAAGGTGGGCTGCCAAGAAAAGGTTCAAAGAATTGGTCCACAGAAATGAAGAGGCCAGTAATAATTACATAAGCAGGGCAAAAGGCTCAATAATTGTAAATTCAGGTTATGAGTTAATGTGTTCAATATTTCATAAATATTACGTTCTCTTTTAATTTTTGGTTTTAGTCCATAATAAACATACCAATTTAGATATAAGACTAAATAGTTATCTCAGATAATCATTCACCAATTTCAAATTAATAAGGTCAAAGAAAAATATTAGCCAAACCAACTAACCTTCATAGTCTGACAGACATACATCCATTTCCTCCTGTGTAAACGTTTCTACTTCTGAAAGATCCTCATCAATATCTATAAATTCTTTTCCAGTACCATCAGTGACAGAAATAACCTCTTCACTGGTTTCTTTTATTTCAGGATTTTTTGCTTCAGTTGGCATTCTACTGACAAAAATGAAGCAGTTAAAATTATAACTCATTCTTGGAAACAAAGAGCTTTCTTTCAATGGATTCAGTTTATTGAAAAAGAACAAACTTAGTTTTCATATTTATAAAGTCTTTTGTTTTTTAACTATGTCTGGTACACAGTAGAAGCTCAATAAAAGGTTGTACAATGACTGACTGAATATCCCCATTTTTATTTACTCAAAAGATTGAATTAATTTCAACTTATCTAAATTTGCCTTTCTCACAAAGGAATCTTCCTGCTATAAAGGCTTCAGGCTTGGTATTCAAAGATATATGACTCATAGTATTGCTTCATATGTAAAAGTGGATAAAATGATTAGCTTAACTTCCTCTGACATAGGACATCAATTAACATAATAAAGGGATCTCTCAGGATGAATTAGCTCCTCTCTCAGAAGATACAAGCTTCTAACAGGGAAGAGATATAGTTTGCAATGAATTGTTAAACCACTGCAGAAAGCGCTCACTTCCAGCTTCTCTAGTTCAAAGAAAGGCTCATTCCTTAACTTTCAAGGGTTTAGTTCTTCTCTGCAGCCCAAACTCCATCAAAAAAGGTACCATCCACTGAAAAGGAGGGTATAATTAGCAACTTACTTCGAGATACTTTGATAAGATTCATTTTGATCATTTCTTTGCTCGAGTCCAAGTTGAGTGGATGCTGCGACAGAACCGCCAGCATCTGTTTTGCAGTCACTCTCAATATGGGGTTCGCTCTGAGATCTAGCTGAGTGATTCTCTACCACCTAAAACAAATCACTTACAGCACTTAGTATTCATTACACAATACCTTACTTTCCATTATACCTTTAGATAATTACCACTTTCTACAGAATTTCTCACGATTAAGTCTCTTACGCATTATCAAGTATTTACTACGTTTCTACAACTCAATATTTGATGCTGAAGCAATGATCAAGTCTTTATTCCACCTGACAAAAACAAACCTGACTACCTGAACAGTGTTCAAAAGAAATCAGCCTTAAAATTTGTAAGTTGTATCATCAATGTTTTCAGGCCACAAAACAACGGCAATAAAATGTAAAGTTGCTTTCATTTAACTCTCTTTGCTATTATAAAGACATTTAGTAATTATTTCAAAATGACACAGCGGGTAAAAATACTGCTAAAAATACAAGGGATGTATCTCTTTTGTCTCTTACTTAGAAATTTAGCTATCCATCACCTAAAAACACTTAAAAATTTCAATGACAGCAAATAGAGTATCTTATAAACCACCTTAGAATAACAGAAACTGATCTCAAAAAAAGAAAAAAATTCACAAAAGCAAAACACAAAACACACAGACCCACACTCACACCCCTCAACCTACAATAAAATATTTTAGAATGAAGGCACTTTAAAAAAGAACAAATTTAGAATTAGAAAGTTTAGAGGGGCGTTGACAAAGATGCTGATATAGGAGACTCCTGAAGTCCCCTCCTCCCACAGACACCCTGAAGAGCAATCACACACAGAGCATTTATCGCTGAAAGAAATTCAGAAAATAGCTGACTGACTCTTACCCATTAGGTGAATGAGAAAAAAACTCACATCGAAACAGGTGCGAAGGCTGAGACACTCTCACTGGAAACCCCACCCCTGGCACAGCACCCTATAAGCAGAGGGAACTCCCCACTCCCAGCTTCTCCCTGAATAGTGAAGGGTTTGGACCCTACATTTAATGCCCCAATTTTTAAGACTCCCACTCAAGGGACAGGACCCCAAAACAGCTAGCACTGAAAGCCAACAAGGCTTGTATCCAGGACACTCACAAGACCACAGCAAACAAAGCAGTTCCCCACAGGTGCTCGAGCACTGGCTGCAGCTGTCCCTGCAGGGCTCAGCACAGAGGGGCAGGTGAAAACACCTCTCAGTCCTGCCCTGGAAGGAGTCCATCTACATGCCCTGAAAGCTGCTGCCTGAGGGTCAGGATTCTAACTGAGCACACATCTAGGGGCTGCTGCGATCCTCCCCAGGGCCCAGGGAAGAAGGTGGACCCCTCTCCCACCTTCTCCCTCTCGGCCACTCCAAGTTGCCAATATCTCCCTGGAAGGAGTTTGTACACACAACTGGCACTCCAGCTTTTGAAACTGCTGACTGAGACATGACTCCCTAGATCAGCTGTCTCTGACGGCCCTTGGGGCTTGCATTCAACGAGTCCCACAGGACCATAGCAAGCAAAGAAGCCATTCTTAAGGGGGTCAGGAGCACCCCCACGGCTAAGCAACCACGTCCACCTCACAGGGGGCAGGCAAAACACCACTCTCTCACATTCTCCCTGGAAGGGGCTAAACTATGTACTTTCCTTCATGTTGCCTGAGGGTCTGGCTTCCAATCAGCCTGCATCTAGGTGTTAAATGTGATCCACCCCTTTGGGACACTGACAGGTCTTGGTATAGACCTGTCAACTACTGGGAGCCACTAAGAAGAAAGAAGGAGGCTTAGACAATCACAAAGGTTTCAGAAAAGACCAAAAGCTCAGGCCAGGCTGGCTGACGAGGTTCATCTCTTACACAAGAACACTCTGTCCAGGCTGGGAGATGTGGTTATTTTACCTAAGGTGCAGAAACAAACACGCAGAGTTGAGGAAAATAAAGAAACAGAAGAATATGTTCTAAACAAATGAACAAGATAAATCTCCAGAAACAGATCTTAATGAAATGAAGATAAGTAATTTACCTGATAGAGATTCAAAAAAATGGTCAAAAACATGTTCACTGAGGTCAGGGGAGTAACACACAAACAAAGTGAGAATTTCAACAAAGAGATGGAACATACAAAAAGTACCAAACAAAAATTACAGAGCTAAACACAAAAACTCAACTGAAAAATTCAATGGAGGGGTTCAACAACAGACTAGATCAAGTGAAAGAAGGCATCAGAAAATTCAAAGACAGGGCAGTGGAATTGATCCAATAAGAGGAGCAAATGAAAAAGAATGAAGATAGTTTAAGGAACTTATAATTTACCATCAAGAGGAACAATAAATGCATTACAGAGGTCCCAGAAGGAGAAGAGAGAGAGAGGGGGGCAGCATGCTTATTCAAAGAAATAATGGCTGAAAACTTCCCTAACCTGAAGAAAGAAACAGACTTCCAGAGACTTTCAAAAAAGATAAATTCAAGGAGACCCACATTAAGACACATCATAGGGGCTGGCCTGGTGGCAAAGTGATTGAGTTTGCGCACTCCACTTCAGCAGCCTGGGGTTCATCAGTTCGGATTCCAGGTGCGGACCTACAGACCACTTGTTAAGTCAAGCTGCGGCCGGCATCCCACATATAAAATAGAGAAAGAGGGTCACAGATGTTAGTTCAGGGCCAACCTTCCTTAGCAAAAAAGAAAAAAGAAAAGAGGAGGACAGGTGGTGGATGTTAGCTCAGAGCTAATCTTCCTAAAAAAAAAAAGGACATTATAATTAAATTGTCAAAAATTAAAGACAAGGAAAGAATCTTAATAATAATAATAATAAAAACTTGTTGCATACAAGGGAACTTCCTACAGCTATCAGCAGATTTTTAAGCAAAAACTTTGTAGACCACAAGGGAGTGGCATGATATATTCAAAGTACTGAAAGAAAAAAACTGCCAATCAAGAATACTCTATCCAGCACAGCTGTCCTTCAGAATTGAAGAAAAAATAGTTTTCCAGACAAGCAAAAGCTGAAGAGTTCATGACCACTAGACCAGCCTTATAAGAAATGTTAAAGGGAGTACTTCAAGCTGAAACAAAAAGATGCTAACTAGTAGCAGGAAAACATATGAAAGTATAAAACTCATTAGTAAAGGTAAATACATACTTAAATTCAGAATACTCTAATGTTGCAATGGTGGTAGGTAAAACACTTATAACTCCAGTATGAAGATTAAAAGACAAAAGTATGAAAAATAACTATAACTACAATAATTTGTATACAGATACACAATATAAAAAAATGTAAAGTGTGACATCAAAAACGTAAAATGGGGGGGAGGTAGCGTAAAAATGTAGAGCTTTTGTATGTGCTCAAAGTTAAGCTATTATCAGCTTGAAATAGACTATTATAAATAAAACATGTATTATGTAAACCTCATGGTAACCACAAAGCAAAAACATATAGTAGATACACAAAAGATAAAGGAATCTAAGCATATCACTATAGAAAGTTATCAAATCACAAAAGAAGAGAGCAAGAGAGGAAGAAGAGAACAAAGGAATTGTAAAATAACCAGAAAACAATTAACAAAATGGCAATATTAAGTCCATACCTATCGATAATTAATGCAAAGGTAAATGGACTAAATTCTCCAATCAAAAGACACAGAGTGGTTGAATAGAGAGAAATAAAACCAAGACCTAACTATAGGCTGCCAACAAGAGACTCACTCCAGCTTTAGCGACACATACAGACTGAAAGTGAAGGGATGGAAAAATATTCCAAGTAAATGGAAGTCAAAGGAAAATGGGTAGCTAAAGCTATATTAGACAAAACAGAGTTTAAGCAAAAGACTGTAATAAGAAACAAAGAAGGTCATTACATAATGATAAAGGAGTAAATTCATCAAGAAGATATAAGATGAGTAAATGTTTACACAGTCAACAAAGCACCTAAATATTTAAAGTAAATATTAACAGAAATGAAATAGACAGCAACACAATGACAGTAGAGAAATAGACAGCAATCTCACTACTTTTTTTTTTTTTTTTAAAGATTTTACTTTTCCTTTTTCTCCCAAAGCCCCCCAGTACACAGTTGTGCCTTTTTAGTTGTGGGTCCTTCTAGTTGTGGCATGTGGGATGCCGCCTCAGCGTGGCCTGACGAGCAGTGCCATGTCCACGCCCAGGATTCAAACTGGCAAAACCCTGGGCTGCCGAAGCGGAGCATGTGAACTTAACCACTTGGCCACGGGGCCGGCCCCAATCTCACTACTTTTATTCAACATAGTACTCGAAGTCCTAGCCAGAGCAATTAGACAAGAAAAAGAAATAAAAGGCAACCAAATCAGAAAGGAAGAAGTAAAACTGTCTATTTGCAGGCAACATATTTTATGTAGAAAACCCTAAAGACTCCACCAAAAAATGGTTAGAATAAACAAATTCAATAAAGTTGTAGGATATAAAATCAATACATAAAAATCAGTTGCGTTTCTGTACACTAACAATGAATCATGAGAAAGAGAAATTAAGAAAACAATCCCATTTACAACCGCATCAAAAAGAATAATATACCTAAGAATAAATTTAACCAAGGAGGTGAAAGACCTGACACTGAAAACTTGAAGATATTGATGAAAAGACTTGAAGAAGACACAAATAAATGCAAAGATATTCTGGGCTCATGGATTGGAAGAATTAATATTGTTAAAATGCTCATACTACCCAAAGCAATCTACAGATCCAATGCAATTCCTACAAAATTTCAATGGCATTTTTCACAGAAGTACAACAAACATCCTAAAATTTCTATGGATCCACAAAAGACTCTGAATAGCCAAAGTAATTTTTGAGAAATTTGAGAAAGAACAAAGCTAGAGGCATCACAATTTCTGATTTCAAATGACATTACAAAGCTATAGTAATCAAACTATATGGTGTTGGCATAAAAATAGAAATATAGATCAATGAAATAGAATAGAGAGCCCAGAAGTAAATCCTTGCGTACACAGTCAATTAATTTTTGACAAAAGAGCCAAGAATATTCAATGGGGAAAGGATAGTCTCTTCAATGAATGATGCTGGGAAAACCGGACAGCCACACCGAAAAGAATGAAACTAGACCACTATCTTACAACATTCACAAAAATTAACTCAAAATGGATTAAAGATTTGAGAATAATAAGACCTGAAACCACAAAACTCCTGGAAGAAAACATAGGTGGTAAGCTCCTTGACATTGGTATTGGTGGTGATTTTTTGGATTTGACACTGAAAGCAAAGACAACAAAAACAAAAATAAACAAGTGGGGCTACTTAAACTAAAAAGCCTCTGCACAGTAAAGGAAACCATCAACAAAATGAAAAGGCAGCCTATCAAACAGGAGAAAATATTTGCAAATCATACATCTGATAAGTACTAAAACTCAATAGCAAAAAACAACCCAGTTAAAAAATGGGCAGAGGATGTGAATACACATTTTTCCAAAGACGACATACACATGACCAACAGGTACATGAAAAGGTGCTCAACAACACTAACCATCAGGGAAATGCAAATCAAAACCACAATAAGATTATCACCACACACCTGTTAGAATGGCTGTTATCAAAAAGACAAGAGATGACAAATGCTGGGGAGGACAAGGAGAGAAGGGAACCCTTGTACACTATTGGTAGGAATGTAAACCAGTACAGCCACTATGGAAAACAGTACAGAGGTTCCTCAAGAAATTAAAAATAGAACTACCATATGATCCTAAAATCCAATTTTTTTTTTTTTACAGATTTTATTTTTTCCTTTTTCTCCCCAAAGCCCCCTGGTACATAGTTGTATATTCTTCATTGTGGGTCCTTCTAGTTGTGGTATATGGGACGCTGCCTCAGCGTGGTTTGATGAGCAGTGCCATGTCAGCGCCCACGATTCGAACCAACGAAACACTGGGCTGCCTGCAGTGGAGCACGTGAACTTAACCACTCAGCCATGGGGCCAGCCCCCTAAAATCCAATTTTTGAGTATATATCCAAAGGAAATGAAAGCATTATCTCCAAGAGGCATCTAAACCCCCATGTTCGTTGCAGCATTAGTCACTGTTGCCAAGGTATGGAAACTTCAACAGATGAATAGATCAAGAAAATGTGGTATATATAAATACACAACGGAATATCACTCAGCCTTAAAAAAAGAAGAAAATCCTGTCATTTGCAACAGCATGGATAAACCTGGAAGGCATTATGCTAAGGCATTATGGAATAAACCAGACAGAGAAAGACAAATACTGCATGGTATCACTTATATGTGGGATGTTTAAAAAGAAAAACAGTTGAACTCAGAAACAGAGTAGAAGAGTGATTGCCAGGGGCCTAAGGGGTGGAGGAAATAGGGAAAAGTTGGTAAAAGGGTAAAAATTTTCAGTTATAAGGTGAGTAAGATCTGAGGATCTAATGTTTAACATGGTAACTACAGTTGATAACACTGTATTGTATAACCGAAATTTACTAAGACAGAAGAATTTAAATGTTCTCATCAAAACAAAAAAAGTAAACGTGTGAGGTGTTGGATATGTTAATTAACTCGATGAGGGGAAAACTTTTGCTATGTATATGCCTATCAAATCGTCACGCTGTATAAATATCTCACAATTTTACTTGTCAACTACGCCTCAATAAAGCTGAGAAACAGAACAAATTTAGATACTATTGGAATTTTCTAAATATTAAAAAAAAAGTCCATGTCCCACCTACTTTACCACACCTATTAATAAAATAAATTTATTTTCCAAGAAATTCGTCTCCATCTTTTTATTTTCTTAAGTGCAATAGCAACCACTCAATCAAAAGATATTTATGCAAAACACACGTGCTATTGAAAACAAGTTAAAACAGCAGCCTGCTACTTGCCATTGGCTAGAGAAAAGAAAAAACAGCTAATAAGCACTAACTCCTCTACCAATACCCATTTGCCTTTCTAGGTTTGCTTCTCCAACCTCATCTGGCCAGAGTATAAGAAAGATTATCTCCCAATACATATGATGAGACACCAGTAATAAACACTAGATAGCTGCCTAGTGCTTCATCTGAATCACAACCTGAAACTTAAAAGAAAAATTATATAAATGTAATACCACTTGCGATATCACTTAAAATTATCTTCTTCCTCCTTCTTTTTCTTTTTTTATAAACACATAAAACCTCAATACCTACAGCCTCTATGAAAGCACTTTTACCCTGATTTTTCTTCCTAATTATTTTTAAGAATAAAAGGAACTACTGGAAGAAAAAAAATTAGGCGATAGAGACTATAATCAACATTGTCATTAATTTTGTTACTTAGTGATTCTTTAATAGATGGGGAAATATAAATATAGTTTTAATCTAAAATGAGAATTCTCATTTGTATGTAATACACAATTCAAGTTCTTACCTTAATAATGGAATTTTCTGCCTTATATGCAGCAAAATAGGGTTGTTCCAAAAGCCACAATGATGTGAGAATGGCAGCTGCAGAGGTCTTCACCCGAATGATGGGACTGTACTCACAGGATGATTCAGCGAGACCAGGGTCACAGAGAAGTCTTCTATCAGACCATCTTATCATCCACTCCAGCAACCTTCTTATACTGCCAAACATGTTATTTAGTGCCAGAGGAAGATCTTCTTGAGGGTTAATATCATCGCATTGGATTGCTTTGAAACTACATCTTCCAGTTTTAACGGACTTGGGAGTCCAAAAAATATGGCTCGGCAATCTCTGGATTAACGGTTTCTCTGGATTGTCATCTTGGATTCTGTAAATCGACTTTTGTTTTAAACCAAATAATCCACTCTTCTCTGCACTTTTATTGACTTCATTCAAAGGGTTCTCTAAGAAAGGGTTCATCCCTTGATTAACCAGTACTGAAGTTGAAGGTGCCTGGTTTTCCGATTTTTCAGACTCATGTGACTCAGGAGCAACAACAAAGCAAGAGCCAGCTCTAAACACATTCTGGCTTTTGGTTTTGCCCTGACGTCGTTTTAATGTTGTATGGACATCAAAAAGTAAAGAATTAAGTTCATGTTCTCTAAGATGTCCAGAAAAACTGGTTAGAAATGGAATGCCAGGATCCTTGGAACCAAGTAGGTCTCTTTCAAGAACATAACTCAAGAAGAGATCAAGGAATTTAATATATTCATCATCATCACGTTCAAATTCCCAAACACCTATTACAGGAAGTACATTTTGTGATAACTTTGCATGATCTTCTTCAGGGCTTTCTTTCTGATTACATATTTTCTTTTTTTCATTGGGCTTACCAATAGATGTTAATTCCATGTGACTTGGGGCATTTCTACAGCAAACAGAATTGAAAAAGACAAAATTACAGATCGTTTAATCACTAAAACTGATTTTAGGATTGACAATAAAAATCCTCTCTACTGATTAAGTTGTGTCTTTTTTTTTAATGCCTCAATTACCTGTCTTTCAAATGAAGGGGCTGGACTAAATGATCTTTAAGTGTTCACTAGAGCTGAACATTCTGAGTCTAAAAAATACAACACATTAATATCAAAAGGGGAAATTTGGGGCCGGCCCTGTGGCTGAGTGGTTAAGTTCTTGCGCTCTGCTCCAGCGGTCCAGGGTTTCACTGGTTCGAATCCTGGGCGTGGACACAGCACTGCTCATCAGGCCATGCTGAGGCAGCGTCCCACATACCACAACTAGAGGGACTCACACCTAGAAATACACAACTCTGTACTGGGGGACTTTGGGAGAAAAAGGAAAAATAAAATCTAAAAAAAAAAGGGAAAATTTGTGTTAAAAGAAATTAAAATGTGTACAGAGGGGCCGGCCCAGTGGTGTAGTGGTTAAATTCACGTGCTTCACTTTGGTGGCCTGGAGTTCGGGGTTTGGATCCCGGGCGCAGACCTACACACTGTTCATCAAGCCATGCAGAGGTGGTGTCCCTCATACAAAATCGAAGAAGAGGGGCACGGATGTTAGCTCAGTGACATCTTCCTCAAGCAAAAAGAGGAAGACTGGCAACAGATGTTAGTTCAGGGGCAATCTTCCTCGAAAAAAAAAAATTAAATAAGAAACAAAATTAAAATAAAATGTGTTCACAGAAATTTCACTATAAAAAAATGAGTGTTTTTTCTGGGAAAAATAAAAGGTCCTCTAAAAGGTCAGAATTTAGGAGTACAAAGTCAATAAAAATCACAAGCCACCAACACACATCTTAGTTTACAGTTTCTTGGTTTCCTCTTGCATCTGCGCTTTTCGGCTCCCCCTGTATGATGTACAGCGAGCAGGACTACCCTCAGGATTCTTTACCACACAAAAGTTGGGAATTTTTTCTAAACACTTTCTGCTGCTATTAAACCTGTTGGGCAGGCACCATAACTGCCAACCATAATTACTTTTAAGTTTGTCTCCTTCCAACAAAGTCCTTAGGGCAGAACACAGATCCCTAGTTCTCTCAGTAAGAAAAATACAAGGTTCCTTTTAGGCACCTGGGCTTAAGTAACGAGCCTCTGCTTATTAAACACACAACAAGCAGCCTTCTGCGCATTCCTGTACTAACACTGAAGTCATCAGGTGGAACAAGCATCTCATTTGTAACACTATGAGATATGGTTTAAGCAGATGTTTGGATTAGAAAGGACTATTTCACTTAAGCCAGATTATAGTCGATTACATAGTTTTTCAGTCATGAGTAGGATAAACTGCCTAGCAGATACTGGAATTATAAAAAATCAGCTTAAAGTAATAGGGGTTTAAATGATAAGCAAGAATTTCTCAACAATTTATGGACAACTTTCAAAGATGAATGTGCAATTTCCTTCCCTGGAAAGCCTTAAAAATAATACAGCTCACCCAATAACCCTCAAGTATTTAAGTCTAAAGATTACTGAAAAAAAATAGAAGTCCTCCACTAAAAGTCCTCCAGTGAACTCTAGAATTTTATCTACTCATTTGATTTTACACTTTCAGGTGGCAAAATTACTTCATATTTCAATACTTAAAACTGATTTTCAAATGTACAGTCTCATCTTATACTCCTAACATCCCTGTGAGTAGCGAGGGTACCACTTACCATTCATATTGTTAATTGTACAATCCGTGAGGTTGCTGAGACTAGAAATCAGCTTATCGGTTGCATGAAAATATTTTTTTCCAAAGGAAGTGAATGCTTACTATTAACAGATCCCAACTGTACCTTTGATACAAACGTATCCTGCTTTTCTCTTCAACCAACAAGGCCTCAGAGAAGGTGTCTGCTGTATCTGCATCACTGTGGACCAGAGAATTCCCCAGTTCCGTGAGTGTGCTCCTGCTCAAACTGGTCCCCAGGGAAAACCTGTCAAAACCTGAAACCTCAGCTGGTTTTTCTTCTTCAGCTGGTTCCCATATATTCATCTCAAAAGAACCTATATTTCTCTGCACACGTTTTAGGGCTTTCATCCTCACTTTATGGATAGAGTGCATGATAACAGACATCATTTCCTCAGTTTGGGGGCCTAGAAAGAAAAGAACAAAAGGTCTTACACTTCATTAAAATGTTTCGACTCAAGACATAGGGGACCCAATTCTGGTCCCTCCTGGGAACACGAAATCTAACTTATGACTAAGGCTTATTTCCACAATCTTACAGATCATGCTTTCTTCAGTATTCATTAGAAGGCAATGGTCCATATTTTAAGGCAGAACTGCAGGGGCTAGAGAAGGTCCCTTAAAGAACAATAAAAGGGACAGAACCCAGACTCTATAAAACAGTGTGCTTGGGAAAACAAAAAATTAAGAAGTCATTTAACTATTTAAGAAATCAGAAGGACAATTATAAAAAGAAAGACTAATATTTTTTTCCATTCCCACAGAGTGGTGAATAAGAGAACATGAGTAAAATTTTAGCCAAAGAAACAAAAATACCTTTCAAATTTCAAGCAATAAGAAACAATATCATGGCAAGTTTTTCAAGGCTACCTTTGGAAAAATTTTAAACATTATTAATACATAAACAGGACGTTTCAGAGGATGTCAAAAAAGTCTTAAGAAAAATATAAATCACAATATAAGTATAATACAAGTATATTAATATATATATTAATGCAATAATGTGCAATCATAGGACACAACTAGACTTAAATACTAGATTATAGTCCTAAAAAAGAGGGTAATTTAAAGTCTTTAAAAATTTCCACAACATTGTGAATGCACTTAATATCATTAAACTGTACACTTAAAAATGACAAATTTTATTTTATGCATATTTTACCATAATAAAAAGAAAACCTCCACAAGTTCCACAAGGTGATCTCAAATGTACGGGATAAAATTAAAAGCATAAATAACCATAAAGGGAGAGGAAGAAAACTAGTTTTCAACAAACTACCTGAATTATTCAAGGCACTATGTGGTTATTTTATACACTTTATCTTATTAAATTCTTTCAATGCACATTCATAAAGCAGGTAATTTCTTTTATTTTATTGCAGTAACATTGGATTATAACACTATATAGCTTTCAGATGTACATCGTAATATATTTCGAATTCTGTGTAGATTACATCATGTTCACCACCCAAAATCTAATTATACTCCATCCCCTCACATGTGAGCCTAATCACCCCTTTTGCCCTTCCCCTCCCCACTTCCCATATTAGGTAACCACCAATTGTTTGTCATTGTTTTTATCTTCTACTTCCAAGTGAGATCATATGGTATTTTACTTTCTCCTTCTGAATTATTTCACTTAGCATAATACCCTCTGGTCATGCTGCTAAAACTTGTCACAAATGGCTGGATTTCATCATTTCTTATGGCTGAGTAGTATTCCATTGTGTATATATACCACATCTTCTTTATCCATTCGTCCCTTGATGGGCACCTAGGTTGTTTCCAAGTCTTGGCTATTGTGAATGATGCTGCAATGAACATAGGGGTACAAGTATCTTTATGCTTTTGTGTTTTCAAGTTCTTTGGATAAATACCCAGCAGTGGGAGAGCTGGATCATATGGTAGATCTATTCTTAATCTTCTGATGATAGTCCATACTGCTTTCCATAGTGGCTGCACAAGTTTGCACTCCCACTAGCAGTGCAAACTGCCTCTCCAACACTTGTTGTTTCCTGTCTTGTTAATTATAGCCATTGTGACCAAAGTGAGGTGATACCTCATTGTAGTTTTGATTTGCATTTCCCTGATAGCTAATGACGTTGAGCGTCTTTTCATATGCCTGTTGGCCATCCATATATCTTCTTTGGTCTTTTCCCCATTTTTTAATTGAGTTGTTGGTTTTTTTGTTGTTGAGATGTATGAGTTCTTTGTATATTTTGGACCCCTTATCTGATATGTGGTTTGCAAATATCTTCTCCCAATTGTTAGGTTGTCTTTTCATTTTGTTGATGATTTCCTTTGCAGTACAGAAACTTTTTAGTTTGATGTAGTCCCATTTGTTTATTTTTTTTTTGTTTCCCTTGTCTGGTCAGACATGGGACTTGAAAACATGCTGCTAAAACCAATGTCAAAGAGTGTACTGTCCATGTTTTCTTCTAGAAGTTTCATGGTTTCACGTCTTACATTCAAGTCTTTAATCCATTTTGAGTTGATTTTTGTGCACGGAATAAGGTAATGGTTTACTTTCATTCTTTTGCATGTGGCTGTCAAATTTTCCCAACACCATTTATTGAAGAGACTCTCCTTTCTCCATCGTATGCTCTTGGCTCCCTTGTCAAATATTAGCTGTCCATAGATGTGTGGCTTTAATTCTGGGTTCTTGATTCTGTTCCATTGATCTCTGTGTCTGTTTTTGTGCCAGTACCATGATGTTTTGGTTACTATGGCTTTGTAGTATATTTTGAAATCAGGGAGTGTGATACCTCCAGCTTTGTTCTTTTTTTCTCAGGAATCCTTTGGCCATTCGGGGTCTTTTGTTGTTCCATATAAATTTTAGGATTCTTTGTTCTATTTCTGTGAAAAATGTTGTTGGAACTTTGATAGGGATTGCGTTGAATCTGTAGATTGCTTTAGGGAGTATGGACATTTTAATGATGTTAATTCTTCCAATCCAAGAGCATGGAATATCTTTCCATTTCTTTGTGTCTTCTTCGATTTCTTTCAACAATGTTTTATAGTTTTTGGCGTACAGATCTTCCACCTCTTCGGTAAAGTTTATTCCTAGGTATTTTATTCTTTTTGTTGCAGTTGTAAATGGGATTGTATTCTTAATTTCTCTTTCTGCTACTTCATTGTTAGCATATAGAAACGCAACTTATTTTTATATGTTGATTTTGTATCCTGTGACTTGACTGTATTCATTTATTATTTCTAAAAGTTTTTTAGTGGATTCTTTAGGGTTTTCTATCTATAAAATCATGTCATCTGCAAAGAGTGACAGTTTCACTTCTTTTCCAATATGGATCCCTTTTATTTCTTTTTCTTGCCTGACTGCTCTGGCTAGGACTTCCAATACTATGTTAAATAAGAGTGGTGACAGTGGGCATCCTTGTCTGGTTCCCGTTAGAGGGATAGCTTTCAGTTTTTCCCCATTGAGAATGGTATTTGCTGTGGGTTTGTCATATATGGCCTTTATTATGTTGAGGTATTTTCCTTCTATACCCATTTTATTTAGAGTTTTTATCATAAATGCATGCTGTATCTTGTCAAATGCTTTCTGTGCATCTATTGAGATGATCATGTGACTTTTATTCTTCATTTTGTTAATGTGGTGTATCACGTTGATAGATTTGTGGATGTTGACCCATCACTGCATCCCTGGAATGAAACCCACTTGATCATGATGTATGATCTTTTTAATGTATTGTTGTATTCGATTTGCTAGTATTTTGTTGAGGATTTTTGCATCAATGTTCATCAGTGATATTGGCCTGTAATTTTCTTTTTTTGTGTTGTCCTGGTCTAGTTTGGTATCAGGATAATGTAGAATGAGTTAGGAAGCCTCCCCTCCTCTTCGATTTTTTGGAAGAGTTTGAGAAGGATAGGTATTAAGTCTTCTTTGAATGTTTGGTAGAATTCACCAGGGAAGCCATCTGGTCCTGGACTTTTATTTTGGGGAGGTTTTTGATTGCTGTTTCAATCTCCTTACTGGTGATTGGTCTATTCAAATTCTCTACTTCTTCTTGGTCCACTTTTGGAAGGTTGTATGTTTCTAAGAATTTATCCATTTCTTCTAGATTATCCAATTTGTTGGCATACTTTTTCATAGTATTCTCTTATTATCTTTTGTATTTCTGAGGTGTCCATTGTAATCTCTCCTCTTTCATTTCTGATTTTATTTATTTGAGACTTCTCTCTTTTTTTCTTGGTGAGTCTAGCTAAGGGCTTGTCAATTTTGTTTATCTTTTCAAAGAACCAGCTCTTGGTTTCATTAATTTTTTCTATTGTTTTTTAGTCTCTATTTTGTTTATTTCTGTTCTGATTTTTATTATTTCCTTCCTTCTGCTGATTTTGGGATTTGTTTGTTCTTCTTTTCCCAGTACCCTTGATGCGCTGTTAGATTGTTTATTTGGGATTTTTCTTCTTTGTTGAGGTAGGCCTGAATTGCTATAAACTTCCCTCTTAGAACTGCTTTTGCTGTATCCCATAGATTTTGGCATGTCGTATTTTCATTTTCATTGGTCTCCAGGAATTTTCTGATTTCTCCTTTGGTTTCTTCATTGACCGAATTGTTGTTCAGTAGCATTTTGGTTAATCTCCACATTTTTGTGGCTTTTCTGGTTTTCTTCCTATAGTTGATTTCTAGTTTCAAACCTTTGGGGTCAGAAATGATGCATGGTATTATTTTGATCTTCTTAAATTTACTGAGACTTGTTTTGTGGCCTAATATGTGATCAGTCCTGGAGAACGTTCCATAGGCATTTGAAAAGAATGTATATTCTGTGTTTTTTGGATAGAATGAACTATATATATCCACTAAGTCCATCTGGTCAAATGTGTTGTTTAAGGCCAGTGTTTCCTTATTGATCTTCTGTTTGGATGATCTATTCAGTGGTGTAAGTGGAGAGATAAAGTCCCCTAATATTAGTTGTGTTACTGTCTATTTCTCCTTTTATGTAGTTAATAATTGCTTTATATATTTAGGTGCTCCTATGTTGGGTGCATAGATATTTACAAGCGTTATATCTTCTTGTTGGATTGTTCCCTTTATCATTATGTAGTGCCCTTCTTGGCCTCTCGTTATAGTTTTTGTTTTAAAGTCTATTTTGTCTGATATAAGTATTGCTACCCCCGCTTTCTTTTCTTTGCCATTTGCATGGAATATCTTTTTACAACCTTTCACTTTCAGTTTATGAGTGTCTTTAAGTCTGAAGTTTGTCTCTTGTATGCAGCATATATATGGGTCTTGTTTTTTTATCTAACTGGCCACCCTATGCCTTTTGATCGGAGCATTTAGTCCACTGACATTTAAAGTAGCTATTGATAAATATGTACTTATTGCCATTTTGTTACTTCTTTTTTTTTTCTGGGTGTTTTAGTAGTTCGTCTCTGTTCCTTTCTTTTTCTCTTGCTCTCTTCCCTTGTGGTTTGATGGCTTTCTTTAGTAACATGTTTGATTTCTTTTGTCTTACTTATTTGCTTACTTATTATAGGTTTCTGATTTATGATTACCATAAGGAACCTATATTATATTCTATGTATATAACAGTCTATATAGAGTTGATAGACTCTTTAGCTTAACCTCCTTCTAAAAACTCTACTTTTAATATACTCATCTTCCCAACAAGGAAATGATGCTCAGAGAGACTGAGCAACTTGTGTATGGCTGCATAGTTAGTAAGTGACAGAGCTATGACATGAAGTCAGCTCTGTCTGGTTCCAAAGCAACTGAATTAGTGCTTCTGTAATGAGGAAGTGCTTCTGCCTTCTCACATTCCTATCGCCAAGGAAAGAGAGATATGCATAGAATCATAAGCACTAGAAAATAAATGCTTTCAAAACAAAAAGAGAATCTTCAGCAATTTATCTATCAGATATCTAAGAAATGACAATACCTTTCACAACACAGTGCCTGAGTCTCTGTTGAAGAGAGTGATATTTTTCTCTTAAAGGGACCCTTATATCCTCAGGATTGGGGAACGCTTTCACAAAAATTTCTGCTACCTTTAGAAAAATTAAAAAATAAGTTTATGAGCAACATCATTCCTAATTAAAATAAAGTCAAAGTCCTTTAAAGTCTCTTCTTCTGATTAAGTTTATTTTCCTCTACAATCACTTTACCTTTCTGATCGGTGGCAGTTCTCCAATGAGGCTCAACAGCAGATCCTGAATCAGTTCTTCAATGTTAGAAAACCGAGAGAAAGGCAGCATTCTATAGGCCCATTCCACCGCACCGAGACAGTGCTCAACCACACAAGAATCAAACTCCACTTCAAGGGCCTAAAAGCATATTGAAAAATTCATTTCCTTTTAACTTTAGATGGTTAGACCAAGGAGTTCAAAAGAAAGTTTTACTGCAAACAGTAAAATCTCCCACCAAGCAATGATTTCCCAAGGAACATTTGCTCATTTTTCTTACTCTTGTGCAGGTAAATACCTTTCTTCCCTCCACATTTTCTCTTGCTTTCTGATATTGCCTGCAACTATAGGATAACTTATCACGAATATGCAGCATCCAACACAAAGCACAAAGTTCTCTGAAGCAACCTAAATCAAGAATAAAAATATAAAAGGAAATTGTATGAGTATATATACTGATATTGTAGCAACTTCACCACTGTTGTAATTTTTTTCCCCCAAAAGGAATGTCTTTATTTTGTTAATTATAAAAGAAACATATGCATATTGTAAATACCTTATATAAAAGTCATAGATATCCTTCCAGAATTATGTATATTATTCTAGAATATTTCATGTATGTCAGCTTCACCAAAATATTGAAAAAAAATTTAGAGTAAATAACATACACTGTTTACTAATAGTTTACTTGCTTTAAACTTTATAGTACATTGTATATATTTTTCAAAGCCAATACATACAGCTCTACTTAACATTGTATAGTTAATTTATTTGGAAAATCACTTATTGATAGCATTTCAGCTTAAAATTTTTAATGCTAAAAACATAATTTCCAATATTAAATAATTTTTTATTAAAAGCAACACAACTACACAAAGATACATAAAATCATATTAAATATGCTGTTTCACAACTAGCTTTTTTTTCACCTAATGCATCTTGGATCTTTCCATGGTGGTAACATAAACACACTAAGTCTGTTTATTGCCAATAAAGTATTCCGTTGTATAGAGCATCACACTATACACAACAGCTCACAATCCAGCTAACAAAACATGTTTTCAATGTTCTGCTGATCTTAAATGTAATTTCCCTTATTATAACTAAAGTTATGTTGTAAGTATAAAGTTACAAGACAAATCAAGTAAAACCCATCTTCTCTACTGTTCTGAGGTTAATAGGATCTTTTCCCGTGGAAAACTTAATAGTCCTTCCTTTAAGCCTTAATTTTTTTTCTAATGAGCCTTATTTTTTACAGTAAACTGACTCTTACATTAGTGCCAGTATTCTCATTTTCCTTTGAAAGGTACTTAATGTATTTTTTCAAACAACTATTACAAAGCTAGGAAGTACAGTTGGACATTATAGAAACTGAGCAGACAGCAGGTCTTCTACAAATCCTACCCATGGAGGATCCAGGTGGGGGGTGGAGGAATGGGGGCAGTGGTGGCGGTGGGTATATGCTTCCAGTGGGGATATCAAGATCACCTACTGGCATTTTCAAACTACACTCCACCCCTACAGATTCTGGCAGGATCTACTAGGGGAGCATGATCCAATCTTTTCTTTTCAGAAAGGCACCATTACTGCTGGATGTTTCATTGTTTTATATTTCTCAGGCATGCTGGGATAGAACTAAGTCCAAGAATCAGCAAGATATAGTGCAGCAACATACTAGGTAGCTAGTCATCTTCTAAAAGCATCATTTGTCAGTCTTTTTCAAACTGTTTGGATTAAAATTTACTACTAATCACTAGGCTATATAATTAATTCAGTGGGTCTCAATCATTTCAAAAAATAAAATAGAAAATATCAAGAGTGCATTGCACATAGAAAAAGTAAGGATATCTCATTAAATTTTCATTGTAGTTTTATATAGGGGTATGTTTGTACTGTCTTAATGTAAAATCAGCATCTTGCTGTAAGCCATGGTCAAAAAAATTTGAATACCCAAAAGATGTAATCAACTGAAACCAGAATGGAAGGAGTTCTACTGGACAAATGATTTGGTTTCCTCAATAAATGAATGGCGTGAAAAAAATAGGGGGAGGAAAAGTTTTATAGATTAAGAGACTAACATATCGGGGCCGGCCCCGTGGCCGAGTGGTTAAGTTTGCGTGCTCCACTGCAGTGGCCCATGGTTTCATTGGTTGATCCTGGGCGCGGACATGGCAGTGCTCCTCAGGCCACATTGAGGTGGCGTCCCACATGCCACAACTAGAAGGACCTGCAACTAAGATATACAACTATGTACCAGAGGAGATTTGGGAGAGATAAAGCAGGGGAAAAAAAAAAAAAGAGAGACTAACATATCAATCAAAATGCAATGTGTGGAGGACCCTGTTTGGATCCAGATTTGTAAAAACTGTAAAAAGACACATCTGAGATAATGAAAGAAAATTAAACACAGAATAGATAATATGTGATATTAAAGAATTTTGATTAATTTTGTCACGCATAATAACAGAACTGTGGTCATAAAAAATTCCTTATCCATTAAGGACACATACTGAAGTAGTGAAATCATGATTTCAAACTTGCTTTCACATGATGAAATTATTGCAGGTGGGTGACAGGTACTTGAGAGCTCATTATATTGTCTCTAATTTCGTTTAAATTTTCTATAATAAAAAGCTTCAGGGGCCAGCCCCATGGCCGAGTGGTTAAGTTCTCGAGCTCCACTTTGGTGGCCCAAGGTTTCACCAGTTCACATCCTGAGCGCGGACATGGCGCCACTCATCAAGCCATGCTGAGGGGGCGTCCCACATGACACAACTAGAAAGACCCACAACTAAAAATATACAACTATGTACCAGGGGGCTTTGGGGAGAAAAAGGAAATATAAAATCTTTAAAAAAAAAAAAAAAGCTTCAAAAAAGTTTGAAAACCACTATTTTAGATAACAAACTAGGAAAGGAAACTTTGTAATCTAGCAAAATCACTTCTCAACAACCAAAAGACCAAATCAAGCAAAAGAGTAAATAGTCGACCAATTAAATAGTAGACCTCAGAGTCAAAATGAAAATACTAAAAATATGCATTCATTTAAATCACTTCAAAGAGCTACATTCTATCAATAAGCAAAAATATTTTAATGAAGATTGTTGTAAATTTAACTCATTGCTTACAGACCCAGATTTTCAAGACATAAACTAGGATTGTACATACATTTCCAGGTGATACCTGCCTGGCTCTTTCTTTTGTCAGGTGAATGACAAGTTTATGAAACCAAGCTCATGAAAGCTGAGAGAAGCAACTGAAAAGCAATTTAATGCCAGTACAGTTTGAAAAATAGTCTGAGTTGAAGAACACACATTACTTGACACTACTACGCAAGGGTCAGTGAGTTAGAAAGGAACTTTAATCAAAGTTTAGAGATAAGATCAGGGCTGAATATAAACATGACTGATAAGATTTAAGGATTAAGGAGAAAAGAATGAAACGATATCTAAGGTTTTTGTTCTTTTTAAACTTGTTACTCAGATACTGGACACAGACCATGAACATGCAATTAATTTATAAGAGAACATAGCAAACTAAATGTTCAATATAACTAGCCAAATAAAGACATTATTAATATAAAACTATCATTTTTCCCCATTAAATTAATCTGAAGGAATTACGAAATTTGGCATACTATTTCAAGAGATATAAAATAGACATATTCATTAACTCAGTAATTCCACTTCTGAGAATCTATCCTAAGGAAATACTTTAAAATAGGAAAAAGAAATGGATATGCCAGAGACAACTTAAATGTACAACTGAAGTAAATTATAATACAGTCACTAATAAAAGTCATTAAAATTAATAGATATGAAAGTTTATAAAAAGCTTAAGTAGGTATGTTAAGTTATAAAAGCAAGAAATGAAATTAATAAGTCAATATTGAAAGGTTCAAGACCTGTCCACTTACAGTACTTGGCAGCATATCCTAAGAGCAAGAAAATTACCACTGAAAGGCATTCTTGGGTGCTAAAATTCGAAATTTAAACAACGAAATGATGAGAATAATGTCATAATTGTCACAATTTGTTTTAGATAATAAATTTCTAATTTAATACCACACACGTAGTACACGGCTGTTAAAAGACACTATTTACTTGTAAACACAAAGTAAAATGACATAGAACATACTCTCCTTTGAAGAGTAACAACAGTTTAGAAACTTTCCCAAATCAAATGTAAAATATAGCATTCATATTTAAGCCTAATTTCTAAGCAAGAAGTTCATTTTGGACAAACCTATTGCTTTAATGGAAACTTCATCGAGCTTGTAGTCTCCAGTTGCTCCAGGTCGAAAGAACGCTACACCCCCTTTACAGTAATTAAGTAACGACTGAGGGAAAGGACTTAATGAAGGAAGGGACCCTTTCATTCGAATCTGAAAGTAAACAACGACAGAATATGTTATCAGTCGTATAAGTCAATTTTTAAGGAAACTATAAAGCAACATACAAGGCAATGTATGGAAACATTACAGAATGGAAAAGACAGCATGCTTCCTATCCTAGGTAAGTAAAATACCCCTGAAATCAGCTGTACTTTCAGAAACTTAGTTCACAAATCTAATTCAGGAAACTCACCAGGTCAGATCTCAAAAGAGAAAAAGAAGGTTCTAACCAAATTACCGACTCTTGTTACTCAGTTTTGCCTGTATAAAAAAGTTTAATGCGGGGCTGGCCCAGTTGCATAGTGGTTAAGTTCATGAGCTCCACTTTGGTAGCCCAGGGTTCACAGGTTCGGATCATGAGCACCGACCTACACATCGCTCATCAAGCCATGTTGTGGCGGCATCCCACATACAAAAAAATGGAGGAAGACTGGGACAGATGTGAGCTCAGGCACAATCTTCCTCACCCCAAAAAATATAAAAATGTAATGCTATTTGACCCTGACTTTACCCACAGACATAATAAAGAAAATAAAGAAATGTAAGCATCCAATTCTCATCCAAAATAAAATTATGTGCAGTACCTAAAAAACAAATACAAAAAACTCATATCTACATACATAACTTTTTAAACACTATGTAATCTCTAAAAGTGACAGATTTAGAAAGTCACCATTTGGCAACCTCTAATAAAATAATGATTCTAGCACGGATCATCAATAAGTGCTAAATTAGGTAAAAAGTTCATGTGCTGATGGAGAATGTGATAGTGTGTGGGACATGACCCTAACTCACTGATCCAGCTCACCATCACTAAAAGTGAGATAAACAGACATACATGCCATATGATACGATACAACAGGGAAGTATACAACTCCACTTAGAAAGCATTTATTTTTAAGAAAAAGTTAACCTTAATGGAATCACACTTCTCTAACAAGATGAGTGTAGACTAATTACTCACTTATGGGAAATAAAAGGAAAGTGGAACATGTTAAATGACACTAAATGAAAAAACAAATCCAGAACACATCAGACAATGCCAGAATACATTACAGGACAAATTGTTCTCTAACAAATCAAGAATAGAAAAAAAATTGAAGGGGACTGTTATAGAATAAACATTAAGAGACATACCAAACCCAGGAAGGAAAGGATTAGCAAGAGGCTTGTAATCTACTTTCTTCTTCCACTATTCACTTTCAGAAAGAAACGCATGATCTAGGCCAATCCCCTTGTAAGCATCCTAATGACAAACTTCTTGTCAAACATATTAATGGTATTTACCAGATGTACAGAGTCTGTCTAGGTTGGTTATCATAAATAAATCTAGAAAGTATGGATTTACGGAGTATGGCTCCCTGGAAAATGACACATAAGCTATATATGCAGCCAGAAAAGATTTGGGAACAGTGTATGCAATTCCAGATTTCTCTGTTTCACCTGTGTCTTTTGGTTACCTATATCCTTGAAATTGTTAGTAAAGTTTGATTCTGAGTAAGACTGTTGATTCCTATGAGTCTGACTTGATAATACAGCACTTCCTGTTATCTCACAACCAAACATAAGCAAACTTCAGTTTGAGTACTGATTCATACTACGATATGAACAAACTTTAAAAACATCACACTAAATGAAAAAAGCCAGCCAAAAAAGGCTACATATTGTATGATTTCATTTATATAAAATGTCCACAATAGGCAAATCCATAGAGACAAAAAGCAGATTAATGATTGTAAAGGCCTGGGGAGAAAAGAAAATGGGATGTGACTGCCAATGTGTTTCTTTTTTGGGATGATGAAAATGTTCTGGAATTAAACAGTGGTGATGGTTGCATATATGTATGCGAATATATAAAAACCCACGAATTGCACACCTTAAAAAGGTGAATTTTATGATAAGTGAATTACATATCAAGAAAAAACTGGTGAAGAAGTTACCTGAAATGATTCTGCACTACATTAGTTTTCTATTGCCAACCTAAGAAATTACTACAAATTTAGCGGCTTAAAACAACACACGTTTGGTAGCGCACTGTTTCTGTGGATCAGAAGTCTAAGCACACTGTGGCTCAGCTGGTTCTCTGCTTACGGCCAACCCAGTGAGTGGGTAACAGCAAGGCTGCCTTCTTCTTTTTAGAGGTTCTAGGGGAAATCTATTTCCAGACTCATTCAGGTTGTTGGCAAAATTCTGTTCCATGTGGTTATAGAACTAAAGTCCCCCCATTTTCTTGGTGGCTATAGGCTGGGAAACATTCTCAGTTTCTAGAAGCCACCTTGATCTCTCCCAGATCATGGCCTTCTTCAAAGCCAGCAAGGGTGAGTTGAGTCCTTCACATTCTTCTAATCTCTCCTTCCATCTCATTTCTCTTGTCTTCCTTTCCCACTGCATCTCACTGACTCTTCTGCCTCTGTTTTCTGCTTTTAAGGGTTTGTGTGATTATATTGGGCCCACCAAGATAAACCAGGATAATCTCCCTATATTGACATCAGCTGATTAGTCATCTTAATTCCACCTACAAAATTCCCTCAGTACAAATTAAAGCAGCATCTGGATTAATATCTCAATAGCTAGGAGATAGGAATCTTGCAAGCATCTTTAGGATTCTGCCTAGCACTTGCTCTATGCTTTAATCTTATATAGTTAATTTATTACTTGTAAATAATTTTTACAAGGAAGAATGTCTTTAGCTGTGTTGCTGATTTTAAGAGACTCCACACAGTCTTTACATGCTAATTGAGTTAATTAAAACTAGACTGAGTAAGACTACAGTCAGGAGATGGTGAGATCAACCAACAACGCAAATATAATTTACAGCTTTAAGAAAACCATTTCCTACAATAAACAGATTTTTCTTTTCTATATTTTTTATACTTTTCTATATAATTTTTCTATATTTTTATGGTAGCTGTATGCAAATTTCACCAATCTTTCTTTCTAAAAAAGGCTAATTTTCAAAAACGATTTGATAAACAATTTCTCAAATTCTCTCTAAAGGTTCCTACTAAAAGAAGCTATAGATTGTTTTAAACATAATTTTAATCAAGGGCCAAATTAAAGATATTTAACAAAGAGATAGTCAGACAACAGGCCTACAAAGGACCTGCCACTGGATAAGGGACATCCCAGTGGATGTCCCGTCTGGCTGCATATCAGTTAAGAATGCGGGGCTACTAAGACATTTCCATACCTTCTGCATGACTTTTCTTGCCCACCTCAACTGCAAGATGTACCACTGCGCGACAGGAAAAGAACACCGAGCCGCCCGGAAAAGCAAGAGAACACGTTGAAGGATTCCAGACACCTTTTGGCGATTATCTTTTTCAGCTTTTAAAAGAAGATCATCGCCATCTTCCTGAAGAAGACAAAACAATCCATTTTAGTAGGTAGTAATATGGAAATTTAAAATATTGTAAGTGAAAATAAAAACAGTGCTTCTCAAACTAGAATGTACCTGGAGATTCATAAAGGAAATTTTGAGGCTTGGCCTTAGGAGATTTCAACTATAGCTATTTCTAGTGTCGAGGAAACATTTCTCTCCCTTCAAACAATACAAAGGGCCAAATCGACCCTAATCTCAAGTCTTCCTCTACAACAGTTAAAGCCCACCACTCCTGACTCCATTGGTGGAATGTTCCAGAGAGAGCTTCTTTCAAGGAGAATGCTTTTCCCTTCCTCTGCCTGGAAAAATCCTACTTGTATTTCAATGTCACCTCCTCTGTGAAGCCCTCTCACTCTGTGCTAGTATGGTACTTTGTTCAGACATCCACTATAGCTTTCACCAATTTGTTCTATACTGATTTATGAATCTGTTTCCCACTATACTGAGAATTACCCAAGAGCAAAGGCCTTGGCATGTGTCTTTGTATGATCATAGAGCACAGAGTCAGGTCCAACACGTAGTAGGACTCAATAAATGTTTGCTGAATAAATACTATTCAAGTCAGTAGCTAACGACTAATTTCCCAGAGAAGGAGATAATGTGAGTACTGTAAACATTTGCTTCCCCAACATCCTCCCACCAATGCCAATTCTTAATAGTACCCAATTTTCAATTGGGTATCTGCAGCTCTCCTACGTAACCCATAGGATTCAGGGAGAGGTGATCTCACATCCCCAGCTTCCAGGGAAGGCCCCAATCAATTGCCAAGCAGTACCTTGCATTAGCTCTAGCCAAGAAGACTGATTCAAGGACAGTCTCACAGCATGAACCTCAGTACTCTTGCTTGGAATGCTAGGAGAGAAATACTTTTGCTGCTTTTCTTTCTCCCCTTCCCTCTCCCTCTGGACACAGGCAAGGTATCCTTAGAAGCTGCTGGCAGCCATCCTGCTCCCACAAAGGCAGCCAGCCTTAAGCTGAAGCTGAGATCTCAGAAAACAAAGTAGAGAGCAAGAACCCAAGTCTTTGGTAACATAATTGAGTCAGAAAACTCCCCTACCGCTGGGATTCTCAATTACGCCAGCCAATTCTGATCCAATTTTCTATTACATCCAACCCAGGGGTTCTAGCTGACACAGAGTGACATTTAGGAGAAATCCTACCATTGAGGACTATTTTAAAAAATAGTAAAATGAAGCAGTACTAAGGATAGTAACCAATTCAAACTAATATTAGCATAGGATATCCAAAAATACCTTAAATGCTATTTCTAATTTCTAAACCAAAATATTGAAGACTGAGATGTAAGAGGAAAAAGGAATTACTGAGAAATTCTATAAACTATTTAGTACTCCCATTTTGTAATATACTATATTTGAAATATCAAGTGAAATACTTTTAACCTATTGAAACATAATTCTAAACAAATGAAAATATAACAAAGAATTCTAAATAAAACAAAAGAAAAAACTAGATACAGAGGTTGCCAATATTGAAACAGTAAGTAGTAATGAAACAATACCAGAATCACTTCAAAATATTAATCAAATATTAAAATAATTTAAACGTAAATAATTTACATTAACACTTTAAATCTTAAAACAAGCTAACTGTAATGTTACGATTTTCAATAAGAGCAGAAGAAAAGTTCCTGAGAGGAATACAGTATTGCTATTTATAAGACAGAACTATCAACTGAATAGTGCAAGAGAAGAAAAACGATCTTTCAAATCAAAGAGAAATCAAAGTAAGTCTTTCAAAAAAGGAAAGACAACGAAGTGAATAAATGACTGAAGTAATGTATGGCTTCTAAATTCTGACATTCATCATTTTGTTACCCTACACAAATGTTTATTTTTAAAAAAAAAAACCTGAATATAGAGAAATACCTCTTCATTTTATTACTGCAATAATTTTAACATTTATTGAATGCTTACTATGTGTCCCAGGCCCAAAGGTAAAGCCTTTACAGGATACCTCACTTAATTCTCACAACAATGCTATGAGAGGCACTATCATCATCTGCGACTTACAGATAAGGAAACTAAACAGCAGTGTGGTACAACGCCCAAGGCCATACAATCAGTAAACAGGAAAGGGGGAGCTGGAAGGCTGTCTTCAGAGCTTGCATTTTTAACTTGATGATTATGATCAAATAGATTATTTTAAAAACTGGGAGTAGTCAACTTTAAATTAATTAAAAGATTAAGCATGAAGCTTACTTCACTAAGAATAGCTGGCTGAGGACAATATAATGGAGGGGCTGGAAGATACAAGCCGATGGGCACCAAGCCCCACAGTCTCTTGCTGAAGTCCTTGGCAGAGTTTATCAGAAGCTGAAACGTCTCTGAAAGAATGTCTGCATCAGCCATAACTGCCGCTTTCAGTACTTCCTGTACGGAACCAAAGAGCATATTCGCGTCTTCCTCTTCAATGGGATCTATCAAATTCAAAATTAGGTAAAATAGTTAAAGTTTACATTATACGTATCCTATTTTGTAGGGTAAAATTTCATATCTGAAAAAGCTGATCATCAAAAATGAACACACTCAAGGCCGGCGCCACGGCGGAGTGGTTAAGTTTGCACACTCTGCTTTGGCGGCCTAGGGTTTCGCAGGTTCAAATCCTGGGCACAACATGGCACCGCTCATCAAGCCATGCTGAGGTGGCATCCCACATGCCACAACTGGAAGGACCCACAACTAAAAATACACAACTATGTACCAGGGGACTTTGGAGAAGAAGGAAAAATAAATCTTTAAAAAAAAAAAAATTAACATACTGGTTGACAGGCAAAACATCCAAACTTCTAAAGAGAAACTTATTAACTATTCTGTTACTTTAAGATTATAGGAATCACAGCATGAGACTTTTACAGAATTATACAAGACACTGTAATAAGAACTATATAATAAAAATATTCTTGGAATATAGTCCTGATTCAAAAATAATAATAGAATATTAAGGGAAAAAGGAATGTCAAGAAAGATACCAAAAAGTATACAACATTATGTGAAGGAAGTGGGAGAATAATTTTTTCTTTTTCTTAATAGTTCATCTTTTATAATAAAAGTTAACAAAAATGACATGATATAAAGCTAAAAACACAGAAAAATACAAAATAGTCAAACAGCATGGCTTGAATTATATCAATATCTATATATATGTGGACATGTCTCAGAAGGCAAAACGCAAGAAAATGCAGGTGGTAGAACTGGGGACTTAGGGATTTTTATATGAGGAAATATTTTAAGCATACTTTAAGGTACAAAAGATAATGTGAAAACACTCAAGTACTGACTTCACATCCTTGTCTGATAGTAACATTTTTGTATATACAATTTAGATTTTTTTTAAATAACATGTTACAGATAGAGCTGAAAATTCCTTATGTGCCAATCATATTCCACTCCCTCTCTCCAGAGGTAGCCATTTGGTGTGGACATATCAGAACTCCCGTTAGATATATGTTGTGTCTTCCTATTCTATACTCTACAAAGCTTAACTTCACTTTCATATTTTCCAACTCTTTTCTTTATATCTATTTGTTATATATTTATTTTTATCTCTCTATATATTTTGTGTGTATATATAGAGAGTTTAAATTCATTTTCCAGTTCCCTAACCATCTGCTGAGTTTTTTGTTTTTAAATTGGTTTATTAAGGTATAATTTACATACACTAAAATGGATCCTTTTTAAATACAGAGTTCAATGAGTTTTGACAAATCTATACAGCCCTGTAAGAACAAACATTTCCATCACCCCCAAAAAGTTGTCTTATACTGCTTTCTTGTCAGTTCCCTTCTTACCCCCAGGCAGCCACTGATCTGTTTCCTGTCCCTATAGTGTTGCTTTTTAGAGAATGTCATATGAATAGAATCATACAGTACGTAACCTTTATTTCTGACTTCTTTCATCCAACATAATGGGTCTGTGATTCATCCACATTGTTGCATGTTATGAGTAGTTCGCTCCTCTTTATTATTTATTATTCCATTGTACAGATATATTGCAATATGTTTATCCACTCATAGGTTGATGAGTATTTGGGTTGTTTTAAGTTTTTGGCTATAATGAAAAAGCTGGTCTTTGCGTGGACCTTTGTTTTTATTTTTCTTGGGTAAATACCTATGAGTGCAATCCACTGAGTTTTTTATTTCCTCTTTGTTTCTGAGCCCTGGAAATTTCCCTTACTTTCTCTAAGTGTATATTTTAATATACAGTCTTGAAATGTATATTTTATCTAGAAACACATTTTATCTATGTATATATTGTGAGAGAGTCTTCAGATCATCTAAAACAACATACTTCCAGAACTGGAAGTTCACACTGGGAATTTTTCAGTCCATTATTTCAAAATCAACTTTCACGTAGTTACATTACCTTTTCATTTGTCTAAAACACAAATGAGAACTAGACAGAAAACTAACAAAGAAAAGTTTACAGTCATATTTCCAAGTATTATCAATTCATTCTAGAAAGAGAAATTATAATTAATAAGCTCTAGGAATCCAGAGTTAGAAGTCTTATTCCTTAATGGAGACAAGCACTAACAAAACCTCAAGGGTCCCAAAGTAGTTGCAGTTTTTATCATTAAATATATGACTTTCAATAACTGACCTCATTACTTTTCGTCTAAATTTCTCCATCTATAAACAGATAAATTTTATAGGGCTCCTGAGTAAATCTATATAATGCATTATATTATATTATTATATTATATTATTATATTACATTATTATATTACATTATATATTATATTATATATATTATATATATTGTATATTATGTTACATTATAATAATGATTATATTATTTTAAATTCCATAATACCACTTTGAACTTTTCAAATGAAATACAAAACCATCTCCAGGATTTATACACTAGGTGAGAGTTTAACATAATACTTCTAAGTACCCTTCCATTTCTGGGAGTCTATGATTCTCTGACTATAAAAGAAAATAGTCCAAATGCAGCAAAATTCAACTATTATAAAGGTATTTATGGAAAATCGGACTATCATTCAGTTATGGACCATCATGTTTTGAGCTGGTATCAGTTTTGAATGTTTCCATGCTTAACAATAAATAGCACTTCTCTTTTTGATAAGCTTATTTCAAAGTGTTAATGTATTTGTGGATATTTACATGCTTTAAAAAAATACCATAATGTTTATATTAATTAACCTGATACATGTGTCCGACCATATGTAGGAACACACCTGTAAATTGCTTGTATTTTGAGCACATTTCATTTTTTGCTTCCAGAGAGGCTGGCTGACCTAAAAAACACTGGAGTTTTTCCTGGAAAATCTGTGCTGGAGTCATATTTAAAGGTAGATTCAAATCCTTTTTCTTGGACCTGAAATCACATAAATTAAGAGAAATGAACCCAAATTTTGAAAAAAGGAAATATTCACACATCAAGAATTAACCATGAATTTTAAGAAACAATAAAATTCACTTTCTTATTCATCTTACATATAGAAAAGAAATATTCAAGGAAATATTATATTAAGGAGAGTATTAAGACTCTCCCCAATTATGGTACTAACATATCTCCCCCTCCATATTCCCACTGTTGCCTGTGTAATAGGTACTCTATCCCACCTGAACCACACCTGTTTTTTGCCACATGCCTTTGGTTGTGTTTGGAACGTTCTCCCTCCCGACAGTTACTCAATTTGTTAAGATCCTATCTTCCCTTCAATGCTCATCTCAAATTACATCTCCTATATAAAGTATGTCCTGTCCTTCCCCAACGTGATGTTACTGTTCTCCCCACTGAACCACTGGCACTTTTCTTACCAGACCGTGTAAATTACAATAGTGTTTTGTCTGATTTTCTCTGTTAAAGTATAAATGCCTTAAGCATTGAAACTATGTGGCATTTAAGTTTATATCCACTAAAATACCTGGCACAGAGCTTGGTACAGAGCAGTTACTGAATAAATAAATATATGTTGAATTGAAAAATATAAAAGACACAGCAATACCATAATATTGAGAAAAGTTAAAATACAAAGATTAGTTTGATGAGCTTAAAACTCAAATCCTATTCGGGGTAGACAAACTTTCCCACTGACTAGAAGCCCTTTGAGGGCAATTCTAACAAATAAATGTGCTAAAGAAACATTTTATCACAAATAAGTAAGCCACTGAGCTGTCCAACACAGTAGCCACTAGCTGCATGTAGCTATTTAAATTTAAATTAATTAAAGTCAGATTGAAAATTCAGTTCCTTGGTCTGAAAAGCCACATTTCAAGTGCTCAATACTTACATGTGGCTAGTAGCTCTCACATTGGACAGCACATATAGAACATTTCCATCACCAAAGAAAGTTTATTGGATAATGCTGAAATGAGGATTCCACAAAATGTGTAAATACCAGCAATGAGAGAGATACATGATACTTTAGATGATACTACTATACTATTTCTTAACTTAAGTTTGCCTAAAAATACAAACCTTGTGAAACTGCTATCATGTTTACAGAAGAGTTGGAAGGCCACACCAATTGAAACAGATGTCTTCCAGTCTCCAAGTTTATGTGCCAACCACACAGCCTCTGGGACCAGGCCACCAATAAATAATAATTCAAGGGCATATTCAACTGTCCATACATTAGAAAGATTCTGATCTCTAACAGCACTGGCCACCTTAGAGTGTTGTAGAGGAATAAGTCGAAGGGGCTGCTCTGTGAGTAAATTAAAGAAAATGGATACTACAATTACATATATCAGAACTCATGCCTCCTTACATGGGTACATTTCTCTCCTCAGTAAGTATTTTCTATACAAAACCATAAGGAAGATACATACAAAATGGGCTAAAATAATACTTAACAAATCTACAAGTTTTTCTTAAGCACTGAAGAATGTGCCTCAGTGGGTCATGAAGCAAATGTCAGCGTTCTTAAAAAACGACACAGAACAGAGTAGAAAGAGAAACAGAAGAGACAGTATCTGAGGGCATTACACGAAATAAAGGTAAATATATTTCAATAAAACTCTTGTGTCACATAATATAAACATACATATATACAGTCCTAAGTACTGGATCAGAGCATACAATTTATTAGTGTGGAGTGCTCTGAAATACATGTCTATTTCTCCTACCAGATCAGAGACTGCATTTTACCTGACTTTGCATTCCTCATAGTGTCATGCAATAAACAATTATTTCGAGGTAATAATCAAGAGTAGTAAGTGTTCAACATATTAGTGTTCATAAGAAAGTAGAAAAGTGTGATTTTCAATGATCCTGACTAAATGATAAGATTTCAATCTAGCCTGGGATTAAATAAAAAAGGTAACAACCTTCTCCCAGCCTCTGTACCTTTCCATAATTACAGTAACTTAAGCAACTGGAAAATACAATGCCAGGATTGTTATTTTTAAAAAAACACGTATTGCTAAGACTTTCACTCACTCCCTCAAAATAAAACTGGTAAATGGTATACACGGATTTCTGCTCCTTGAAATAAAATGATTATTTTCTCATGCGATCTACACAGGCTCTGTCCACACCAAGCACTAACATTTTAGCTCTCTGACAAACACAGCTGGATGGAAACAAAAAATTTAGTCAATCAAATTTAGTCAATTGAATGTTTGATTCTGCATAGGTAAAGAGCCTGGGTACTCACTAAATTTTTCCTATTTTTTTATTTAGTACGAGCAAGGCACTGTACTATTAAAAGAATCTGAGTGATTAAATTTTCTGAAAATTTTGCTGCTTTCACACAGCAAACATCACATCAAATAAGCAACTCAAATCCCCAATACATTCTGTCACTAGTTCTGACTGGAAAGATAAACAAGAAATGTATCCTAAGTCAAGCCTGCCAATATCATTTTTCATGATCCTAGGAAATTAAATAAATTAAGGGATATATACAAAGTTTCAGATATTTAAATTTTCAATAATCACATTCTCGAGCATAGAAGAGAATATAAAACCTTTTTCCTACCCTCTCCTCTCATTGGGAAGATATTTACAAAGGGAATAAAAAGTATGTGTGTCTGAGCTCTTATGAATATTTATGAATCTGTCCAGAAATAATTCACTAATTCTATCAGCTTTCTTCCTAGAATGTGACAAAGACGAGTCTTCCTTAGGTCTGCAAAGTGATCTGTAAAGATAAAGATCACAAACAAACAGCAAAAGTCCTATAAATATTGTAGGATAGGAAAGACAAGAAATTGAGACAAATTTTCTAAGTAGCAGAATTTCATTTTTTTTTCTTTTTTTAAGATTTTTCTAGAAACCACATGGAAGACTACCTACCTTCTTCAGTAAAATAATGTGGATTAAGGATACAACTTGCTGTCAGAAACATTACTATCAAAAATAGGGAACACAAGTATAAATACCTAGGTTGTGAGAAAAAAGTGAGCTTAAATATAAAACCACAGCAGTAATAAATAATGTCATATGTATAAGGAAATAATAATACATATCCAAGAGTCTTGGTCAGGAAAGCATAAGGGTGAGAGCAAGGAGCACAGGCTGTTCCCAGGGAGAAAAGGCAGAGAGCACTGGCTGAATCTGAGTTAGGACACGGTGGAGGGGGACAGGAGAGCGGGCAGATCCTGGAAGAAACTGAGCACCTGTTTCTCTGCTCACCCCAGCTCCCTAAAAGTCATAATCAAGTCAAGACCAACTCTTCTTCCCAAGGGAAGCAGGGACCTGCTAGAAAAGGGACCACTAGACAACTTGCCTTATGATCCTACCTCACACATGACTCTCTAGGGACCAGAACATCCTCAAGAACCCCAGGTAAGACTAGAGACTAGCACTCTTGTTGAAGCATCCAAGTGGGTGAGGACAGTCCTCAGCACCTACCTACCTCCTGAGACACTTATAGAACAGAAGAGTCTGAACACACAGCTCAAAGTCCACAGTTCCATGATGATCAAACGTGCTGATGACTTGTTGCTACGTCTATTAAACTTCTAATTACATTATATCTTATAGTACTCTAACCTATGTGTGCCTCGTACATATTTATCGGTTCATGTTATTTCCTGCTTAAAGCCCTCCAATAACTTCCCATTGCACTTAAAATAAAACTCAAGATTCCTTACAACGGCTTACATCATCTGGCCCCTGTCTGCGTCTGACTTCATCTCGCATCACTCTCCACCCCATCCTCTATGCTCTGGCCACACCAGTCTTTCAGTTTATCAAACACACTCCCTCACAGAGGTCTTTCCTAAATTTCCAATCTGATATAGCCACTCAGCACAATGCATTATTCTATTTCAATTCTCTGCATAACAATTATCACCATTTGATATATCTTGTTTATGTATTCATTTAATTTTCTGTCTCGATCTATTAGATGCCAACTCCATAAAAACACAGGTACTTTGGGACCAGCCCAGTGGTGCAGTGGTAAGTGCGCACGTTTCACTTTGGCGGCCCGGGGTTCACAGGTTCGGATCCCGGGTGCAGACGTGGCACCATGCGACAAGCCAAGCTGTGGTAGGTGTCCCACACATAAAGTAGAGGAAGATGGGCCTGGATGTTAGCTCAGGGCCAGTCTTCCTCTGCAAAAAGAGGATTGGCAGACGTTAGCTCAGGGCTAATCTTCGTCGAGAAAAAAACAAAAAACAGGTACTTTATCTGTTTTGTTCACGGCAGTTAGGATAAATCTGTTTCATAAGTCAAAAGAAAACAAAAAAAAATGCTATATGTGTTGTCATATTATTGATTTCATATGGTGTAAGCTAATATATTTCCAGCACCTAGAACACTGCCTGGCAGATAGCAGGCACTTAACAAAAATTAGTAGAGTGAATGAATTATCAGAGAAATCTGTGTACATGTTTATTTCCATGAGGGCAAGGCAGTTATCTAGCACAATTTAAGTACATTTTGACCCTATTAATGAAATGATTAAATAGAACAAAGTAAATGATTCAAATAAAAGTATAAAAGTAAATCATCCAAATAAAATTAAATTCTAAATTAGCACACTCAAAATATGTTAAATGTCCACATTTTTATATAAACAAAGGTGGCAGCCCTTTCACTTTAAAAATGAAACTTTGGGGCTGGTCCCATGGCCCAGTGATTAAGCTCGGTGCACTTTGCTTCAGGTTCCCAGGCACACACCTATACCACTCCTCAGTGGCCATGATGTGGCGGTGACCTATATACTAAATAGAGGAAGATTAGCACAGATATTATCTCAGGACAATCTTCCTCAAGCAAAAAGAAGATCAGCAATAGATGCTAGCTTAGGGCAAATCTTCCTCACAAAAAAAAAAAAAGGAGACTTTATACATACCAATTTGTCCAAAATTTGTGATTAAAAAATCCATATTCAATAAAAACAAATCCAACAATTACCTTTCTCAGATTTTACACATTCACAAATAGTCACTGAACATCTCCTACGTGTCAGGCACTAAGCTAGAACAGTATTATTTCCATAGAATAATGATCACCGTATAATATGGTTTCAAACATTATATGCAAAAACAAGGTGAGAAAAAGGTATATTACCTGTTTTAATATGAAGAGGAGGAAGAACATTCACGTTGTGAGGCGGCAAAATGCAAAGCAGCTGATTGGCGAAATAGGCGGCCATGAAGCGAGCCATGGACTGGACAACCCTCACTGCCGCCTCAGGACGAGCGCCTGCAGTCACTCCAGACTCACAGTGAGACTTCTCAGGAACTAAGGGACACAGCAAGTGACCAAAGGAGATTCTGATCAAACCACCAAAAAGTAATAGCATTTGAGACCTCAACATTATACAAGAAGAAAATTATAATTAAAATCTTTTTCTGAGATGAGCACCCATGGCCTGCACAAGCTAATTTATAAAAGGTAGCTATAGTTCCTTAGTGCCAGTATCTTGTACAGGACTGTCTGTAAAGTAGGTCACTATTTTTCCTATTCTTTTCATCTGTTTTAGGTAAGTACACCAATCTTGTGTGTGAAGAGTCATCCCATGATCTGTGGCACACTAGGCACATAATAGAATCCAGAGTTTTTATAACGTATCATTCACAAGGTCCAAAATATAAGTAAATATTATTATGCAGGCTCATTTATAATCTATAAAATGTGAATGTATTAGTTTCCAGTGGCTACTGTAATCAATTACAAAAAACTTGGTGGCTTTAAACAATAAACATTTATTCTATCATGAAAAAAAAAAAAGGTAGCTATAGTTCTTGAAGACAATAGGAAAAAAACAGTTAGCTCCTAATTATAAGAACATACACTTAGGAACTACATATGACTTGAAATTACTATTTTTTTAAAAAATGGAAGGATCTATGCAGAACAATCCAGCCATGATGGACTCACAAGCTTAGCATTTCATTATTTTCCCTTCTTCCTGCCCTTTCCAATTCTTCTTCTTTGATGAAAGGAGGCAGGGTTTGCTACAAAGATAATCTAAAAAGCACCAGGACAGTGATTCTTAATGCTTCTTTCTGTACCATTAGGTCTGGGGATTATGATATACTCCCATTAGTAAGAGCAGCTCACTACTACAAGATTCTTTTGGGAGATAGGGACAAAAGGAATGTGTGGGGTGGAGGGAGAAGGCTAGTGGTGGGGAATTACATCAGGATTTGTGGATTGATTCTGATATAAACTGGCAAGAGCAAAACATGTGTCATCCCTATTTGAGAACCAAAACTTAGTAATATAAGCTGGCATACAGAAATCTGAAAATAAAGAGTTAAATACTATTAAATATAAATACTAATTAACATTAATTTTTGTGAAGTATATGGCCCCAACAATAGCAAAGTTATTTTCCTTTCCAAAAGTCATCTGATATTCACAAGAAGATTAAATTCTATACGTGTATCGACATTTCTATCTTGTCACTGTATACCCCAGCATCTACCATTCCTCTTTTCATATAGTAGGCACTCAAGAGTATTGTTAATAAACTTTTTTTTATATAAAGGGGATCTTGAGAAAATTTTATTAGCCTTCAAGCAATATTCTTCATTTGGTCACTGTAAGTTTGGAAAAATCATACTACTTCTTCCCAATTAAGTTAAAAATACACGGGTAAGAATTTTTTTCTCCTGGTAAAACTTACTGTAGGAATTATATAAAGGTAAGATTTCCAGTAAGCTTAAACATCCAAAACTCAGGAATAAGCCCTTTAAACAGGGAGAAATCTGATTCTAAAAGACATGATCACAGAGTAAAATAGTAACAACTCAGAAGTCAAAAAATTTGAAAGGGTAATTCTGTACATGGCACAGTGATGATGCTAATAACGGCGCCTTATGCAATAAAATTAAATTATAACTATATAGAATGATTTAATAAGTACGCAGGAAAGACAGAACATAGTGGGCCTGCTTATAAGGTTGGAAGGCTTGCTTATAAGGTTGACCCTTGGCCAGCATCTGGGAACTTGGATTCTGGGAGGATCTCCACTACCTTATCTGATGAGAGCGGCTCGCTGGACCTAACTGTACAAACAAAGTGGTCTATGCTGAACACCTGCTTTCCTTCTGAGTGTGTGGAATTTTGGTATGGGCTACGCAGAGGGGGCCTAAGTGACCAGTCCCAAGTTAAAAGCCCTGTGCACTGATTCTCTAATGAGCTTTCCTGGGAGACAGCTCACATGTGTTGTCACAACCTGTTGCTGCAGGAATGAAGCGTGTCCTGTGTGACTCCACTGGGACAGGATCCTGAGAGGCTTGTCCCTGGTTTCCTGCAGACTTCACCCCGTGCACCTTTTCCCTTTGCTGATTTTGCTTTGTATCCTTTCGTTGCAATAAATCACAGCCCCGAGTACAACTATATGCTGAGTCCTGTGAGTGCTCCCTGTGAAGTCTTGGGGACCCCTGACCCAATACGCTTCATATACTCTAAACAATCGTCATTAAAAATTAAAACAAATACATTACTACAGGTTCAACTTATCTTGAGAGTTAAATCATGTAATGACAATACTGCTGAAAAAAATGAATATCTAATCAGTTAAAAAGTCACAGATAAAAGTCTTTCACTAGCTAGCTAGCAGAACTTTCTGGAGGGAAATTTGACACAAGCATCAAAAGTCTTAAAACAGTGGATTCTCTTGGATCCAGTAACCTTGTTTCTAGAAATTTATCCTAAAGAAATTATTAGTAGCACTTACAAAAATTTATGTACACTGCAGCATTGTTTAAAACAGTAAATAGGTGGCAACAACCTAAAATGTGCAATAATGGGGAAAACGTTTAATAGGTTTTCAAAAGAGAATATCATTTACATCGGAAAATATTCATCATAATATTAAACTTTAAAAGATTACAAAACAGAATATATAGCTCTAGTAAGATACACATAGAAACATAAATACATGTTAGATTTATAAGTGATTTTTTTCTTCTTTGTACTTTTTCATATTTTCAAAATTGTCTAAAATGAACATGTATTACTTCCATAATGTGCACAAAAAGCCAAAAAAACAAAAATCACAAAGAGTAAGCAATCTTTGTTGCTACAAAGAGTAAGTAACAGTGGTTGAAATTAAAAAATTCAGTTGGAATGGACTCCATTTAGAAAGTTCTGATATATTGGGCCTTTCAGACACATTCATAAGCATAGTATAGATCTAATGGTCTACCACTCTACAACCGTTATAAATATATTATGTGTTCGTTCATATGTATCGTTCACTCTGGTTATTGCTTAATTTCAATATACCTCTTTTAAAAAGGGCAATCCAGATACTGTGCAGCCTCTTAGATTTTTTAAAAGACTCAAAATACTTCAGAAATTTATTTTCATCACTTCGCTAAACCATCTTAAGCAACAGTTAAAGAAAATATAAATATACTAAGGAAAAATACTTGGTATCTGATATTGTGTCTAACAAATATGACTGAGAAAACAATTGCATCAGTTCACAGGCAATCACTGCTAAGCCCTAGGGATCCAAAGACAGAAAAAAAAAAGCAAACAAAAACTAGGGACTTGCTAGTGAGAAGCTGACAGTCCAAAATTCACCGTAACATAACTTGGTCACCATAGGAGGCAGAGCAACTAGCTTTCATGTATAAGCGATTTCATATCTAAGCCTATACACGCAAATTAATAAGATTAAACATACTAATTTTTGAAAAGCATACCTGAACAATCTTCATTTTCTTTTACAGGTAGGTACGACCACCTCAGTATTTCTCTTACTAGTTGATCACACAATCCTTGAGCATCATTTAAATTATAGCTATAAAGGTAGCAGTATAAAAGAGAAAGATAATAGCGTATCTGAAGAAAACATGTCCTTCTTCCTCCTTAAACGGGAAAGAATTAAGCTTACATTAAAAATATGGTAGCAAGGCAACGTTCTTAATCTGGGTGCTAGGTAGACAGGAGTGTTCAGTTTATGAAAATTCATCAAGCTGTACACTCATATTATGTGAACTTTTCAGTAACTGTTTTATACTTCAATAAAAGATATTTTTAAAAAGAAGTTAGCAATAAGTTTTTTCATTTTTAAGTTCTGAACAATTTTCTTTTTTTTCTCAGGCCCTAGGATGACTAAGATTTTATCCAAAGAGAGCTACAAATCCTTATCATCTTAGCTCTAAGGTTCACTAATGACATTTATCCCAATTACATATGGTATGAAATAGAAAGGAAACTGCTAAAAAAAAAAAAAAAAAAAAAAACCCCAAGAAACCAAACCACATATCAAACAGACAGTCAAAGAGAATTTCCAAAGGAGAAGAAACTATCCAATAAGACAGGAGCCCCTGACCATTGCCTTCGAATATCTGAAGGGTGTTTAGGACTGACACTGCTGGTTGCCTGCCCCTTATCCATTCTTCCTATGTATAAGAATTCCAATTTTATTTGGGGTTACAATGCACCCAGATCACAACTTCCCGTTAGGTGTGGCCATGTGAAAACGTGACTAAGTTCTGAACCAAGAGATAATATTGTGTAGAACTTCCAGAAAAGCTGCTTAAAGAGAGGTAACTCAGCTAGGAGGTGTACCCTTGCTTGCCCTTCCTGCCTTCCTCCTTTCTGCTGCCTAGAATATGGATGTTATGGCTGGAGCTCCAGCACCCATACTCATGTAATGGCCTTAAGATTGGAAGCAATGCACTAAGGATAACGGAGTAGAAAAACTAAAGGAGCGTGGATTCTTGATGAGAAATATCAAATCAGTCCCAGACTGTCAACCTCTGGTCTCCTTTCCTAAGAAGGAGAAATAAACTTCTTTCCTGTTGAAGTCACTGTTACTTTCAGACTACATTACTAGAAGCCATTCCTAATGGATACTGTTGGAAATGAAATTAAATCGAAAGGTCCGCAATGGAACTCATTACGAAAATTTTTCTCCAGCAGAATCTCTCATCTGCTTGAATGCCACTCTTCTTCACCTAGTTGGACAATCCTTAAATATGAGAACTAATTTAGTAGACTTCCTTCTCCAAATCTATTCAGTCATAAGTCCAACTGATTAAACCTATTAAACATCTGTCAAACATGACTTCTGTTCTCCAGTACTCTTGACATTGCTTTGGTTCAGGACCTCCTCAACTAATTTTCTCGCTTCTGAGTAAAACCCACATCTCTACACCACACTCCTACAAATGACCCTCCACACTGTACCAAAGTGATCTTTCCAAATGGCCTATATTTATTTCAAAAGTTCTCTTTCCTACATAAAACATCTTAACTGATCGCACTGTCTTCAGGATAAAATCTTAATCCCTTGGCACTACAGACAGTTCGTTCCTTTATCACGTGTTCTCTCTCTACCTTTCACCTTAGCTCTCACCACCCTACCTCCAACATTACATATGTATATCATATAATGTAGCCCTATTAAACTACTTGCAGTTTATGAAATTGTCATGGTTTCTCATGCCTTTTGCTTTTGGAATGCCATATCCTCTGCTAAACCATTCTCACTACTTTAACTGGGCAATTTCTACTCAGTTTAAATGTCAACTCCTCCAGGTTTTCCCCAGACTAATTCTTGCACTCCGGCCTCAGATTGTGTGAAGAGTTCTTCTGTATTTCCCCAGCACCATTCATACAACATAACAAGAAAAGTGCTGGCTGTTTATGTAATATCTCCTTCAGACTGTGGGCAACTGATAAAGTTGTTGACTTCAGTTATTCCTAGTGCCTAATACAGTACTAAGCACATAGCAGTCCCCCAATAAATACTGGTTAAGTAGGTGAATGAACGAAACATACAAAGCCAGAGCAGTCAGAAAATAAATTTAACTGTCCAAATCTGACCATGTAGTATTTGCAGTCAGGGCTATCTCCAAGGTCACCAGCTGAGAACACCTGTCAGCTTAGCCACACCCTCACCCCTATATCATAAAAGCTATCACCAGTTTCTAGAATCTACACCGTATATTCTCATCAAAAACTCCATGTAGCCCATACTTGACCCAACAATAAGACTAGCTCACAGGAAATTCTTAAAGTTGAATTACTTAAGGGCAGAGAGCCTTAGCTCCATGTTTCTCTAAGTATGCAAGAAGGGAGTAAAATATCTGGCCCATAGGTTCTCATTTAGATACTTGCAGTCCCCTTAAAGAACAAAAAAAATCTAAAACATTATTTTATTTAGGATCTAAATCTCATTTTTTCCCTCATCAACAATCAATCATAGGTTCCACGACTAATCAAAAAAAGGACAGAAGGAGCTTTATCTACAGATAACAGAAAAAGTCTTGGGGCGACAAATTCCAAGACTAAGAATAATTTTAGGGGCCGGCCCGGTGGCACAGTGGTTAAGTGCACATGTTGCGCTTAGGCGGCCCAGGGTTCACCAGTTCAGATCCCAGGTGTGGACATGGCACTGCTTGGCAGGCCATGCTGTGGTAGGCGTCCTACATATAAACTAGAGGAAGATGGGCACAGTGTTAGCTCAGGGCCAGTCTTCCTGAGCAAAAAGAGGAGGATTGGCAACAGTTAGCTCAGGGCTAATCTTCCTAAAAAAGAATAATTTTAAATAAGTATTTCTGACAAGCATGGTACCTAATGACAGTCAAGGTGCTCAAATATGTATTCCATCTGAGCATTAAGAAATTGTGAGCAAGCCAACCCTGATGGCCTAGTGGTTAAAGTTTGCCACAGCCTGCTTTGGTGGCCCAGGTTCGGTTCCTAGGCATGGAAACACAGCACTCATCTGTCTGTAGCCATGCTGTGGTGGCAGTTCACATAGAAGAACTAGAAGGACCTACAACTAGAATATACAGCTATGTACTGGGGCTTGGGGGAGGGGAAAAATAAAGAGAAAGGAAGATTCGCCACAGATGTCAGCTCAGGGCAAATCTTTCCCAGAAAAAAAAAAAAAAAAAAATTGTGAGCACTCAGAAATCCGGAATCATTTTTAAGCTCTATAGCATGCTAAAATATGTTCCTACCAATATTACGGCAAATATTATTTTTTAACACTCCTTTACCTTTCTCTTGGGTTTCCTGAAGAGCTTTCTTCCACAGCTGAACAGACTTTTCATATGATCCTAAAAGGAAACACTCTTCACCTACAAAGTTTTTAACCAACAATCAGTCATGGTGAAGTACATTATTTTATAAAAATTTATTTTGTTTTAAAATTCAGTGGAGACAGCTCAGCCAGAAATTATTTTGAAAAATAAATAACTGCAACCAATTAATAAAATCAAAGCCCAGTTAACTGTATTGCTTATTCATGGAGGTAGAAATCGTTTATAAGCTACTGACCATTGATAGGTTTAAGTTCTAAGGTTCGGTTCACGCAAACTCCAGCCTCCTGTAAGTTAGACTGTATGTGACATAACAGGCTCTTGACAGCAGAAGCTTCATGGGTCATCTTTTCATTGAACGGTCTGTCATCTTCAGGAACTCTTCGACTTAATTGTGTTTGATACCATAAAGTTTTTTTGTACAATATTCTCCAGAGAGCAATCAATCTGCACATAAAATTCAGTAATCAAATTTCAGACTAGGGATAAAAATGAGTATAGCCTCCTACTTAGCCTTATTTTTTTCTTGCTGGGATTCTTCAGGGATGTAATAACATATATACAAACCGATCAGTTTTAATACAGCACAAAGTCCACTGATGAAAAAAATGCATAATATATTTTAAGTATCTTCATGAATGCTTTATGTGCCCATGGTCATTTCTCTATAGCACTTCCCTAAACCAAAGTCTTTCAACAGTATTATAGTTGCCCAAGACTAATAACATATGTGCTGAATAACATCACCATAAATCCTAAAATATTTTTAAATAACATAAAATTTATAATGCTGAGTGCTAATGGATACAGGGCTTCTTTTGGGGGTAATAAAAATATTCTCGAATTAGCGCTCATACTTCTACAACCTTGTGACTATACTAAAAATCACTGAATTGTTAACTTTAAAATGGTGAATTTTACAGTACGGGAATTATATCTGAATTTTTTAAAAAGGAAAAAATCTAAAATGCTGAGGGATCAGCATTATATAAAGTATATATATAAAGAAATTATACCTGTGACCTGGCTGTTGAACAAGATTTACTACTTGAGGACAAATCTTGAAAGCTGAGTTCCAAGACCAGTTTCCGCGAGAACCACTATCTTGAAACATCTGAAACACGGGTACCACAAATGAGTCTTGATTTGCTGTTCTACTTCCATCAGTTAATGCTGAAGTAATTTCAGGTTGAAGATTGTATGTGTCATTTAGATTATCAGCTACCATTCTGAGTAAATGAAAACAGGCTAAAAGCTTCTCTGAGAATAACTGACCCTGTTGTTGCTGAGTCAACAAAAGCTTGATAGTATTTGAGGTCAGCTTTACCAAATGTCCCACATCTTGTTTGTATCTCATATCCCAATACTGGATTGATAAACACTGATGAAAAAGTTCAAAGATACAAAGTATCCATGCGTTATGTCTTGGGCTCTTGTTTAAAAAAAGACCAAGTGTGGGGAAAGGACATTTTATAAATTGAAGAATGTAGAAAAAATGAGTGATACAAACTACTGTATAATTTAACATTAAATTTTTTTCTGTCACATTTTTTGAAATGCCAATAGCCCATGCCGCAAGGAGATTTTTCTGGACAGACTGCAGTTCTGCAATGGTTCTGTCTGTCTCCTCATTGTTACCCTTTGCATGTATCGTATCAAACATAGATGCAAATTCCAATCTTCCCTCCTTGGCACTACTAAACAATGGATCATTTTCCTGGCTCCAAAAAGAGAGTAAGTTGTTTGGAAAGTGTTTGCCTTCATCAGTTTCTTCCTCTTCAAAATCCTAAAACAAAAGTAAAAAAATTATACTTAATACCTTACAAATAGAATCACTTTGGTGTTCTCAAATTTCTCTTCCCTTAAACAAGAGAAAAACAAAACGTGTTTCTTGGAAAAAACTCAATACATAATCCTTCAACGTAAATAAAACACTGCTCCTAAGTACCTGCAAATCTGCTGTTTTTTCATCTAACTTCATTGTTTCTTCCGCTTGCAAGAATCTGGGGAGAGTAGAATCAGCTGAACTTTCATTTCCTTGGTGTTTTAACAGGCTAGACCTTAGGGAATCCAGTGATCGCAAGTTTAGTCCTTTGCCTTTTGGCTGTAGAAGACAAAAAATTTCCAAAAGCAAAGTTTTATCCATAATTCTATTACAAGCAATTAAAAATTCTATAGACAACTGTATACAATCCAAAGACATTACTGTCAGTATAGTTTTAAATCTGCAAAGACTAAGAAGCCGACTTTTACTAATGATACCAAAAAGCACTATACCTTAGACATCACCACACTTTGGTACGTTTTCTCAAGTCTCTCAGTTGAGTCAAGTAGAAGGGATCTCATGAGCACTGATGGAGACAGGTTACCGAGAAATCGAAGGGTTGTGACCATGTATCCATCAGAAATAATGAGGTAGGGTAACCGTGAGTGTGCTTTTACAGAAAATCTCTGTCTCATAGGGTCACTATCAGACGCTGATGAATCTACAGAATTATTTGAATCTTGAAAAGTAAACTGCTGTGGTCTAGCAAACAAACATCAAAATTCAAGAATTACTAAGAGAAAAATCTTAAAGGAAACAACCATATTATTCCAAAGAAAAAGCAAAACAACAATTAAGTTACAGAATGATGAAAAAAGTAAGCAAACTAAACACAAAAATATTAATGTGCATATACCTGTAAGGAAAACATAAGTGATTAAATAATGTATATGTTAATTTTTTAAAATTTTTCCTGAATTGTGGCATTTATTCTATTTTGTTTTTTAATCTGGTTTTATACAAATTATTTTAGAAAAGAAGGCAGTTCATTTTTACTACTAAAGAGAGTTAAATAGTTAACTTTCCTTCTTTTTTTTTTTTTTTTTTTTTTTTTTTTTAAAGATTTTATTTTTTCCTTTTTCTCCCCAAAGCCCCCCGGTACATAGTTGTATATTCTTTGTTGTGGGTCCTTCTAGTTGTGGCATGTGGGACGCTGCCTCAGTGTGGTTTGATGAGCAGTGTCATGTCCGCGCCCAGGATTCGAACCAACGAAACACTGGGCCGCCTGCAGCGGAGTGCGCGAACTTAACCGCTCAGCCACGGGGCCAGCCCCATTAACTTTCCTTCTTACCACATATTTAAATATACTTATAAGAATATAATTATGAGCTATGAGTATACTTGTTATCGAGGAGAAAGAAAAGAAACTGATGAGGGCATTTGGAGAGGACAGTGGTGAGTAAAACTCTATCAGCTTAAGGTTAAATTTGACTGAATTTCCACACAAATGTACTTATTTATTGTTATGGTGGTCTACCTGACTCTGATAACTTATTATCACTGCTTATTAAATTTGGGGCTGTATAAATATAAAGAGGACAAACAATCAAAATAGATTATAATTTTTTTCTGCTTAGGAAACTATTCAAATATAGACTTTATTAGCCAAATGGTCAATGATAGGAGATTGGTTAATTACAGAATGTACACACCACAGAAATCTACAGAACATTATAAAATAAGACTTAATGGAAAGAAGTGTAAGAAATACTACTAAGTCAAAAAAGCAAAATAGTAAACAGCATATATCATATAATTTCTTTTTTTTTAAACAAGAAACTAATATTGTTATTAAAATGTTATGGAAATTTTTTTTAATTTGGAGGACAACAGGCTAAAATGTTAATTGTTATCTCTGAGGAATAGGACTACAAAAGTCTCTCACTTTCTTCATTATTTAATTTTGTAACATTTGATTTTTAAGTTTTTAATAATGAATATATATTATTTTTGTAATCAGAAAAAGCAACTGATTTTGAAAGGCCCCCAAATATTAAAGGAGAATGTGAGGGAATTCAAGTTAATTATGAATAAGACCTCAAGAAATAAGGAAAAAATACTTTCACTACTGCAGGAAATGACAAATATTTCCATTAGAATTTCCTATTGCTAACCATTCAGTATCATTTTTTTCTGCTAAATATAACCAAAGACACACACGACCCCCTCAGTTTTCTTTGTGTAAAGTAAAGGGAATGGATTCATTTCAAAGGCCTTTTCCAATTTTTTTGTTCTGTAAATAGCTGTGTATATGTGTCTAGCCATATTTAACAATATCAACATCCATAACAACAAATATTTACTGAGCATTTATTTTATGCCACAACTGTGCTAGGCAATTTATCATTATTTATTATCTTACTTCATTCCCTCAACCCTAGGAGACACTTATTGTCATCTTCATTTCACAGTAAAAGAAACAGAGGCTTAAAGAATAACTTACCCCAAGTTATACAACTAATAAGTAGAAGAATCAAGATCTGAATCTTGATCTGACTCCAAAGGCAAACCAATCCCCCATCTCACAATTAAAAATTAAAATACAGCTAAATTATAAAGTCTTCTATCTACTTCCAAAAACTTTTCCCCTTTTTCCCTTTGAGAAAAAAAGTAGATAAATCCATGTGCCCAGCTAATTTTGAGTTACTAATTCATCTAAGTGCTCTTCTTTTAAAACTTTAAAAGACATATCATACTTTAATTTTTATATCACAGAAGATAAATTTTTAGTGCTATTGAATATTTAAATAACTTATACTTACATAGTCACAATGGCAAATTTTCACCAGGATTAAGCCACAAAAAGAAATAGAAGAAAACTATAAATAAGAAACAGATATTGAGATGATAGACTTAAAGAAAGAAGACAATTTGAAAGATGAAATTATCAAAAAAAAAACACACAATAAAGTAATACCAAAAGAGAAAAACTTCCATAAACAAATTAAAACAATTCAAATGTCTCACCTATATGTTATTAGTGGGTGAAGAGGAATAAATTCTGCTGGCCCAAATTCTATTGAGCAACCAAATGTAACTAATGTGAGCAATTCACCTTGGCAGGTCAACAAAACCAGGGAGCCGCGTTTTAACACACAAGCCAGAAAAAGACTATCGTGAGTCCAGCTGATATCACCTACCCAGTAGGACCTAAAAAAAAAGCAAGACAATATATTTACAAAGGACTCTCTATAATTTATACTGGCCAAGCAGGGGTGCAACACTTCAAAAAATAAGGAGAAAAGAATGCATAGTAGGCAGTTGCTACATACATGTTGTGTATTTTGCTTCCCAGAATAAAGGTAAGAAAAAGGGATTTTATTCATAAACATCTACTCTATACGACATACCAATTAGAATTTACTGAGATTCATGAGCAAATCATAAAATGAAAATACTCCTTAAGAGCGTCAGGCTTTTTAGTGATTCACATTTTAATCAGAACAGCTTTTAATCCTATTGGTGTCCACAGCTGAGATCTACTGATAGACCAATACCAGGCCAGCGCTCCCTGCAGCCTGCCAGAGTCCCGCTCGGCAGCAGATCCCTCTCCCCTCTTCGTTACCACTACTCAACTATCTGGTCATATTAATGTTTCACAGGGACAAAATGCAGCTCCTCCTTATGTAAACAGGACACCCCAAGTCAAACAGACCTGCACTGAGACCAGTAATACTTCTGGAAAGGAACTTTTGGGGAGCGAATGAAAATGAAGACGCAAGGCTGGAGGGACCTGAAAACTTTGGAAATTCAGAGAACAACATAGAAAAGTGTTCAGAAAAGGAAATAAGGAAGTCCAAGAGGAAATATTCCTACTCTACAGTCCCATACAGGCCCTGGCGGTAGCTCATGTGCCATCCAAAATCACCACTTATGTTGCTACTGACCCATATACAGAGAATGCCAACTTTGTTTAAAGGGCTATAAGTGTCTCAGTATTGAACGGTCTTCCCAAGTTTCTTTCATTTCAACCTCTCCAACTAAGTGAAACATTTCTCTACTCCATGATTCCACTCCTCCTGAGACAACACAGAAATAAATAGAAGAAAAAACATATATGTTCACCTATCTTCCACCCTTCCAGGTCCTTCCTTAAAGTATTTAAGGCTTTCCCTATATAAAGCAATTTTTAGAATCTATCAAGCACAAATGCTGAAAGTTGCATTATCTATCTAAATATCCATCTATTTAGATACCTATTGAATTATCAGAGCCTTAAACTTACGAGAAGAAAATAACTTATTGGAAAAGAAAATAAAAACACTATTTAGAAATACAAGAGTTCTTACCTGACAAGTGTAGCTGGAACCACAGGATTCTTATTACTACATCCTTTAAGGCTACCATAGAGAGTAACAAAATTCAGTGTGTTTATAAATAATACCTGAGTTGCCTGGAAAGGAAAAAAAAAAAAAAAGACAACAAAATCATTAAAATTATTACACTTTAATCATTACTTATAATTCTGGAAGCTAGAGATCTATTATTCTAGTGACAAACTATCTAGGGAGTCTTTCCCAACTCACAAGGCAATGCTGACCACCTATAACTCTTTTCTCTCTTATACCACATTTTAAGAACACCAGTTAGCACTTTGCCCTTCTTTCTTTCTTTTCCCTTATCCTCTGCTCACTTCTGAAGACCAAGTTTCAAAAATTATGACAGCTAATTTAAATAACTTTACCAATGCACAATGTTAAGTTGGATGAGAAAACACCAATATAAAGAACATAAAGTAGTATTAAGAAAAAAATATATCTTCAAGAGGAAAAAAACCTCAAAACAGGACTAAACACTCTCTTTTATAGGTTCTTCCAAGACAGATTACATTTACTGACCTTTGGATCTTTCTGATTAAGAGTTACTGCCAGGGTAAGGCCATCTCTGGAAAAGGCAGAAATTAGAGCTCCTCTTGATTTTACTGATTCACATTTAGGAATCAGACTGCTCAGAAGGCAATCTTGTTGTGCCCAATGAACACAGAATGGCAATGATCTAAGGAAACAATGAAATATTTGAAAACAGCAAGTATAATAACTTCTAAATCAATATAAGTTCATTAGAAAAAATTAAAGGGTCCCACTAAACTCCTACATGTGCACATACACTAGGGGGCCCCTTAGCAACCATTCAGAAGTGTCATCCCAGAGGGCCAGCCTGGTGGCACAGTGGTTAAGTTTGTGTGCTCCACTTTGGCAGCCCAGGGTTTGAGGGTTCAGATCCTCGGCGTGGCCTTAGCACCACTCATGAAGCCACGCTGTGGCAGGCATCCCACATATAAAATAGAGGAAGATGGGCATGGATGTTAGCTCAGGACCAATCTTCCTCAGCAAAAAGAGGAGGATTGGCAGTAGCTGTTAGCTCAGGGCTAATCTTCCTCCAAAAAAAAAATTAAAAATAATCTAAAAGAAGTATCATCCCGGGTACAAAAGAGTAATCACCACTTAAAAAGCTCAATGTCGGAGTTTTGTTAGTAATGGCACATTCCATAGCCAACCCCAAACACATCTGCTTCCACTAAAGATTCAAATACACATATTTCTACATCACTGCAAACATTTTTACAGGGATTAAATAGGTATGGAAGAGAGGATTTTTAAGATAGTGTTCTATATTTGATATTAAGATGGTTTACACATACATGTATATTTGTCAAAGTCCATCTAGTTGTATACTTAAGATTTGTTCATTTTACTTTATACAAATTACAGCTTAACAAGTTCTGTTAGCATAAAAAAATAAAATAAACAGAAAAAAACAAAAAAATCACACTATTTTACTAAATCTTACTTAGGCATTATATGCTTTTAAGGCGTTCTTTCTATTTTATGGGGCGTTTTAGATAAATGTAACTATTGTTAATAAAACAAAGCTTAAGCATTTGAAAGGCACAGTAGCAAATTCAAGTAAGTTATGCCCCTTTTAAAATTCAATTGAATTACTTCCCCAAATAGTTATTTTTATAATCTTAAGAGAAGTAAGACCACAGCTTGCCTTATCTTTTACATTTTCTCAATTCCAAGAAGGGAAACAAAACAAAAACAAGAAAAACTTTCCGGAGTAAACATTTAAAAATGAAAACTAAAGAAACAGAGCAATACTTACAAGAATAAAGGATTTATGAGGTCTCAGAAGTTGAAGTTCACGTTTCCTTTACTAATTTTATTATGTATTTATGGGCCAAAAGATGATAACGTTTTAAAAGGCAAAGAAAATAAGGAAGGAGGAAACATTTTCCTCACCTTATAGGTGTAAATACATTCTCATGCCACCGAATTGCTAGAAATGTTAATTTCAGGCATTCCCCAGAATAAAAAGTAAATGAACACAAGCAGCAGTCTCCAAATAACTGTAGATAAATTTAATATGCTTTAGTATATAATTAATCTGAAAATAAATCAAGATATATAAAACATAAACATCTTTCTCATCATAAATAAAATAAATGAAACATATTGAGCTCCTGCTTATATTTTTATTCTTAACCTTAAGCTGAAGACTAAGTAATTTATTTCTGAGCCAGAGGCAGGTCCCAAATGGGAAATCAAGGCACAGTTTATTCTCTTAAGAAAACACTGCCATTTACTGTAGCTATAACTGGAAAGATTCTTATATTTTTATTTTTCTCTTCTTTTATAGTTACATAGGGCACTACCCCTGAAGGTGGGGGAAGGTAGAGGAAAACAATAAAACTTCAAAATGCAATTTCTAACTATAGGGGATTGCATAATAAAATGTTGGTCCACACATACAAAGAGTAACAAGCAGCTATTTAAAATGTTTTTTAGGGGCTGGTCCTGTGGCACAGTGGTTGAGTTTAGCACGCTCCACTTCAGCAGCCCGGGTTTGTGGATTCAGATCCTGGGCATCAACCTACGCTACTCCTCAGCTGTGCTGTGGCAGCAACCCACAGATAAAGTGGAAGAAGGCTGGCACAGATGTTAGTTTAAGGCTAATCTTCCTCAAGCCAAAAAAGATGAAGATTGGCAACAGATGTTAGCTCAGGGCTAATCTTCCTCAGCAAAATTAAATAAACAAATAAAATGTTTTTTTAGTTAATGAATGTGTTATGTCCTTGGAATTAAATGGCTTACTTAATATCACCAATTATAGCTTTTTAAATTACAAAACTAGTTACATTTTAAAACTAGGGAAAAATAAAACTAGGAAAAGAGAAAGGAAGCTGTAAGTTCAAACCCCCTCTTTTTTTTGGTGAGGAAGATTGGCCCTGAACCAAGATCTTTTGCCAATTTTCCTCTATTTGCTTGAGGAAGATTGTCCCTAAGCTAATATCTGTGCCAGCCTTCCTCTATTTCATATGTGGGATGCCACCATAGCATGGCTTGATGAGCAGTGCATAGGTTGCACCCGGGATCTGAACCCACGAACCCCAGGCCACCAATGCACAGCATGCAAACTTAACCACTACACCACCATGCCAGCCCCTCAAACCATTTTTAATAAATATTTTTAAAAATGTGACCAGGAAATAGAAAAATATCTTTTCCACAATAATTTCACAATTACTAGGACAATAAATGATGACTAGAGATACATAGCTATGCCATTACACACTCCGCTCAATGGCTTCACGGACAGCCTCTATTCTTCGTCTGAAATCTCAACTTCTATAACACCCTGTCTGATTTGGACTTTACCTCATTTTTTATGAAAACAGCATGCACTACAGCTTCTTTATCTTTAGTGGAAGGCAAATGAACTGCTTCTTCAGGTATGATCTGGGACCACTGGCCCACCAATGAAGGGCTTTTAGAAGATATGATATTCTTGAATTCCAAATATTCCCAAAGAAATATGCATCCAGAAGGAGTTATAAGCAGAACTCTTTTCCCATTTCCAGATACATACAAGTACAGTCTCAAAGAGCTTGCTAAAAGGAAAAAAAAAAGCAATTAAACCTCTGAAGTCTGAATTCTCTCTAGAAAGTATGTAATTTATCTATTCTGACAATAAGAAATCAAAATGATGTTTCCATTCAGGATGTAAAACTAAGGTACTAATAATAAATTCAAAGTACAAATAATAGTAACATTTGGCATGTACTTAGGTGGTTATTAGGAACCCACTGTTATCAGAGATATGTTAGGCATGCCAGACTTTTCTTTTTTCAAGACAAATCTAAGTATCACAAATCACCACCACCAAAAAAAAAACCATATATACATACGGAAATATATATATACAGATACATACATACACACATTTAGAGATATATTTTTAAAATATTAATAGGAAAATGTTTCATCCTCTTTTCCTCCTATTTATCAAGTTAAACCTATTTTAAACAAATAAAAAATTCTCACCTACTGCAGCTTTAATCATTTCCTTAGGCTTTTCAGTTGCTTGTATAGTTTTCAAACAATCTTGATCTTTGTTCCAAAGGAAAACCTCCCCTGTAGTGAGTACCCCAGCCAGCCAGGCATCTGTTTCAAAAAAGGAAATACAATTCTTATAATCTAATATTTTCGTTAATATTACCCCAAATTGTTAAAAAATACAGTTAAACTAGGCTTTTGAAAATCTCAGTACTACTTAACCATTACTGGACGTTGTTAGGACAATAACATTCTTCAACAAAGGCTGCAGACTAGGAATTTTCTTCTTTGTCCTTCCTGACAGCAAATTAATTTCATTTATGAATTTATCATCCAAAAGAAAAACAGCTTCATTTTCCTAAGAGAAGAAACAAGTGAGAAACTTAAGAGGTGCCAGAAATTAATTCAACATCTTATCTAAATAAATTATCCCAGAAAGGAAAACAAAGTGACATCTAAGAACAACCCTTACAATAAATCATAAAACGAAAAGTAAAGTTGATGAAGTAACCTGCAGATTTTTCATTCTATCTTAAAATACCTCTTATCAGAATTCCTAGGTAAGATGACCTAATGGTTGCATTTAGATTTCTTTGAAGTTTAAAGTTATAGGAATGTCTTCCAATTCTGCTAGAGAAAACTGGGTTGTCTGCTGTTTAATCTCATCAACTTGAACAATGGTATGGGTAAGTTTTTAAATTATTTAGTTAGATTAAAATGGATACGGCTTCTGAAACCCCTGGCTCTGATCACTTTTTTAGTATCTAGAAAAAGTATACTTTTTTTTTTTTGAGGAAGATTAGCCCTGAGCTAACTGCTGCCAATCCTCCTCCTTTTGCTGAGGAAGACTGGCCCTGAGATAACATCCGTGCCCATCTTCCTCTACTTATATGTGGGACACCTGCCACAGCGTGGCTTGCCAAGCGGTGCCATGTTCACACCCAAGATCTGAACCAGCGAACCCCGAGCTGCCAAAGTGGAATGTGTACACTTAACTGCTGCGCCACCAGGCCGGCCCCAAAAAGTATGCTATTTTGAATTAACTTTGTTTTCATATATTCTAGGGCAGTGGTTTTCAAAGTATCACTTAACCAGCAGCATAAGCAACACCTGAGACGCTGTCAGAAATTCTCCAACACCACCCCAGACCTACTGATCAGAAACTCTGGGAGTGGGGCGCAGCACATGCTTTAACAAGATCTCCAAATGATTCTGAACTATCAAAAAGTTCGAGAGACACTGTTCTAGAGGAAGTTAATTAATGGTATAATTTCTCACAGGAAATGACACAAAACACCAAATTTTTTAATTTTAATAATTATTACAAACTCTAAGAGGATTTTATAGGTTTTCCCACTTTTCCTAAGGTGAGGAATCTATTCCACGTTGCGAATGGTGTTCCTGGATTGTTAGTGTATTGTGGCCCATCCTTATTCTAGTTCTAAGCGGCACTTTATTGCACATTCATGAAAACCAAAATGGGAACTGACTATTCCAGTAGGGAAAGAATCAGAAGATAAAATATTCCCTTTTGATACCTGCCATATCAACCTTCTCAAACACAATATGAAAAATATTTTTTTGAAAGTAAACTATTTCTTCTAGACAGACCACTTAACTTTCTGGAAAAGCTAACTTACTCACTACAACAAAAAAACTCCACAAACACACAAAACCCCTGTTCAGCGTGCAGGTGATCTGTCTAAAGATGGTGCTTTGTTTTTTTTTTAAAGATTTTATTTTTCCTTTTTCTCCCCAAAGCCCCCCGGTACACAGTTGTGTATTTTTAGTTGTAGATCCTTCTAGTTGCGGCATGTTGGATGCTACCTCAGCGTGGCTTGACAAGTGTACCATGTCTGGCCCAGGATTCGAACCAGCAAAACCCTGGGCTGCCGAAGCAGAGCGCACAAACTTAACCACTCGCCACGGGGCCAGCCCCTAAGGATGGTGTTTTATTTTGTAAAGGCCATAGAACATTCTTCAATTTTAGGGGCAAAGCAGACATTTAACACATATTATGCCTGGTATTGTACAAATAAAGAAAAAACTTACCTGTCCCAACCAGCAGACTCGTGGCCAGGGTTTTTTCTGCTTGATACTTGTTGATGTCAAAACTTCTAATCTTATCTCCATGCTTGTTAAGATATCAATGACCAATTAAGTAAAAACAGTCACAAAATGCTGTGAAAAACAAATATAATAACAAACAGCCCATAATATTTACTGAGAATTTTAATTTAGAATTTTCATAAAGTTTTGGTAAATTACTCTCTCAGTAGCTCGTTAACTCTCTTTTTAAAGGTCAGATATTGACAACACATTCAGTATCTCATTTTTATCTTGAATAAGATATAAGGCAAAATGTATTTGCTTTTTTGATAAGTTATTTCTCACACTATGAAGATAAACAAGAATGAGGAAAAGATTTTCACAATAAAGTTTCTATGTGATTTTCTTTTCTCGGTGTGGCAGGTTGTATTTTCCAAAAGAGGCCACAACAATATCTCCCACCCCACATGCTCGTCTTACACTGTGACTTTGACACTTCTCTCATTGAGAGCTCTGGTCTATGGCTCATCCCTTGAAAGTGGGTGGGATTTTGACCAAAAATAAAATGGAAGTGATGCTATGCATTTCTCAAGGCTGGATCATAAAAGGCAAAACAGCTTCTACCTTACTTCCTGGAATAAACACCCTTGAAGCCTTCAATCGCCACATAAGCAGTGCAAACTGCCCTGAGCCACCAAGCTGTAAGAAAGTGTAAACTACCACATAAAAATGAAGCCGAGATAACATGTAGTGAAGGTGCCTAGCAAGTCCCTGTGCTGTGTTTGAGGATTGTGGAGGCCAGGAACAGTTGTCAGAACCCAAGCAGAATGAGGAGAGTGTAACCCTGGGCCAATGGTCCATTTCTGCGAGAATCTTAGGAGGATGTTCCTGCAGTGGGACAGCCTGGCAAGTGTGCTGGAGACAAAGTAGAGAGAGAACACAGGAGCCATACTGAAAAGGACCTCACTGACCAAACTGAGGACAATTTGAGCATCAAAACAAAGTAGAGTAATGGATTTAAAAATCCATGGGATAAAAAAGGAAACCATGAATTCATACAATTATAAATAAGTAAAAGAATAAACTTAACATTTGATGAAAAATTGTATATTTACAGGGGCCGGCCCAGTGGTGCAGCAGTTAAGCGCACATGTTCCACTTTGGCGGCCAGGGGTTCCCTGTTTTGGATCCCGGGTGCTAACATGGGACCGCTTGGCAAGCCATCCTGTGGAAGGCATCCAACATATAAAGTAGAGGAAGACCGGCACAGATGTTAGCTCAGGGCCAGTCTTCCTCAGCAAAAAGAGGAGGATTGGCAGCAGATGTTAGCTCAGGGCTGATCTTCCTCAAAAAAAAAAAAAAAAAAAAAAAATTTTATATTTACATTGCTTCAAAGCATCTCCCTATAAAACACTCATTAATTGCAAAGGAGAAAAGAGTAACTTTACAATGAAAAAGCCAGGTCGACTCCACTTAATCCAGTGCTCAAAATGAAAATCATCAGAAATGGTATATACAGAAATCAGGTGCCACCTGATAAGTAAAATGAGAAAAACATCTCTGTGACATATGTGCTAAAGATACATAACCTGAATCTAATCACAAGGAAACATCAGGTGAACCCAAGTTTAGTGACATTCTACAAAATAACAGGGATTTGCTTTAAAATACTCCAGATGTATACTCATAAGTTTTGCAATTAAAATGTAAAGTATAAAAGACAGCTAACCATTTCAAGATGTGAGGATAGAGCCCTATCACATTTGATGACGGATGGTCTTCAATCTTTCATAACTCTAAAAATCACCCCCTGTTATGTAGCAAAGGTTATTTCTTCTATATATGCAACTCGCACCCAAAACACTATGGTACGGATGGATGCTAATAAACATCACGAAACAAGTAAAATCAGTTAATGTAAGAACGAGAAGTAAAAATGAAGTCAATCACAGTCACAAAACACGTTAGGAGAAATATGCTAAGTCTACCCAAAAGAGTATCTTTTATTTATAACACATTGGCGAATGCAATTTCAAGAGAAATCCAAGTTCTTCGGTGGTTTTCACCATAGACGAGTCTAAGAAATCATATCCATTCCTTAGGCTCAATTTATCACCAACTAAGGCCAAACACAGGAGTTTCCCTACGACCACGTCACACAAGTCATCCCCAGGGACTCCTCTGAGGTTCTCTACCCGGCCCTGCGGGGGAGGCGTGAGAGCGAGGGCCGCCCTCTACCCGGTGAGGCGCCCGGAGAACAGGACAGGAGCTGGAGGACCAGGGTTCCGGCCGAGGTCTGGCCCCACCCTGACATCGTCCCCCGCCGGCCAGAGGGCGCCCCGGCCGCGAGAGTCCCCGCGCCTCCGTCAGCCTGAGGATGCTGCGGCAGGAGGACGAGGCCGGGAGGCTGGGGAAGGCCTGGAGCGAGGGAAGGGCCAGGACCGGCGCTGGGAACGGACCCCGGGGCTGGCCGAGGCCGCGGACATGCTCGGTACAGGGGGGCACGGAGGGGCCCGAGGACTCCGGGAACCCGCCGGCGCGGGGAGGAGGCTGAAGCCGTGAGGGGCAGCAAGCTGCGGGCAGTTACCTGCGCCAGGGCCCGGCCCGTCCGGGGCGGGGAAGGCGCGGCGAGCCGAAGGCGAAGCGGACAGCGCGGAGAGAGGCGGGAGCGCGACGGCCGCGGGCCCTGACGCCAGCCTGCGCCCGGGCGACGGCGGGGGCGGGGAGGGGGCGCGGGCCGCGCCAGGGCGCCTGCTCTGAGCTGGCGGGAGCGCAGGCGGGAGGCTCGGAGAGCTCCTCCTCCCGCCTCCTCTCCGCCCCGCCTTGCCGGGTTCCCGGCGGCGTCCTCCCAGGCGTCCTGTGGCTCCGCGCCGTCTCCCCGCCTCCATCTGCCTCTTCCCGCTCCCCTTCTCCCCTCCTCCTTCTCTCCCTCTCCTCCTCTCCGCCTCCCCGTCTCCGCTCCTCCCCGTCCCCCCCTCCTCTCCCTCCTTGTCTCCCCCACCGCTTTGGCCGGCCCTGCAGTGTCCACCTCCCTGGGCGCTCCTCAGACACACGCCTGTTGAGCGCCCAGACACTGGGCTGCGCTTTCCAGGAACCCGTTGAATAACTAATATTAGTCATTCACGGGATGTCAGCTCCAGCAGGGCAAAAATAAAGGGACTGTACTCAGCCCTCCACAGATCAGGTGGGTAACTTACAGCCCTGAGGAGAGGCGTCTGTGCTGGCTACCCTCGTGACTCTTTACTACACTGTTTTCTCGTCCTTCGACCCTGTCCTGGGCCGGCCGACCGATTGGGAACAGGGGTCACGATCAAGCAGCTTTAGGGCTATGTTTGGCCTGGAAAAGCGTTTTTCTGTAGCTTACAGCTAAGCAATGGCATGCTCTCCGTTTCCCTACCCACCCTCCTCTTCACATGTTGATGTCCCGGCCTGGGTTTTTTTTTTTTAAGGATTGGCACCTGGGCTAACAACTGTTGCCAATCTTTTTTTCTTTTCTGCTTTATTTCCCACCCCCACCCCCCATAGTTGTATATCTTAGTTGCAGGTCCTTCTAGTTGTGGGATGTGGGCCACCGCCTCAACGTGGCCTGATAAGCGGTGCCATGTCCACAACCAGGATCCCAACCCTGGGCCGCTGCAGCGGAGCGTGGGAACTTAACCACTCGGCCACGGAGCCGCCCGGCCTGTGTTTTGAAGGCATTTTGGCTTGTTACTATGGGCTAGGCTCAGTATGTTCTGCTGAGTAAATCGCCCAGTCCTCTCAACTGGAGAGCTATCAGGTTGGTTTATCTTAGCAAACAAAGGATACAGGGCAGGAGGACTCGGGCAGCATTAGAAACCAGCACTTATCCCTGTGTCTCTGTGAGGGATGAGTGGCAGCTGGGATGCTGGCTGCTCAGCACCATTTATCTTAAAGGTTATAGAACTGAGGTGGTTCAAGTGCATCCAAAGTCACCAACATCTTAGATAAATCCCTCTAGAGTTAGCACAAAAAGTCTCAAGTGGAAAAATTCGCTAAGAAATCCTAACCTATGCTCACAATTTTCTGTGTTCCCATGTCTAGGTCTTAAGATGTGATAATAATGGGATAACTGTGGCTGATTTAGCTGTATGGCCACCAGACCTAGAGGTATTGGCATAATTCTGGAGTTGACTGCTCCACACATTTATTTCTTCTTTAAAAATTTATGAGTGACTATAATTTGCTAAAATGAAAATTATTGAATGCCTAATATGTGTCAAACACTATGCTGGGTATACAGATGGGAAGACAATGTTGTCTCTATTCAAAAGAGATACATAGACACTTAAACTACAGTGTGATGATAAATTCCATGATAGCAGTATTCACAGAGTGCATTTTCTCTGTGTGGGAGACAAGGAAGTTGGAAATATCTAAGCTAGATTTTGAATGAGGACTAGTTCAGTTTGAAGTACATCCATTTTGTGGTGCCTGTGGACTTCCAGGTGGAAGTATCTAGTGAACAATTAGATACGTGGTTTAGAAGCCCAATAGGAGAACTGTAGATATAAAATATGTAACCTAAACATGTCTGTCCTTCAGCCTGCCCTGCACTTTTTAAGAGTCCCCTCTCTTTAATATATATTGATGAATAAGAGTTCAGTGGAAAATACCAATTCTTATGAGAATGTCAGAGGGTTAGAAGAGAACTAAGAGAGGGGGGTCATGAAAGCCCAGGAAGGAAGAGTCGAGGAAGGAGTGATCAATCACGTGAAAATTGAAGTATGGTCAAATAAAAATAAGCCTGAGAATTCCCCCATCGGACTCGGTATTTTGTAGTTATAGTGCCATGTATATAAGGTCCTTTTGGTAGCAGATAATAAAATCAAATCTGACTAGTTTCAGCAAGAGAGGGAATTTATTGTAGAGATTCTGTTGTATCCCACAGAATCTAAGGAATGGTTTCAACAAGCAATCTTTGAGAAGGACTGGAACCAGGAGACATCATGGACATTCTCTCTAGGACAGTGCTGTCGGGTAGAAACTTCTGTATTAATGAAAGTGTTCTACGTCTGCTCTGTCCAATATGGTAGCCATAAGCCACAAATAGTATTGAGCACTTGAAATGTAGCTAGTGCAACTGAGACACGGACTTTTAGATTTTATTTTACTTCAAAGAGCCACATGTTCCTGTATTGCACTGTGCAACATTAAAGCCTTGCCATTAACATGACTTAGCTCCAATTATTTTCAGCCTCTGTCTTGTTTCAAAATTGTAAATCTCTTGGAGGGAAAATGCAAATGGGGTTTGGGTAAGAGCTCCACTCCCCTATCGATCAGCTATGTCTAGGATCACATAGTACAGAAATGGCTGCTGAGGGCTTGTCTCATGTATCTGAGGACATTCTCCCTCCATGAGGGGAATCCTTATAACCTCAGGTCTGTTATAAAATGGAGTGGTGAATTATTTAGGGCAAGACTAGGCTGCCGTATCAAAAGGCCCCTACAATAAATCAGTGGTCTAAAGAACATAGGAGTTTATTTCTCTCTTGTGTAACTGTTAAAAGGTGAATGATTCAGTTTTTGGTGTAGCTCTGCTCCACACAATTATTCAGGGATCCAGCTTCCTTCAACCTACTTGTTCTGTCATTCTCCAATGGCTTGTTGCATAATCAAGACTGGGTCACAGTGGATTCCAGCCCAAGGGAACAGGAAAAAGAGAGAGCACACCCACAGTCTTAAGACCTGGGCCCAGAAATAGTACACAATGTTTCTGCTTTTGTTGGGTTGGAGAGAACTTAGTCACATGGTCACATCTGAGTGCAGAGGAGGCTGGGAAATGTAGATTAGCAATGTACCCTGATTTTGGTGGACAACTAGCAGTTTTTATCACAAGTGGTTAGAATACGAAAGAAAAAAAAAAAAGGCGGACCGGTCTCAACACTTCCGGGTTCCGGCTGCCACTTCCGGGTTCCGGCCACCACTCTGGGTTCCGGCCACCACTTCCGGGTTCCGGCTGCCGGAGCAGTGGGCTCCTCGCGCACGCGCGGCGGGGGCTACTGTGTTCCGCACTGGGCACGGTAGAGGCGTTCTCAAAGTGACTGGCCATGTCGCTGCCCCACTTTTACCGGGACGGGGAAGGCCACATGGATGATGATGAGGACGAGCGGGAGAACTTCGAGATCACCGACTGGGATCTCCAGAATGAATTCAACCCCAACCGGCAGCGCCACTGGCGGACCAAGGAAGAGGCCACCAATGGAGTGTGGACAGAGCGAGCCTCGGATGGAGAGAGACCCAGCTTTGGAGGCAAACGAGCTCGCGACTGCTCAGCGCCAGTCAGCTTCATCAGCGCGGGGCTCAAGAAGCGGGCAGCAGAGGAGGCGGAGCTGGAAGATTCTGATGACGAAGAGGAGCCTGTCAAGCAGGATGACTTTCCTAAGGATTTTGGACCCAAGAAGTTAAAAACGGGAGGCAACTTTACACCCAGCCAGAAAGGCTTTGCTGGAGGAACCAAGTCTTTCATGGATTTTGGCAGCTGGGAGAGACACACAAAAGGAATTGGACAGAAGCTTCTTCAGAAAATGGGCTACGTCCCTGGGAGGGGCCTCGGGAAGAATGCACAAGGTATCATTAAGCCAATCGAAGCCAAACAGAGAAAGGGCAGAGGCGCTGTGGGAGCTTACGGCTCCGAGCGCACCCCCCAGTCCCTGCAGGACTTCCCTGTGGTCCACTCAAAGGAAGAGGCCGAGGAGTTTCAGAAGGAGCTGAGCCAGTGGAGACAAGGCCCCAGTGGAAGCAAGAAGAAGCCCAAATACTTTTACAAGACCGTGGAAGAGTTGAAGGCCAAGGGCAGGGTTAGCAAGCAGCTCACCGCCCCCGAGAAGGAGCTTTCTCAGGTCAAGGTCATAGACATGACTGGCCGCGAGCAGAAGGTCTACTTCAGCTACAGCCAGATCAGCCACAAGCACAACGTCCCCGGCGACGGGCTGCTGCTGCAGTCGCCGCAGCCACCACAGCCCGGCAAAGAGGCCAAGGCCCCGGGCTTCGCGCTGCCAGAGCTGGAGCACAACCTGCAGTTGCTCATCGACCTCACGGAGCAGGAGATCATCCAGAACGACCGGCAGCTGCAGTACGAGCGGGACATGGTGGTCAACCTCTCCCACGAGCTGGAGAAGATGTCGGAGGTCCTGGACCACGAGGAGCGGCTCATCTCCAAACTCAGCAAGGTCTTGGAGATGGTGGAGGAGTGCGAGCGGTGCATGCAGCCCAACTGCAGCGACCCCCTCACGCTGGACGGGTGCACCCACATCTTTGAGACCCTGAGGGACAAGTACTATGAGGACTACTGGATGTCCCACCGTGTGGACCTCACCGTGGCCATCGTCTACCCACTCATGAAGGAGTACTTCAATGAGTGGGACCCCCTCAAAGACTGTACTTACGGCACCGAGATCATCTCTAAGTGGAAAAGCCTCCTGGAGAACGACCAGCTCCTGTCGCACGGTGAGCAGGACCTCTTGGCAGATGCCTTTCACAGGCTCATTTGGGAAGTCTGGATGCCTCTCGTTCGAAACATTGTCACCCAGTGGCAACCAAGGAACTGTGACCCGATGGTGGACTTTTTGGATAGCTGGGTGCACATTATCCCCGTGTGGATCTTAGATACCATCCTGGACCAGCTCATCTTCCCCAAGCTGCAGAAGGAGGTGGAGAACTGGAACCCACTGACGGACACCATCCCCATCC